CTCGATAGTGTCACTGCTCGATAGTGTCACTGCTCGATAGTGTCACTGCTCGATAGTATCAGAGCGAGATAATGTCAGTGTGCTCCACTCTCTCGCTCCGCTCGATAGTGTCGCCTCAATAGAGTAGAATCTAGTAGAGTAGAGGAGGAGACTAGCATAGTATAGTATAGTAAACTATAGATTATAGTAGACTATAGATTATAGTATATTCTAGTAGAACAATATAGTAGAGACCAGTGAATGAGAGTAGTGGAGTAAAAAACAATGGAGTAGAGTAGAGTAGAATCAAATGGGGTAGAATTTAATGAAGTAGAGTCTAGTAGAGTAGAGTCTAGTAGAATAGAGTCTAGTAGAGTCTAGTAGAGATTAAAGTAAAGTAGACGAGGAGATTAGAGGAGGAGACCAGCAGATGATAGTAGAAACACAGTAACACTTACAACACTATCGAGCGAAACTATCGACCGACACTATCGAGCGACACTATCGAGCGGAGCGAGATAGTGGAGCAACACTCAGTAGCTTGTTACAGCACTATCGAGCGAAACTATCGAGCGGAGCGAGATAGTGGAGAAAAACTCAGTAGCCTGTTACAGCACTATCTCTCTCTTCTTGGCAGTGTCGTTCAATAGCTTGATACAACACTATCTCAGTCTGCTCGATAGTATCGCTCGATAGTAGAGCAGCTCTCAATAGCTTGTTACAACACCATCTTGCTCTGCTCGATAGTGTCTCTCGATAATGCCGCTCAGTAGCTTGTTACAACACTATCGAACAAAGCGAAATAGTGTCGCTTGATAGTAGATCAGTACTCAGTAGCTTGTTACAACACTATCTCGCTCTACTCGATAGTGTTGCTCGATAGTGCCGCTCAGTAGCTTGTTACAACACTATCTCGCTTCACTCAATAGTATCGCTCGATAGTGGGACATCACTCAGTAGCTTGTTACAACACTATCTCGCTCTGCTCGATAGTGTCGCTCGATAGTAGAGCAGTACTCAATAGCTTTTAACAACACTATCTCGCTCTACTCGGCAGTACCGCTTGACAGTGCCGCTTAGTAGCTTATTACAACACTATCTCGCTCTGCTCGATCCGCTCAGTAGCTTATTTCAACACTATCGAGCAGAGCGAGATAGTGTTGCTCGATAGTGTTGCTCGATAGTAGAGCAACACTCAGTATTTTGCTACAACACTCTCTCGCTCCGCTTGAGAGTGTTACTCGATAGTGTTGCTCGATAGTGTTGCTCGATAGTGTTGCTCGATAGTGTTGGTCGATAGTGTTGCTCAATAGTGTTGCTCGGACTTGTCATCCCCGTACATTAATTTCCTCTTCCAATCAACTTCTTTTTTCCATTCATCCAAATCAGGTAATTGCCGCACTAAAGTTATTCTTTATCAAAGAACCAATAATTTAATCTCGCTCTGGCCCGATATGGTCAAGAGCTAGTGGTGCTCGATATTGCTGCCCCGTGAAGTGCTAATACTGCTCGATATTGCTGCCCCGATATGGTCAAGATCAACACTATCTCGCTCTGCTCGATAGTGTTTTATGATAGTGTATGCGCTTACAAAAGCAACTAAAACAACATTATGCGCTTATACAAACCAACGGGCATTAACCATCCAATCAATTTTTCACCTCAAGCCACAAAAAAAGAAACCAAAAGAAAAAGAAATAGAATAATGCATACGCCTTGAATATAATCAACTCACCTTATTAAAGATGCAAAATATGCAACATGGAAAATGGCTAGAGTTTTCTTCGGATAACAATTAGCCACTTGGTTCCAGTTTCTTGACAAGAGAGACCCAAAAGTATGTAGCAGTATAAAAAGTATCTAGCAGTATAAAAAGATTAGTAGAATATACAAGTTTCCTCTCTCCTTCTCCTTCTCCTTCTCTTGTCAGTCAGATCAGATTCAAAATACCAAGTTATTCTTTATCTATGAATATGTCAGAAATTACATTAGGAAGATTTCTTTTCGAAAGATTGCACCAATTGAAAGTTGACACCATTTTCGGTGTGCCAGGTGATTTCAATTTGTCGCTTTTGGACAAGGTCTATGAGATTGACGGAATGAGATGGGCAGGTAATGCCAACGAATTGAATGCTGGTTACGCAGCAGACGGTTATGCCAGAGTTAAGGGTCTTTCAGCTGTTGTTTCCACTTTTGGTGTTGGTGAGTTATCATTGACCAATGCTATCGCCGGCTCATTCGCTGAACACTGTGCTGTTTTGAACGTTGTTGGTTTACCATCAGTCAATGCTCAAGCTAAGCAATTGTTATTGCACCACACTTTGGGTAACGGTGACTTTACTGTTTTCCACAGAATGTTCAAAAACATTAGTCAAACTAGTGCTTTCATCTCCGATATCAACTCGGCTCCTCACGAAATCGACAGATGTATCAGAGATGCCGTTATTTACCAAAGACCAGTCTATCTTGGTTTGCCATCCAACTTGGTCGACTTGATGGTTCCTTCTTCTCTTTTACAAACACCAATTGACTTGTCATTGAAACCAAATGACCCAGAAGCTCAAGAAGAAGTTATCGAAACCGTTAAGCAATTAATTTCACAAGCTACAAACCCTGTCATCTTGGTTGATGCTTGTGCTTCAAGACACAATTGTAAATCTGAAGTTGCTGCGTTAGTCGATGCTACTCAGTTCCCTGTTTTCACTACACCAATGGGTAAATCAGGTATCAATGAATCACACCCAAGATTCGGTGGTGTTTACGTGGGTTCATTATCAAGACCAGATGTTAAAGAAGCTGTCGAAAGCGCTGATTTGATCTTGTCTGTAGGTGCATTGTTATCTGACTTCAACACAGGTTCATTCTCATATGCTTACAAGACTAAGAACGTTGTTGAATTCCACTCAGATTACACCAAGATCAAACAAGCCACTTTCCCTGGTGTTCAAATGAAGGAAGCTTTAAACAAGTTGTTAGAAACAGTTAAATCATCAATTGACTCATCATATGAGCCAGTACCTGTACCAAGACAGAAATTGATCAACTCTCCAGCACCAGAGTCCACTCCATTAACTCAAGAATATCTTTGGACTAAAGTCAGCTCTTGGTTCGAAGAGGGCGATATCATAATCACAGAAACAGGTACATCTGCTTTCGGTATTGTCCAATCAAGATTCCCAAACAACACAATTGGTATCTCACAAGTTCTTTGGGGTTCGATTGGTTACACTGTTGGTGCTACTTGTGGTGCTGCAATGGCTGCTCAAGAAATTGATCCAAAGAAGAGAACTATCTTGTTCGTTGGTGATGGTTCATTACAATTAACCGTGCAAGAAATCTCCACATTATGTAAATGGGAATGTAACAACACCTACTTGTTTGTTCTTAACAATGATGGTTACACAATTGAAAGATTGATCCACGGTGAAACTGCTTCATACAATGATATTCAACCATGGAACAATTTGCAACTTTTGCCATTGTTCAATGCTAAAGATTACGAAACTATTAGAATTGGTACCGTTGGTGAATTGAACAAGTTGTTTGCCGACAAGGCTTTTGCTGTCCCAGACAAGATTAGAATGATCGAAGTTATGTTAGCTAGAATGGATGCTCCTGCTAACTTGGTTGCTCAAGCTAAATTATCTGAGCAAACCAATGCAGAAAGCGCTTAAGAGAATTGGGGGCTAGATGGTTAATAATAAAGATGGGAATGAAATAATAATAAAAATGGTTCTATATAAATAGCTCAAGAAGTCTGATAGAATTTATATGCAACGTTTAAGTAATGGTAATGGTTTTTCTTTGAACAAGTTCTTCTAATTTGTAGAGTTAAAGATACAATGTTTCTAAATGCAAAAGTCTGTTTATTATGGAAAGAGGTTTCACCCCTTCTATATATGTTGATCTAGTTTTCTCCAACTTTAGTGACATCCTTGAAATCCTCCACAAGTTGCAAACTCTTTAGTACATTCTCATCGTCAATAACTTTGTACATATCGATTGACTGTTGCACCCTGGAAACTCTAGATTCGTAACTATCCATATCGGATGTCATCTGGTATAAGAAAGGTTCATGCATTAATGGTGGAAATTCAACTGCATTTTTCTTATTGAATAAGCCAGCAGTCAGTTTCCCAAAAGTCAACTTCATAAGCTCCTTCTCATGAAACAAGGTGAATTTTCTTGACATCATATAACTGATCAAGATATCATCATTCAAAACAAGGTCTAATAAATCCTCATATTCGAAATCATTCACTTTTTCCAACTGTTCGTCCTTCAATGCAAATAAATATTCATGCAGTTCCTTGTATGGATTTTCATTCTTCCTTAAACCCAATATCTCTTTATCTGTAAACCAGTATGTGTGATTGGCAAGCCTATTATAATACAGGCTAGGCGAGTAGTATTGGACCCATTTATATCTATCTTTCAAAAAATAAAACAAGTCTTCTTCCTTCACCCACAATCGCAACTTGGGCAAAAACAAGTGGTTTGCAAACTTTTTTGAGGTTAAACCATGCTTGTATTCATCCTGTAACAATTTAGTAAACTTTTTAGGAACATATCCGATTTCGCCTTCAACAGTAGTCTTTACCAATGGAGACAATTCGTTGTATCTACTGAAATGATTATTCCTGCAGTTGTAAACTTTATACATTTCATTTAAAGCTTGCCAATTTCCTTGCTCTTCATTAAACCCATCGGGTAACTTCTTATTATAATAATCCAAATGTGCTTTCGAATTGGATAACGCAAGTGCCGTAATGTCTACATACATCCCGGTATCAACATCAATAAATCTGGCGTCTATGTTATTCAATCCATTACCTTTTTCTCTTAAGGTGATGAATGTTCCACAATCCAAAAAGTACCGGCCAAATCCTTCTTCAGGATCGCCAACTATCAAAGTTTGATTAAAATTCAAACTCAAGTTGTGTAGATCCATAATTGGAACTTGTACATCAATATCATTGTCCCAGGGAAAAGACAATCCATTCCAATACCAAGATAATAGCGAGCCATGGGCAATCCACGTTGTTATACCATTCTTTCTACAAAATGACAACCAAGCTCTGATTAGTCGATGCAAAGTCAAACCTTGTAGTTCAGTACCTAAAATTAACCCATTGAAAAACCGCCAATCGTAATGATCTCCATTATTAGTACCAAGAAGTCTAGCTTCATGAAAATATTTTGTTGCACCTCCATTGTCAACTTTGAATAAACTATACTCGAGGGATTCTTGATATGCAAGCTCTTTCTTTGATAGTTTCTCACCTCTTTCTACTCTTTCTGTAAAGTTCTTTAAGATTGCCTTACCATCAAAACGGAAACTTGATTCTGGTATAGAGTGTAGGTACTCATTCATGACCTTATCTGTGCTAGGCGGATGGTTGCGACAGAGTTTATGAAACTCCGTCAATACATCAATATTTCGACTTGCTGTATCCTTGAGGTACATCTCAGGTAATCCATTCTGTAACAATTTTCCATTACCACGAATAGCAACAGAGTATGAGCCCTGCTTAGATAGAAATATAATCTGTGAAGGTGGTGGAGCAAAAGCATAAAGGTACGATTTCCCAGTAAGTTTAGCCTTCAAAGGAGTCGTTCTTCCTGGATCTCGAAAAACATTAAACCCTGGATGGTTGGAATGCCCATCATTGTGGCTATCTCCAAGCTGTTCATTGGAAACGCACCACTCATTATGACCTGTCACGTCAGCAAACAAGTCGTCTTTCCTTTTGTGTCGAAGCCGTGACGAATTTTGCACCAGCTCGCTGTGATCTGAACTTGAATCTGAACTTGAATCTGAACTTGAATCTGAACTTGAATCTGAACTTGAATCTTTGCTTTGGTCTTTGCTTTGGTCTTTGCTTTGGTCTTTGCTTTGGTCTTTGCTTTGGTCTTTGCTTTGGTCTTTGCTTTGGTCTTTACCTTGGTCTTTACTTTTATCTTCATTTTGACTCTCAAGAGTTTTCTTTTCCCCCAGTTTTTCGTCGTCCCATTGCTTTTCCAATTCCTTCAATTTGCTTTCATTCGCTTTGGCTCGTTCATAGTCCTTCCATGCATCCAATATACTACAATTAACCTGAACACCAGTTGTCGCCTCCGCCACTAAATACTTATCTAAAGGAGACATATCAACCCAGTCATACCAATTAAATGGAATCTCTACTATAGTCTCTTGTACCGTTTCCAGTGCTTTTTCTGACAATTGCTGGTTTATGTAGTGATAATATAAGGCCAAAGTAAACCTCGGATCAAAAGGTTGTATTATTGGTTTCCCCAGTTTTTTCGTATAGTACAGTGGCACAGTTAGTTTTGTTTGTTGTTTTATATCAGTATCTGATAACCAGTACTTGTTTTCTATATCTACAGACTGTTTAATTTTGAAGATATCATCGATTTTGGAGTTAAACACAAGTTCTGGATTCAAAGTGTCATCAGTGAAATCTCCGTCACAGGCGTACATTTTATATAGCATATTATCAAACGAGTTGGGATTAGGTGTTAGCTGATTTATGAAATTTTGCCTTGAAGGTGTATATACGATAAACAGTAATGTAATGACAAATATGAGACAAGTTATTGCTATTAGTTGAACATTTCGTCGTATACTTCGATGTAGGCCCAATTTGGCACCTAGTCTATGAACAAACAACCGCAACAGTGACTCTGGTAGAAGACGGACCATGGTGAGTCTCTATATGATCCAATAGGGAAACGGGAGTTTACTTTCTAACTTTCAAACTTTCAAACTTTCTGATGAAGGAGTGATAATAAAAGTATTTTTCACTAGAGCCGTATACCAACAACCTCTTATATTACTCTTCAGTTAGCGTGTTGTCTCTGTAGACGCGTCGCTACTGTTATCCTTGTTGGCGTTAGCTGTTGTTACCGCTCCTTCCTGCCAGGTGTCACTGTTATTATACTGGTTATTGATATTTCAACTTCGAGCAATGATGTCCGTGTGAGAGTTAATATTCCGCTATACATATACTATAAGCCTGTATGCATAAACATTTACCATGCATAACGTGTTATACATGTAATAAATGCTAAATGTATTATTTGATGATGAATAATAATAATTTATTATATCTCAATGTATAAAAATATTATTATTATTTGAATATGTATATATATATATATATATATATATATATATATAGGTGCTATCTCCAATACCCCCTGAAGATAACTCCTAACGTAGTAAAGTAATATATTGATAGTAGAATAAAATTGTATTTAGTGGAATAAATATTAATAGTGGAGAAAATCATGTTTCGTAGAGCCTACTTGACAAGTGCTACCAAAGGTATTGTAGTTGCAACTGGCCAAGAGACAATACCAAGAAAGTATAGTGAAAACTAATAGTAAATAGTTAGACAGCTATTAATTTAGTTCCTGTAGTAAGGAGGATTGCCTCTCTACGTCACATCTCTCCGCCATATGGAATTTTTATAATAGTTGCAAATTTTTCACATCTGCATTAGATGTTGAAGCATTTTCAAAGGGGAACTAAGGAGACAGCAAGACCAAGACCAAGACCAAGACCAAGAGAGAGAATGAGCTGATGAAGATAACCTTCTCCACTTTGTTTCAAAACTAGACACCATTTTTTTTTTTTTCACTTTCTTTTTGAAGATTTTTAGTTTGAAAGTTTTTTCTTATTCTGCATGAATTAGGAGCCATTGGCATTGTAACAAAAGTCATGCGAGCGCAAAAGCCCAATAGGCAACGAGCTTCAGTGTTTAGTAAGAGGGAAAAAAAAAGTACTCTAAGCTTCACAAGATGGCTTACTTGTTTCGTATTAAACGGCATACATTAATTTCTAAGCCATTGGCTATTGGCAGTGCCCCCTTTGCTTAAAAAAAATTAATTAAGAGAATTCGCGTTGCCTTTTAGCACAAAAATAAGCAACACTATCGAGCAGAGCGAGATAGTGTTGTATCAAGCTACAAAGTGTTGCCCCACTATCGAGCAGAGCGACACTATCGAGCAGAGCGAGATAGTGTCGCTCGATAGTGCTGTAACAAGCTACAAAGTGTTGCTCCACTATCGAGCAACACTCTCTCGCTCTGCTTGAGAGTGTTGTAGCAAGATATAAGGTGTTGTAACAAGCTACAAAGGATTGCTCCACTATCGAACAGAGTGAGATATAGCTAGTCAGTTACTCCACTATCGAGCAGAGTGAGATATCACTAGTCACAGCTACTCCACTATTTCGCTCTGCTCCCTAGTGTTGGAACTGACAGGTGTATATATGTCTCTTGGTACACATGGGTTTGGGGGTATCATTTATATATTTAGTAGGTGTACCCAGTTATATTTAGTAGGTGTGCCCAGTTATATATCTCTTTCCGTTGTTAGTAACTACCATTACATTTTGGCAATGCTTTGCATTTTTCACTACTATACTATACTATAATTTTATTTAAAGCTATACTATGCTACAGTTTTCTTTAAAGCTAGTATTCTTCCCCGACTCAATATGGTTGTCTCTATAAATATTCGTGCATTCCCTAGATGATTGTGCATTATCCAGATGGTTGTTTGTGCATTATCCAGATGGTTGTTTGTGCATTATCCAGATGGTTGTTTGTGCATTATCCAGATGGTTGTTTGTGCATTATCCAGATGGTTGTTTGTGCATTATCCAGATGGTTGTCTCTACACCTCTATAGCTGTCTCTACATTTCTATGGTTGTCTCTACATTTCTATATGGTTGTTTGTGCATTCTAGAGTTGTAGTTTTGTCCATGTTTCAAGGGTGTTGCAACCTCTCTATTCGGGAGTCATTAAAAAACATCACAAAGAGTCAACTTGGCAGAATGTTGCAATTGGTTATAATGAAACATTAATGTAAAGTTTAAACCAAACCCGTACGTAGAAAGCTTGAAAATGGTCTTAGCACTAGGCATTTAGCAACCTTGTGTTCCGGTCCCATTTTCTGATTTTTATTCTTGACTAATCATCTTTCAAGTAGATTGCCTGATTCTTCAATGTTGTACTTCATCCCCTTTAATTGATCTATTTTTGTCAATACAGCAATACCATCAAAATAAAGGGGTTGGGCTTTTGTGTGGCTCCCATTTACTAATGCTAGTGTCAATTATCAATTGCCCAATGCTAGTATCAATTATCAATCGTTTCCAATCAATACATTTTTGGATCAACAATCGTGTCTTCTTGATTCTTCGTCGATGAGTTGCCCAATATGGTAATAGTGCGGCTCAATTCAAGATCAAGATTTGAAAAAAAAAGAGCCATTATCATTGTATCTAGGGGCTACATCTGAAGGCTACATCTAGGGGCTACATCTGAAGGCTACATCTAGGGGCTTCATCTAGGGGCTACATCTGAAGGCTACATCTGAAGGCTACATCTAGGGGCTTCATCTAGGGGCTACATCTGAAGGCTACATCTGAAGGCTACATCTAGGAGCTACATCTAGGAGCTACATCTAGGGGCTACATCTGAAGGCTACATCTGAAGGCTACATCATTGCATCTAGGGGCTTCATCTGGGGGCTACACCTGAGGGCTACAAGTGAAGGCTTTATTATCACATCTAGGGGCTACACGCAAAGACCACATTTGAGAGCTTCATCAAACAGTTCTAGCTTCGAATAAGAATCTTTGGTTCGATATTGTTGTGGAGTAAAAGTTAGATTGTTTAAACTCCTCCTCCTCCACTTTGGTGCATTGGCAATTCCTCCTCAAATGAACTCGAGAAAACTTAGATCTAGAAACTCAACCTCTAGTATATCAAAACCATGTTACTTTGACTTTACCAACCTCAGCTGGTTTGTTCAGGACATTTTATTTGATAAACATGCTCAGTCTCCATTATTTGAGTACTATAAAAACGAAGAGGAAATTACTATAAAACCAATGCCAACGAATGCAGTTGCACTTGCCCATTCCACCGTTACCCCCTTCTCCAAAAATGACCCCTTGTCTGACTCCATATACTTGATATTTCATCGGAAAATGAAAAAGGATGAGAAGCAAATCTTTAATGATGAGAAAATAAGACACTTGGCGGAACTAGATACACTTCAACACTATTCGCGGTTGCTAGCCCTGGATGATTGGATTAAATATCTTCCAGAAATTACAAAAATCAAAGACCCAATGAGCCTAGAGGAGTTGGAGTACAAAAGAGAGTTGACACAAACAGAGATTCAAAATGTGCTTAGCAATCAAGCTCAATTAAGGAAAAAGATGGACCAGTTTACAACTATGATGAAAAAAGAAGCAAAACAAACGAGTAGGGACGATGGTAGTGGTGAACAACAAGCAAAAGAAGAAGAAGAAGAAGAAGAAGAAGAAGAAGAAGAAGAAGAAGAAGAAGACCGAAAAATAAAAGAAAAAGATAATGATAATGAGTACACAATTGCAATGGAAAACACTAAAAGGATAGAAAAGGGCCAATCAAGAGTATCCGTGAAAAAACAAATTAGCAGCAAATCAAAAAAGTCCCGCTTGGAACCGACGAAACCACCATTAAAACTTCTGGGTCATAAAACAATACTGAAAACACGTTGTAAATTAGACGACTTGGTCAATCCCATTGATGTCAAACTATTGGTTAGCGATACTCCAGAGAGTTTTCTATTTGGATGCGATTTACAAGACATGCCCGTTTCTTCAAAGGGATTTCAGCTACCTCAAAGTTTACGGAGAATGTGTAAATAAACAAAATAAATAAATAAAGATATACTAGCTTCCTATCTCCTCCCCCAACCCCCAACCCCACATCAAGTTTCCTTTTGCGAAATCTACTCAATATTCATCTATCACTTTTTTCACTTCCTCAATTAGAAAAGACATGTTTGATTCTTCATTAATATTATTGTATATCCATGCTAATGGTAAAGCATCTTTTATTGGGCTGGAAAGAAAAGTTTCATACTTTTTGAGTAGGTATATTCCCAATGCCCAGTTGAACATCTCTCTTTGATCAGAAACACTCTTTGATTTCAAATCAAATAGAAAATCAGATGCATGTGCCTGGATTACTGGTTGCAAATGCTGAGTAATAATGTTCACTTCCTCAGCAGATTTCAATTGTAAACGAGCCATTCTTTCAATAACAAAAATCAACAATTTCAATTCGTGTTCCTGGTTGGAACTTTCCGGTTTCAATACTAGCATCCTTGTCAATGCTTTAATTAGTTTAGTTCTTGATGCTTTATAATCATGCGCCGCTTGGTGCAATAATTGGAAAAAATTAGGTGCAATCATCTTTGATGAAAACGCTAACCGCAAACCATCCTGATATCTCGAATCAACTACTGATCTGAACTTGTCAAAAATACTCTTGTATAGCTCATTCGCCGCACGCTGCAATGGCATGATAGGCGATCCTTGCAACGCAATTAATGTAGGTGTACATTCAATAGGATTTGCAAAACCCAAATCCAAGGCTATTTTAACAAATCCAAATGGCATAAACGCCATCGACCCATCATCCAAAAGACAAAGCCTCAATATTTGACCAAGAAACCTTTCAACGAGAACTATACACGCTTTATGTTGAACATCGGTAATTACTTGCTCTCCTTTTCCATTTTCTTTCAAAAAAGTATTAAGCTCTTCAACCATGCCCTTTTTGAGTTCAAAATCCGACTCACTTTCAAACGCAGAGTCTAATAAATTCAAAACAGCGTCAGTTAATAAGTAATGAGGATAGCTTGAAGTGCAAGCAATAATGCTGGGATACGCCACCCGTTTAATTGTAATTGGCACTTTTTTGGGAGTAGTAAATATCATAATGTACCTCACCATTAGTGTCACAATAGACTCCTGAGGATTCAAAAATTTTCGCTCATGGAACTGGGAATCTAAGCTTTCCAAATGGCAGTATTTCCCAAGAAATGATAGTAACTGAAGGAGAATATTTATGATTAATGGGTCATTTGATGTGTAATGCTTCTTGATCAAATTCATTGTTGATATAGTAGCATTTACAATTTTGTACTCAGTCATGCTGTACTTTGTCAATGCATACAATGTTGGAACAACATAAATCAATTGTCTCCTTGTTAGATTGTGCAATTTTTTGAAAAAGAAATTCGTCACCTCTTCAATAAACGTTCCTCTAAACAGCTTAAGCGTTTCGGTTCCAACTTTCAAAACACGTAAAGCATATATATACCCTTCAGTCCAGAAATTTGTCTCTTCAAACAAAAATGGTTTTAGCAGGTCGAGCATGTCCTGGTTAATTATTGAGGGCATAGTAGTGGTGAAAACAGACACCATTCTCATAGCCTCATCTTTATCAATATCAATATCATTTATAACCTCAAGTATAGCAATATCAACATACTTTGAAACTAGTATAGTTAATGCTGTTTTCGAAAACACAGAGTTGGTGAGAAACATCCTCAAGTTGTCCAAGTTATGGCTAACTGCTCCTTTTATCCAATCAGACGCACCTCTTTGATCGGGATTTGTAGGATTGAAGAATAAATGCAATAGTGCTTCAGTAGCCTCTGCTCGAACAGAGTCCTCCTCATCTGACAACTTTTCAAATATTTTCAAACTCGTCTTTCTTCTATTCTCGTTATCGAGTTGAGTATAAACGCTTGCGCATGCTCGAATACATTTCTTCCGCACTAATACACTAGGATCGCTCAATGATTTGAATAATGGAATTAATAATCTTTCCCCTTCTACTGGATGAGATTTGATGTATTTGCTAATGAAATCATGCATAGCGTCTCTCACCAGTGTTGCTTGATCTTGAAGTCTACTAGCTAAAGCTTTCTGAACTTGCATCGAGGACAACACAGCCGGCTTGTCTTCTGCTAAAACTGATAATGCTTTAATCGCTTTGCTTCTCGTTTTGGCTTTTGTTGAATTAAGCAGCTCTTGAATAAACTCGAGATAATCTTTATATAAGAAGGATCGCAATTCTCCTATTACCAATGAGGAATATGTTTTACTAACCATATCCCTAGATTTTGTTGTTAGTTCATCTTCAATAGCAAATCCAACAGACGACGTCAATTTCAGCTTTAAACAGGCAAATGCATTACTCTTGTCAAAGCCTAGACAATTTTCTAGGATTTTGAGAGCCGTTTTCTCATCGATCTTTTCTTCAGTAAATTCTGCTCTAACGATTCTTTCAGAAAACGATATCAAAAAATCAAAAATTTGTAGCTCACCTGGTTTAGATTCATTCTTTGACTCTTTTAATATATTCAAACTTGCTGCCATACAGCTCAATAAAAGTAACTCAGAAGCAATCCATTCTGGAAAAAAACTCAATTTCCATAAATCTTCTACAAAAATTAGAAATTGCTCTGACCTAGTTGTAGGACTTTCTTGCATCAGCTTGATTAGCTCTATTGCTATATGGTTGGCTATTCCCAAAGGGTTTTCCGAGCAATTTACAAAACTATTCAACAAAACAGTAAATAATTGTGTTTGAAAACCTCTTTCGACTTTGAACCTTCTTGCAGTAATTCGTTTTCCTGATAAGGCTGGGAAACAGGACAAAACTTCAAACAAAATAAATGGTTGCTGATCAGGTAGATTTTTGTAGATGGAAGTTAGACATGACGTAGCAGCAACAGGAAGTACATCCAGTGGTATAGCAGCAACAGCTTCATTATTGTTGTTGTTGTTGTTGTTATTGTGATGATCCTTCTCCTCCCCCAGTAATGCTAATTCCACACAGGTTAGCTCGAGTTTCGTCAAATGACTATCATCAAACGGTCGTAGATTCGTGATTGATGCTAGATACTTTAATGCATTGCTTGTCTCTGTCACAACTGTTTGAGACTGTTGCAAACAGTCTTTTTCTGAAACCACAACTAATTCATCATTGAGAGGGGACAAATATTTACAGACATTCAACTCAATGCTCTCAATAATAATATCAGTGTATTTATACTTGACATCTGCCGTTTTCAAAATCAACAATAAACAATTTATACCAAAAACCGATTTCAACAATTGCGGCAAATTAGACTTGAAATCTTCAAAGTTGGACACGGAGCATTTACTCAAGGTCTCATAAGTCAGCTTCAAATTGGTTTTACAAAGTTCCTGAACGCAAATTAAATCTCTTGTATCACTTGCCAGTAATTGTCGTCCTCCTCCTAGGTTGGACAATGTTTCACATAGTGAAGCCAAGCGTTCCCAAGTTACTTCAACTTCACTTTTCTGCGATTTGTTCAAAAACAAAGCAAACTTGCCCATTTCCGTCTTGTGTCGTGTTTCAATAGACTGTTGCGGGATGTGAACCACCTTTACCGGTTCCTCTTTTGGCTCTTTTGATTCTTTTGGTTCTTTTGGCTCTTTTGTCTCTTTTGGTTCTTTTGGCTCTTTTGGTTCTTTTGGCTCCTCTTCTAAACTCAAGCTCCTCACCTTTGATGCTTCTTTTTCAAACTTTTTAAAATACTTTAGCTTATGTCGCTGGATATAGTCGGGGTCATCTATTGGATATTTCTTTCGTAGTGATAACCTTCTGGTTTGCACAAATTCATCTTGCTCAACAAGAACCTGGGTTTTCCCGAGTTTTTCCCTTGCCAAGACCCTAGCTTCAAACTCGTCTGTATACTCAAATTTTGCTTCATTGAGCACTTGTTCCTTAGAAGAAACCATAAACTCAACATGGTCCACCTCATCATCAACGAAATCAAGAAATTCCTCCTGACACGCAATTTGCAAATCCTTTGAGCACCAATCTTCCAGCACCAGCTCCCCTATTTCAACAAGTGGGGTTGTTCCAGAAAACACAGACGCGTCACTTTGAGGCGCTAACATCAGTAGATTCACCATGGGAACAACATTTTGCTTCGGTATTAGGTGAAGCAATGGCGCCGTCGCCAACACATCCTTGATATTTTCAGGTACCAACAGTTTATCACTCATCAAATATGCACACACCAACCCAAACAACACCTAAATACCCATCAAATAACCCACTAAACCAACCAAATCCTCTAAACCTACAACTCACCTTCTTGTCCATCGGCGGGGGGGCCTTTTACCAAAAATTGAAAAAAATTTCCCAATCGGGTTATTGTCGCGAAAATAACAGCTAAAAGAGACACGACACCGGAAAAATTGACTCCACATATGGTAGCAGTAGAGACATATGGTAGCAGTAGAGACATATGGTAGCAGCGTCAAGTCACAAGATATGTTGCAATTTTTCCGATAATTTTTCAATTGAATAGAGAGGAGGGAGGGAGGAGGAAAGAGGAGGAAGGGAGGAAAGGAAGGAAGGAACGGAAGGAAAGGAAGGTGTAGGAGAAATCGCTTGGCTTGAGAGGATAGAGTTTGTTTTCGGTGTGTATATTGATTATTTCCTTTTACAAATGGTTGGCAATAGAGATATAAGTCTAACAAAGGAGCATATCGAGTTTTTGAACCAGCGTTTAGTCACTTTTTCGCCTCAGGACTTGATAAAATGGGCTTATTTCACATTCCCCAATTTGTATCAAACCACGGCGTTTGGATTGACGGGGTTGGCTATAACTGATATGATATCGAAAATTTCCAATTGTAAGATTGAGTTGATCTTTTTAGATACCTTGTATCATTTCCCACAAACTTATGAGTTATTAGAGCGTGTTCAAGAAAAGTACCCTGATTTGTTAATCCACGTGTTTAAGCCGCTCGGGGTCGAGACAGAAGCTGAGTTTGTAGGTAAATATGGTGACCAGTTATGGGAAACAAATGACAAGTATTATGACTACCTAGTCAAAGTCGAACCAAGCCAAAGAGCGTATAAGAATTTAAACGTGAATGTTGTCCTCACAGGAAGAAGAAAATCCCAAGGTGGTTCAAGATCACAATTATCAATATTGGAAAAGGATGAAGCGAATAATATTATCAAAATCAACCCATTATGGAATTGGGATTTCAACCAAGTCAAAAATTACATTGACGAAAATAATGTACCGTTTAATGAATTGTTAAACTTGGGCTATAAGTCGATTGGTGACTGGCATTCTACTGTTCCAGTGGCCGACGGCGAGGATGAAAGAAGTGGGAGGTGGAAGGACAAGGTGAAAACAGAGTGCGGAATTCATATAGCAAAGGACTTTGCTCATTTTAGATTGAGCGACACTATCGAGCGAAGCGAGATAGTGGAGAAAGACTAGACAGACTATCGACACTATCGACACTATCGAGCACACTAGCTGCCACCGACACTCTCCTCTCTCTCCCCTACTCTCTAGACTAGACAAGTGAAAGGAGTCTAATCGACACTATCGAGCACACTAGCTGCCACCGACACTCTCCTCTCTCTCCCCTACTCTCTAGACTAGACGAGTGGAAGGAGTCAAAGCAATACAATCTCGCTTCGCTCGATAGTGGAGCACACTAGCTGACACCGACACTCTCCTCTCTCTCCCCTACTCTCTAGACTAGACGAGTGGAAGGAGTCAAAGCAATACAATCTCGCTTCGCTCGATAGTGGAGCACACTAGCTGACACCGACACTCTCCTCTCTCTCCCCTACTCTCTAGACTAGACGAGTGGAAGGAGTCAAAGCAATACAATCTCGCTTCGCTCGATAGTGGAGCACACTAGCTGCCACCGACACTCTCCTCTCTCTCCCCTAATCTCTAGACTAGACAAGTGAAACGAGTCTGAGCGACATAGTCTCGCTTCGCTCGATAGTGTTGCTTCCCTCGCTCGATAGTGGATCACACTCTATTCTACTCTCTTTTCTCTCTCGACTATAACAAGTTACAAAGTGTTGCTCCACTATCTCGCTTCGCTCGATAATGTTGATAGTGTTGATAGTGTTGCCCCTCCTTTCCTTATCTGGAAATATGCGCTTTTCAAATGTCACACAAAGACGTAAATTTACAGATGCGGAATTGATAAGGCATTTAAAGCAAACCGGAATTCATTCTACTTTTGAGTTTCTGACAAATAGAACTCCAAAGTGATGAAACGTTTGCTTTCCTTTTCAAACAGGATGTTAAGGGAACCTGTACAAAAACAGTGCAAATTTGCTGAAATTGACATATACCAAATATCGGCACTTGGTGAAATTGACATATACCAAATATCGGCACTTGGTGAAATTGACATATACCAAATATTGGCACTTGGTTTCATCTCCATCTTAATTTACTACTTTTTAATATATCCGATAACCTCGCCATTATGGAAAGTTCCCGGCCCTTATCTTTATAGAATATCCTATATTCCCAGCTTGAACCATCAAAGAAAACATAGATGGATAGAGAGAGTATACAATTTACACCAGCAATACGGGCCCCTTGTCATTCTATCTCCTAATGAACTAAGTGTAAATGGCTCGCAACAGTTTATCATTGACATATACTTGAAGAATTTCCCCAAATCCAAGTTTTACCAGAACTTCACCAACCATGGTTCAAAAGATAACTTATTCGCAACATTGACAAATGAGAAACATTTACATTATAAAAAGATGATCACGAGATTGTACAGCAAGAGCGCAATAATGTCAAGGGAAAATAACACGAGGGAAATATTGGTGGATACCACGAGAAAGTTAGTCAATGTGGTTCATCAAAGCTCTGTATCGGGTGAGCTACCGGACATATACTCAGTGAAACCGGAATTTAATCCTCGAGCAAAAAGTCATAAACAAGATTGGTTTAATAAGCTGAAAAAAAACCAAAGCGGGAAAAATTTAGGCATTGAAGTGTATACCTTATTTGGTGCATTTGCCATGGACGTGATCTCAAGGTTCGAATTGGGCATAAATAATGGGCTGGACTTGTTGTCAAATCCGGTAGAAAGAGAAATAATAATGAAGCATAGACAAGTGTCAAGTATGGGGTTTTGGACTAGTTTCATGCCGCAATTTTGGGTTCTTGCTGCGACGAAATTGATAAAAATGGCAGCTGATGATATTACCAAGTTCCAACTATCGTTATATGCCATTGCTGAAAAGAATCCTTATCCCACAACAAAAGGCAAGAATAGGACTACCCTAGAAACTCTAAAAAGCAACGGACTTGAAAAAGATTATGCATATTCGTTTCTTACCGATAATCTATTTGCTGGTCATGAAACCACAGCTACACAGTTATGCTACCTTACCGACCAGCAAATTCCAATTTACAACAACTCTTGAAACGGGAACTACTCGAAAATTTCGGCATACCCAATAATAAACTAGACGTTATTGATGACTTGGAAAAAATCGATCAACTCCAGTTTCTCAATTCGCTACTTTTAGAAAACTCGAGAGTACATGCCTCGATCCCTGGTGCAGAACCGCGAATAGTAGACAAAGAAGATTATTGTGTAAACGGTATCCATATCCCATTAGGAACAACAATATCGTGTCTTCCCTTTGCTCTTCATAGAGAACCCACAGTTTTCCCCAATGCGATGGCATTTGTTCCTCAAAGGTGGCTACCATACCCTCACGAACTGGAGACCACATATAAGATGCGATTAAAACAACAAAATAAATTCATGATGCCCTTTGGGAAGGGAATTAGAATGTGTTTGGGAATGAACTTGGCTCAGCTCGAAATAAAGCTTGTTATAGCCAATTTATACTGGCACTACTCATCTCAACTCGATCCTGATTGGTGTCACGTGACTCAAGATAATACACCCATCAAGTTAGGTAGCAAATGGCAAGGCTCAAATAGAACAGATCAAGAAATGATGTGTATGAACGATGCATATACTACGAACCCGGTGAATGATGAGTGTTGGTTGCGTTGGTTTGAGCACGACACTAGCGAGCAAAGCGAGATAGTGGAGCAGCACTGAACGACACTAGCGAGCAAAGCGAGATAGTGGAGCACACTGAACAACACTAGCGAAAAGGATATAATCAATCCCGTGTGTAGCATCTAAAGCATGTTGGTAGCAGCTAGTGTGTTCCACTATCTCGCTCTGCTCGATAGTGCACTGTGAAGCATCTAAAGCATGCAGATAATAGTAAAAGCTAGTCAGTGGTGCTCCACTATCTCGCTCCGCTCGCTAGTGTCGTTCAGTGCTGCTCAACTATCTCGCTTCGCTCGATAGTGCACTGGTTTTGATTGGTTTTTTTTTTTGTGTGACACAACAAGGTTGCAAAAAAATTTACAACCAACCATTTTCCTTAATTTAGTCTACGTTAATCATTAGTGAACCTGTAGAACACGCTGAAAATAGGAAATTGTAAAATACACTAAACTAATACTTTTTTGGTGGACGTCACACTGACCGACACTATCGATGACACTATCGATGACACTATCGAGCAGAGCGAGATAGTGGAGCACACTAGCTGCCACCGACACTATCTCGCTTCGCTCGATTGTAGAGCACACTAGCTGCCACCAACACTATTGAGTGAAGCGCGATAGTGTCATTGACAGCTAGTATGCAACACTATCGAGCAAAGCGATTTAGGTCACTAGTCAGCGGTGCACCACTATCTCGCTCTGCTCAATAGTGTCGATAGTGTCGGTGGCAGATAGTGTCGCTTGATAGTGCCGATAGTGTCGGTGGCTACCAGTGTGCAACACTATCGAGCGAAGCGAGATAGTGTCGATAGTGTCATTGACAGCTAGTATGTAACACTATCGAGCGAAGCGAGATAGTGTTGCACGCGGAAAAATATCACCGAATTAATCCTTCGGAAAAAAAGAAGGGGTCGGTTATTTAATGACAAGGTTAATGAATAATTATTGTTAAAGGAAGCACCGGGTTCAAAGTTTTCACCAACATACATATTGTTTAAAAGCCTTTTCTGAATCACGTCTCCTTCACCTCCTTTTTGTCCTTCTCTTCCGCCTCTCTGGGTCTTTAAAGCTCGTTGTTCCAGATTAGCCGCCTTTCCTACAATTTATATATTGCGGTTTTATTTTGACACTTTGAGTATAAAAAGAAAAAAAGAATTTGCTATACATTTCCCCATTTAAAGTTTCAATTCTTGAGTAAAAGGTCTTCTTGATTAACCTCTTTCTAGCTAACTAGGGTAGAGCCTTTTCTTTTCTTTTCTTTTGCTTTCCTTTTCCTTTTCTTTTCCCTATATTGGTGTGGACCCTGGAAGAAGGAGCTAAGCTAAGAAATATCCTCGTTTCATCTGCTTCATATTGACATATTATATTTCCGGCAATTGCAATTCACCGCTATTTTATTCACTCAGATGTTACCGTTTGCATGGCCGTATGCTGAAGAGCAAGAGATTGGGTATTGGGGTAAACCGCTGAGTACAATTGACTGGTGCGAACTAAACTATGCTGTTACTCCCTATATTGCTGAAGCTGTCAATACTGTGACAAATGCCGCATTTATAGCACTCGCATTACTTGCGGTTTACCAAGCCCAAAGTAACCATTTAGAAAAGAGGTTTATAGTTACTGCATTTGGATTCTTGTTGGTTGGTATCGGTAGTTGGTGTTTCCATATGACACTTAGGTATGAGTACCAGTTATTGGACGAGTTGCCTATGCTATATGCCACAATTGTGCCGTTTTGGAGTATCTACAGCTCATTCAAAACTAAGAAACAGTCTTTGATGATTGGAATGGGTATTTTCCTTGCAACAAATTTATTAACAATTATTTATCTTTGGATTAAGAACCCAACACTCCACCAAACAGCTTATGCCGTGCTCAACTTTTGTATCATTTATGAGTCGATAATATTGAGCTGGAAATATATCAGAGATGCTAAAATTAGAAAGAAAATGGATAGAATTGCTATATTTGGTGTAGGTATTTTCCTTTTTGGATACCTTTTGTGGAACTTGGATATCCATTTTTGTGATGAAGTTAGATCGATTAGACAAGGTTGGGGTATTCCGTATGGGTTTGTCTTGGAAGGCCATGGATGGTGGCACATCTTTACAGGAACCGGTGTTTATTTTTCATTGATTTATGAGGAGTATTTAAGATGTTTTCTTACTGGTACGGATCAGTTTTTCACCCTAACGTATTGTTTGGGATTTTTACCTGTGGTTACATGTATTGATCCAAAAGGCTTAGAGAGATACAGGGAAGTTAAGAAGTTGAGAGAGATGGACGATGAAGCAACAAAGAAGATCAAAAAACAGTGAAAAAATGCAATAAAACAATAAGCAAAAAGCAAAAAAGCAAAAAAAAAAGGGGAAAAGAGAAATTACATTGTACTAGATACTAGAAAATTATACAGAGAGACATTGTAATAAAAGGTTATCATCAACCAACCTCTCTTCTCTCGCGTATTACTAATCAGAGGCTTTTAATAAGCTCGGTTATGTATCCACTGGAGTTTTGCTCTAATAATTTTTTCAACTCGCGACAAGCGCTCTCAGGATCAAGGTTATTTTCTTTTCTCCAAGTTTTCAATACTTTTTTCAAATTGTCCACCTCCATCTTGAGTTCTTCAGGTGAAGATATATGCTGCGCTTTGCTTGCCGTTTCCTTATCGCTCTCCAACTCCATTGCCTTCCTCTTTGCCATCTTGATAATCTTTTCAGGAAACTTGACCATTTCAGCTACATTAATACCAAATGATTTTGATGAAATTCCAGGTTCAATTTTATACATTAATGTAATATCATCCTTGTTTTCCACATAGGCTACAACGTGCAAATTCTCAACATCATTGGGATATTTTTCAGCCAATTGATTCAATTCATGGAAATGAGTAGCAAATAAAGTGATACATTTCTTAACTCGAATTAGGTGTTCCAGTATTGACCAGGCAAGACCAAATCCATCGTATGTAGAAGTACCTCTACCTAATTCATCTATGATAATGAGTGAGTTTTGCGTTGCTGTGGCTAGTATCGACGAGGTCTCCAACATTTCAATCATAAATGTAGATAATCCTTTCAATTGCGAGTCTCCAGCTCCAACACGAGACAAGATCGAGTCAAACACGGGTAACGTGACCTCGCCTTCATCTGCTGGTATAAAGGAACCAACTTGTGCCATTAGTGCTATTGTAGCAATTTGTTTCAAATAAGTAGATTTACCTCCCATGTTTGGCCCAGTGATGATATTAAAGAATTTACCACTAATCTTGACATCGTTGGGCACAAAGTCAACATCATCTTGAATTTCTAATAATGGATGTCTTGAGTTTTCAATGTGTACCTTTCTTTCTGTGCAATCAAGGGGAATCATCTTGGGTTTAACAAATGTTGTAGGAGCAACTAAAGCAGCATTGGCAAAGCTGAGAATAACATCCAAATGCGACAAGTCCAAGCTCAATTTTAAAAATAAGGACCTGTAAGTTAACGCAATTGAGATGACTTCACGGATCAATTCTCTTTGTTTACAATTATAGTCATCACAAGATTGAGCATAAACTTGTGCTTGTTTTCTTAACTCAGTTGTAGTAAAGTATACCCCAGCTTTAACTGTTTGTATTTCGATATATTTCCTATTATTTCTCAAAACGACTGAATCATTTCGAGTCAATCTCATACAGTAGCCATGAACCTGGTGATTTTCAAGTTTTAATTTTTTATCTGGATCCATGTTCAAATCATCAGCGGCTTCTGCATGCGATTGTTTGATTTTATCCATTGACTTATTTTTACGTTCATTAATATCAATTAATGATGAGTCAAACTCAGGACGGATGTCGAAATTGGAGTGTAGATCATGCAAGCCTTTCAAGTCAACTGTAGTTTCAACTAGTTCTTGGAATTTAACAAGTGCAGCATACAGTTTCTTTATAGGTTCTAGCCAATATTTATCCAGCAATTCGCTCTGATCTTGCAATAGTTTGATCAAATCTGGTAAAAGAAGAACCATTTGATATAATCGAACCAAGTCTTCCAATTTCTTGTTTTCATTGCCGTTTTTACTTATAGATATTGTCATTTTCTTTAATAGTCTCTTTATATCCGGGATTTGAGATAGAATATCCTGTATGGAAACCCTTGTACTGGCGTTATCCATTAGAAAACTAACCAACTCCTGCCTTTCTTCAATTTCTGTGACCGAAGTTAAGGGCTGTTTCAACCATTGCGATAATAATCTCGCTCCACCAGCTGTTTTGCATTTATTCAACAATTCGAAAATCGAGGTGATTGAGCTAGTTTTAAACTCGGGGAATAAGTTCAATGCCTTCATTGTTGCTGAATCCAATTTCATAAAGGACGATAAATTGTACTTTTCAATGGTATATTTTCTCCTCAGAGACTCGTCATTTTCAAGTAAATTCAAATAAGCAATCAATTCGTTACAAGAAGCTAACGAAAGCGGGAGCTCAGCCATCTTCATGCCTTTTGAAGAAAAAGCCATTTCAAGGTTTTCTTCCTCCAACAATTTAACCAAATCCTGTTCAATATTTTTAGTATTGAAATGAGTGCCCGTGCTAATGACGATGTTGCTAATTTTGTTAATCACCTGTAATAGCTTCTTATCGGATAAGTTTGGTAAAACAACCTCCTTTATTCCCAATTGCACCAATAATCCTTCCAAATTTGAAAATAAATCATTATCTTCAAACTCACACAATTGGATCAAATCCTCTTCTATTAAACATACCCCGACACGGCTACCTTGCACCTTTACGGCAGCAATGGACGAGTTTGAACAATCCTGAAACTCAAAGTTGATTTCATACTCCTCGCTCACGGCATCAAGGTTTCCTGCAGTACCACTAACAACCAATTGATACGTCTTGCTATTATAAATCTCAACCCGCATTTGTTTATCCAAAAGCACAAATTTCAACACGTTTTGAAACACTTGAGGCGATATAGTGATATACTTGATCCCGTCCTGAATTTTTATGACCGATCTGGTCTTGTATATCTCGTCAGCTATAAGTTCAGCATCGCAATCAAGGCAAGTGAAATAATCTTTATTATGGTCAACAAATCGAATATCATTAGGATTCTTGCCAGCTAAATTTTTGATAAACGACTTCTCGTTCCAGGTATTGGAAAACTTTGTATCTAGACTTGAAGACATCTTAGAGAGCAAACCACCTGCAGTTGTCAGCCGAATATACCAATCCTTTTTGCCCCTTGTAATTTACCCTTCTGTTAATCTGGTTGATTTTTACTCTCGTGTTAATTTTTCTTTCCATTTTTTTTTTTTCAAGACGCGTCTTTTGATGAGCTTGGGGGGATCACGGCGGTATGGGCGACATAGCACTAGAGCTGTAGCGTTATATGATATGGCGTTATAGTGGCATAGTGCCATTGTACGAGTGTGGCATTGTATCATTGTACCATTGTTACTGTCAATGCACGGCATTCAACAGCAAGTCCATCAGGGTGTTTTCCAGCTATCAGAGGTGTTTATACGCGTATTACAGGTTCTGCTTGGGCGGGGTTCTACTTACTAAAGATTTGCACTTACTATCGAGCGAAGCAAGACAGTAGAGCAGCACTAGGCTTTTACTCACCTGTTTCCGCATATTGCGGGTTTGTATTACACTAGTTTGCGCATATCACAGGTTTGTAGTCTCGGCATATTACAGGTTTGTATTACACTAATTTCTACATATTACAGGCTTTTGAGCCGATCTCGCTCTGCTCGATAGTGAGCAACACTTTGTAGCCATAGTATGGCTCACTTTGCTCGATAGTGGAGTAGCATTAAATAGTTATACACGTGTGTTATTAAAATGTGCTCCTCCACTGTCTCGCTTCGCTCGATAGTGTCGCTCTACAGATTTTCCACTTAATAAAGGTGCGCAACATCAACAGATCCCAACAACAAAGGTCTAAAAACCTAAAATATTTCAAAAGCTAGTTGAATCAATGTAACAATCAATTCCAAACCAGCCCCTAAAAACTATTATATTCAGCAATAGAACCTAAATTTGTAAATAAATAAAAAAAAATTAGAGGTTTCAAAGAGATCTACAACAATGGTTTCCAACTCATCCCCTCCATCATCCTGTCATCTTTGTTCAGGAAAATTGGGTTTTGCTAAAAAAAAAAAAAACTGGTATTTTCTTGTCTGATTATACCTTGATGGTTCCCAATGAAACTATAAATCTATGTTTTTTGTTTTTTTTCAACAGAAACTGATAATGGTTCTATCAAAATTTTTGATTTTGATACCAAGAAAATAAAACGTCTCATCTCATCTCTATTTTAGTAAGTAGGATCCTAAAGGGAAGCCTTCCTAATTTCAATTTTATAGTTTAGACTATGCAAGTACCTACCAATTTTTTTTTTTTTTTTCAGTTGAGGAGGGGGGGGAAAGAAAGGAAGGAGGGTGGTTTGTATTGGTGAGTATACAACTTTAAAGATGATTGAACATAACATTGTCTTTTGATATACCTTAAACAAATTTTTTTTTTTTGAATCAAGCCTTGGCAAAGGAATACCTTGATGGGTATAGCCGTACTTGATGAGAGTAAATAATGGTGGTATAAAAGAGGGTTCATATTCTTTAAATCCTCAATGGTTGTCTTTATTGCAAATTATTGGTTAGTTGGTCTGCAAGGATGAGGTTTACCAATGCGTTTGTGGTGTCTGCTTTAGCAATTGGTTCATTTGCGGTAGATGTTGGCTTGGAAAATGCTGCTTCTTTGGAAATAAGAGAAATTGAACTGGGTGAAGTATCGGTATTAGTGCCGAAGACTAGACAAGTGGAGAACAAGGAAACCACTTTTTCTGTTAACGGGTGCCATTTCCATGGCGATGTGCAATATTGTCTTGACGCTGATGGAAACGAAGGTTATATTGACCCAGTGCCAAAAAATGCACCAGAAAGCTATACCGGGTGCCACTCACACGGAAACGAGACCTTCTGTATGAATGGTGACGATGAAGTGCAGTTCATTCCTGGGGAAAAAGATACCGAATCAGACGACGATCATGATCATGAGCATGAGCATGAGGACGAGCATGAGCATGAGCACGAGGAGGACGAGGATGAAGGTGCCACTTTTTCTGTTGACGGGTGCCATTTCCATGATGATGTGCAATATTGTCTTGACGCTGATGGAAACGAAGGTTATATTGACCCAGTGCCAAAAAATGCACCAGAAAGCTATACCGGGTGCCACTCACACGGAAACGAGACCTTCTGTATGAATGGTGACGAGGAAGTGCAGTTCATTCTTGGGGAAAAAGATACCGAAGCAACCACATCTGGAACCAATTGTCACTTCCATGCAGGTGTTGAACATTGTGTAGACGACAATGAAAATAAAGATACTGAAACTTGTGAAAAAGTTGATCGTGACTACAACATTCCCATCAGAATTGGAGCATTATTTGCCATTTTGGTCACAAGTGCAATTGGGTCATTTGGTCCAATGGTTCTTAAATCATTATTCAAGTTGAATCAAGAGAACATTTTCATTACAATCGTCAAGCAGTTCGGTACTGGTGTGGTTATATCAACAGCTTTTGTTCATCTCATGACTCATGCTGCTTTGGTCTGGGCAAATTCTTGTCTTCATATAGGATACGAAGCTGTTGGACCTGCTATTACTATTGCCGGTATTTTTGTTGCATTCATTGTTGAATACATTGCCTACCGTTTATTGTCAAAATCCTTAAAATCGAGATCTACGGTATCTCAAATAACCGCATCGGGAGACGTTGAACAAAAAATCGAAAGCCAAGAGCAAACTCTTGATGAATCTTCTGACAATGGCAATGACCTTGCTGCTGCAAGCCACCACAACCATGGTCTTGACCAATCTGTCAAGGACAAAATCTCGGTATTTATTCTTGAGTGTGGTATAATATTCCATTCAATTTTGATTGGATTAACATTGGTAGTAGCTGGAGACTCATACTTTATTACATTGTTCATAGTAATTGTATTCCACCAATTTTTCGAAGGTTTGGCCTTGGGTTCAAGAATTGCAGATATCAGGGCAAATTTACTAACCAAATTATCAATGGCTGGTGCATTTGCAATAATTACACCCATAGGAATGGCCATTGGTGTTGGTGTATTACATAAATTCAATGGTAATGACGTATCGACCATTATTGCATTGGGTACTTTGGATTCATTCTCAGCTGGTGTTTTGCTTTGGACCGGGTTGATTGAGATGTGGGCCCACGACTGGTTGGATGGACATTTACGCACAAGCAACTGGATTCATACCCTGTTGGCTATGGTTTCCTTGATTGCCGGATTGTTGTTGATGAGCTTATTGGGCAACTGGGCCTAATATATTACCAGAGACATTTTATCCTCTCTATATATAAATAGAAGGTTTATACACCTATTGTCAGAGACATTCTATCCTCTCTCTATATCAATAGAAGGCTTATACAACTTTCGACAAGGCTAGCGCATCTCTTTAATTCATTCATCTATTTTTCACGAAGCACTATCTAGCGAAGCGAGATAGTGTCACTCGATAGTGTTACTCGATAGTGTCACTCGATAGTGTTACTCGATAATGTTACTAGATATTGTCACTCGATAGTGTTACTCGATAGTGTTACTGGTCAATGGTGCTCTACTATCTCGCTTCGCTCGATAGTGTCACTCGATAGTGTCACTCGATAGTGCTCTACACTCTCTCGGCCTACATCGATGACAGAAAAGTGCCATAGCCAGTAGCCATGACAACGGAAAGTAACCTCATCCTTCGTTTCCTCCCTCTTCTGTGTCATAAATTCGGAGTTTCACTAGTCAATCGCGACTATCTCGCTTCGCTCGATAGTGCCGCTCGATAGTGTCGCTCGATAGTGTCGCTCGATAGTGCCGCTCGATAGTGTCGCTCGGTAGTGCCGCTCGATAGTGCCGCTCGTTTCCTCCCTCTTCTGTGACATGAACTCGGAGTTCGGTCCACCTTTCAACACCCTTTATCGTTTTCCTCTTTGTTTTTTTTTTTTTTTTTTGTTTTTGTTTTTGATTTGGCTGTTTTAGGAAGATTGATTTGTTGCATTTCATATAGTGAAAAATTGTATAACGAAAGCCGGGGGAGGGCCAATTTTCAATTCGAATTTAACCAGATTGGCGCCTCTTCTGGGTTATTCGTAGAGTAGAGCTGAAGGATATGAGTAATGAATATGAACCATTGGAGATAATAGGCAAAGGATCCTTTGGAACAGTACGTAAAGTGCGAAGCAAGATTGATAACTCTATTGCCGTCCGAAAAGAGATTGAATACAAGTCGATGAATAGTCATGAAAGAAACCAAATTATCTCTGAGCTACGTATATTGAAAGAGTTGAATAATAAGAACATAGTGAGGTACTATATGCATGACCATATAATAAGTCAAAAGTGTATACACATATATATGGAGTATTGTTCTGGAGGTGATTTGGCCAAGTATATCTCTGACTACAAAACAAACAAAGAGGATGTACCCGAGGAGTTGATATGGCAGGTCTTGGTGCAGATGTTGTTGGCATTGTATAGGTGTCATTACGGTTGTGACGCTGAAAAAGTCAATTTGTTTCACCAAGAGGATAACTTGTCAAATAAACTACGCAACGTTTCACCAAAGATCAACTCAGATTCAGTGATCATTCATCGAGATATCAAGCCAGATAACATATTTGTTGAAAACGGCGTTTTCAAATTGGGTGACTTTGGCCTTGCAAAGATGTTGACAACCCAAAATGATTTTGCAAAAACTTATGTTGGTACGCCATACTATATGTCGCCCGAAGTATTAATGGATGAGCCCTACCTGCCGGTATGTGACATTTGGTCCTTGGGTTGTGTCTTATACGAGCTATGCAATTTGCAACCGCCGTTCCAGGCAAAGACCCATTTGCAATTACAGTCAAAAATCAAAAGGGGAATAATTCCCAATTTATCAGAGTCCTACTCATTTCAATTACGATCTATAATAAAAGAGTGCATAACAGTTGATCCAAATCTTCGTCCATCGTGTTACGATCTTATAAACTCACTAAGCATCAAGTTTTTAAGAAAAGAAATGGAGTTGGCCGAATATAATCGAACTTTATCCCAGTTGAAATACGAGCTCATCAATAAGAATGAAGAATTGAAGAAAAAAGAACAGTTTCTACAAATACATGAATCTAAACTTAAGGAAAAAGAATTGAATTTAACCCAGATGGAGAATAACTTGATTGAGGAATTCAATCTAAAGAAAAAGTCGTTGGATTTGGAAGCTAAGGAAGTCAGGTTGGGATATCAAAAGGAATTCTGGACAGTGGTGGAGAAAGAGGTTGAAAAGAAAGTTCAAGAAAGATTGAAGTCAAGGCCAAGAGGACCCAGAGAACTAGACGATATACATACAGCTACTACTAGCGGCACCAACGACAGCAATAATAACAGCAATAGCAACAGCAATAACAACACCAACAACACCAACAATATACTTCGTAATAAAAATTTGAATCTAGCACAAGAAACTATACCTAATAATCTCCCTTTCAGCAATCATAAATTCAGAGTCACTGATGAATATGAACGTCAAAGAAATATAGAAATACGCAAGTATCGTATCAACTAAAAAAGTACACAATACAAATCAAATCAAATACCCTTGTCCTTTTTATTTTGTTTTTCTTTTTCTTTTTTTGGTTCACTCCCACTTGTTTCCTGTCAATTGTTCATAAGCTTCTATATACTTGTGCCTAGTCTTTTCCATAATCTCTTCATCCATAGCGACTCCGTCTTTCCCATTCAATTTGTTCAGAGTCAACCAGTCTCTTAAAAACTGTTTGTCATAAGATTCTTGCCCTTGACCAACTTTGTAGTTCTTTGCACTCCAAAATCTTGACGAATCAGGAGTCAACACTTCATCAACTAAAACAATTTGCCCATCTCCATCTAATCCAAATTCAAATTTTGTATCAGCAATGATTATTCCTCTGCCCTTGGCAAACTCTTTTGCCTTGACATATAGATCAATTGCAATTTTGGCAACTCTGTCACATAACTCTTTTCCCACAATCTCAGCAGCTTGTGCAGGTGAAATATTCTCATCATGGTCACCTTGTTCAGCTTTGGTAGATGGAGTGAATATTGGTTCCTTAAACTCTTGTGATTCAACCAACTCCTCATTAATGGGCAATCCATGAACTGTCTTGGTTTTTGAGTACTCTTTCCATGCAGATCCGGTGATATACCCTCTAACAATGACTTCTAATGGAATCAATTTCAATTTTTTCACAATCAAAGCACGTCCTTCTAACTGGTCCCGGAACCTCTCCAATTGCGGGTACTCTTGAAACAAATCTTTCTTTATAAGATGGTTTCTAACAGGCAAGAAATCAAACCAAAATTCAGATAATTTGGTGAGAATTTTTCCCTTATCGGGAACACCATTAGCCATAATCACATCGTATGCAGAAATACGATCCGTAGCAACGAAAAGCAAGGTATCCTTGTCTAGCTCGTAAATATCCCTGACTTTACCTCTACCTAAAAGAGGTACAACACCTTCTAGGTCAGTCTGTGTCAACGACATCTTTTGTAAAATACTTTGTATGCTCTAGAGTTTGACCTCATCTCCAAACCAAATTGAAAAATTTTGAGAGGCTTTTTTTTTTTCTTTCTTTTTGGTGAGCATTTTTTTTGCATCCATTGAAATATCGCCTATACAAATCAAATCACATACACAGACACACTTTAGTGTTCAGGGTTCAGGGTTCAGGGTTCAAATCAGTTTAAAGAGACCTTCAGCTAATAATTCCAATTCACAGGCCACTACAAAGAAAACTCACTTTAATACAATAGCTATCCACTGGGCTTCAATGATTAACAAACTTTGAAAGTGAGTATGAATCCTATCTTTAATCAATTCTGGTGATTCATTTGGTTCTGACTTAGTTGTGGACTAACACTAGAACTAACGCTTAAATGAGCAGCTTCAAGGATCTGTTGTGGGAGTAGCTGAGAAGGGCTGTTGTTAGCTGCAGCTGGGGAACTTTCAGCTGGGACTTGCAAATGTTGTTGTTGTTGTTGTTGCTGCTGTTGTTGTAAACTAGCTGTTTGTCTATTACGGGCCTGCTGCTGTTGCTGCTGTTGGAGATTAGCAAGATACTGAGCAGCCATTTTTGTTACTTGTTCTTTTGAAAGTCCGGGATTTTGGTTTTGAATTGAATTAATAACAGCAGAGATTTGAGAGGGCTGGAATTGCATTCTCGGACGTTGCTGTTGCTGCTGTTGTTGCTGTAGATTGGGGCTTCTTTGCGCAGCATGCTGGACAAGTTGCAGCAGCTGACCTTGATTTACTGGTTGTTGGAAATAAGGCGCTGGAGATTGTGCGTTGGATTTGTTTGGCAGAAATTGAGACATATTAGGTGAGCTTATGTTTGGCCTAACTTGCTGCTGTGCATGACGAAGTGGTCCACCATGGAATTGTGGAGAGTTTGCTTGTGACAGTGGTTGTTGTTGTGGTGGTGGTGGTGGTGGTGGTGGGGAATAAATCGGGCTTTGAAAATTCGATTGTTGCAAATAATCAAGATTTTGCAGCAGCAGCAGTTGATGTTGTTGATGTTGTTGATGTTGTTGATGATGATGTTGTTGTTGTTGTTGCTGATGTTGCTGATGTTGTTGTTGCTGATGTTGTTGTTGCTGATGTTGTTGTTGAAGTTGTTGTTGTTGAAGAATTCTCCTTTGTTTCTCCATTTGCATTAATTGTTGAATCTGTTCAGTGGTCAATGGCTTGCCATCTTTTGTAGTGGGAATTTTTATCGACGTATGGTTAACATCTTTCACTTGCATGCCACTCAAAGGGGAAATTCGCGTATTTTCCGATGACGAAACACCGCTATAATCTTGCGTTTTCATATGCAGATGTAGTTGTTGTTGTTGCTGCTGCTGCGGAAGGTTGTTTTGTGTCCTCTGCATCCGTTGTTGCATCTGCGCTTGTTGGTGTTGTTGGTGAAGTAGTTGCAGTGGATACTGTTGCTGTTGATGCTGTTGATGTAGTTGTTGATGTGAGTACTGTTGTTGTTGCAGATGCTGTTGGGCTTGTGTTGCCGAAACCGGCTGGTAAGGTGTTCCTCGTGGCATTTGTTGTTGTTGTTGTTGTTGTTGTTGTTGTTGTTGTTGCTGTTGCTGTTGCTGTTGGTGGTGGTGGTTGTGTTGTTGTTGTTGTTGCTGTTGTTGTTGTTGTTGTTGTTGTTGTTGTTGCAGATGCTGTTGATTTTGTTGTTGCAGATGCTGTTGATGCTGTTGTTGTTGTTGATGTTGTTGTTGTTGATGTTGTTGCTGCGCCATTGCTGCCATCATACGTTGTCGAGTTCCTTCCTGTATTGCCTTATCTCTTTCGTACTTTAGTTTAGCCAACTCTGAAGGAGTCGGAATCTTATTAATATTAACCTTTTTATCACCGTTGGTAGCGGCCACTTGTTGTTGGCTTGCCTGAAATTCATTAGTAGCTTTACGATGATTCACTTTGGCAAGTGCAATTTCTCTTTTCTTCATAGCTTTCCTCATACCATCAAACATCGAAGCCCACCTCAATTTTCTATGTCCTCTTTGAATAGAATCGTTGGCAACACCCAAGGGAGAAACTCTTCTTTTTGTAGTCAGTTGGATTCTATGTGCCAGCTCGAGCCATTGTTGTGCATGAAATGAATATATACCTTTCATATCTGAGAATTGGAATTTTTGATTTAATTGAATATATCTCTCAAAACATTGCCAAGGTGTTCTTCTCTCCATGTTTGCTTCGTATTTTCGTAAAGTAGGTGCAAACGATTTCACCAGCATATGCTCAGCTATCAAATCCCAATTGAAACAAAACTCTGCAATAAAATGGATAAGTCTTTTGTCATCCTCAGGAACCCAAATGGTTGGTGATCTAAACTCTATGTTACTGGTTGAAGGCGGTTTCGGTGGTTTCAAAATGTGGAATCTTCGATGCGCTTGTACACCAAATACACCTTTTTGATATTCGGGTAATTTTTTGGTGTTACTATTTTGACCCAGATAAGATGAGAAGGAGGTTGTTGTTGTTGATGATGATGATGAAGAAGAAAAAGAAGAAGAAGAAGTTGGTTTCTTCAATACTACCTTATGCCACTCTTGATCAGAATCATACGGTAGTAGTAATTTAGACACTGCTGTTATAGGAGGTTCTTTGGCATCAAGCTTGTAACGCTCATCAGAATTGAAAGCTTTGTATGTCGGCAACGTTTTGAAGATAGATTGTGCATATTTTGTAAGATCGTTAATGGTCACAGTGACCAATTTTGAATCTGGCATTTGCAAATTCGAAAATATGTTTGAAGGTTTTTTCGACACAGAAGATTCTTTTAACGATAACAATTTAGGATCAATTCCTTTGGGGTGAGGTTGAGGGGTTTCATTTTCTTGTGCTGTTGATGATTCAACAATAGAAGCTGTTGCTGTAACTTCCCCAGCTTCGGTAATTTTTGGCATTTTTCTCTTTATACATGTGCTTTCTTTCCCCAAGGCCCAATACTCTTGAACTGCTTGAGCCATAACTACACATGAATACTTTTTCCATTTTGTACCCTCTTTGAAATCCTCCGCCATCCATAACGCTTCCTTCAATATATTGTCCCATGTACAGTTTTTCTTTACCATCATCTTCTTCTTTTCTTGGTTTGCATATATAAAAGGATCATAGAACTTTTGTGGTTGTCTCGAGGACCATTTTCCTTGTCTTTTCAATTCCTCGATTCTTGAATATATGACAGCCACTTTCCCTTCTAGCAACGCCAACTCATAATCATCGGTCATTAGAACTTTGTGACTTCCCGGGATTAGTTTGTTCGATGGTAGTGTTTGAGTCAAGTAGTAAATCTCAGTTAAAGAAGAAGCTGTGTTTGGTTTTGTTGGGTAGTGTTCAGGTACAGACAAGACTTCTAGATGCTTCAAGTCTGAATTGAGGAATTTCTCGAGCTCAATTTGAGAAACCTCCTTTTGCGATTTCAACGACGTTACCTTGTCAACCTCAGTTTTCAATGCCTTTTGCAGCAGCAGCAGCAGTTTCTTTAAACCCATTTTCGCTCGCTTTGCACCATGAACTAAATGTTGTGGTTCCAGGTCCTGCTCCAATTCTCGACCTCTCTTGCGTCTTAGCGGCGGCGGTATAAACATTGACAGCTCCAAGGCCTGCATTATAGCTATCTTGAACGCGTTCTCAACCCTCGTGTCTGGGTCATTAAGCAATGCCTCTATTTTCACATAATTCTCAAACCCATTTTTACTGAGGTCTTGCAAAAAGGGGTCAACCGTAATATGCAGAAGCTCCTGGATCCTATCCATCCAACCACTTTTCATCTTTCATATATTTAACCAGTCACACCAATCACACCTGCAAAGAACTCGACAAAACGGCCCTTTGTCTTGCTTTCAATCTCTGCCTCTTGTCAATAAAATCAAGTTTTTCATTCTTCGTTTGGTAGGTCACATGATGGGCACGTGTAGGTCATGTGATGTATCAATCACTATCGAACACCACTATCGAACACCACTATTGAACACCACTATCGAGCGAAGCGAGATAGTGGTGCACACTAGCAGCCACCAACACTATTGAGTAGAGCGAGATAGTGTTGCTCAATAGTGGAGCATCGCTTAGTAGCTTGTTACAACACTATTGAGTAGAGCGAGATAGTATTACACACTGGTTTGATTTCTCGATGGTGTCGCTCGATGGTGTCGCTCAGTAGCTTGTTACAACACTATCTCGCTTCGCTCGATAGTGTTGCTCGATAGTGTTGCTCGATAGTGTTGCTCGATAGTGGAATATTACTCCTGTCACCAATGCTAGTTTGAGTGACCCAACTAAAATGAAAAAGTATTATCAAACAAACCACTTCTCATCTAACTAATCACACCTGCAAAGAATTTGACAAAATTCCTCTTGCCTCTCTTTCAATCTCTACCTTCTATCGAGTTTCACATATTTCAGCCCCACAAGATGCTGCATTTGAAAAGCTACAACAAGAACCTATAAACTACAAGTTAGACTATTATTTCCCTGCTTTCCATATTTGACCCAATTTTGAACGAATTTGTATAAATGGAAACAAAAAAGAAAAAAACATTTGCACCAACAGTAACACTACTGAGCGAAACTATCGAGCAAAGCGAGATAGTGGAGCAGCACTGATTGATGACACTATCGAGCAGAGCGAGATAGTGTTGTAACAGACTAGTCAATGTTGTTCCACTATCGAGCGACATTATCGAGCATACTGACTAGTGACATGAGCATACTGACTAATGACATTATCGAGCATACTGACTAGTGACATGAGCATACTGACTAATGACATTATCGAGCATACTGACTAGTGACATGAGCATACTGACTAATGACATTATCGAGCATACTGACTAGTGACATGAGCATACTGACTAATGACATTATCGAGCATACTGACTAGTGACATGAGCATACTGACTAATGACATTATCGAGCATACTGACTAGTGACACTATCTCGCTTCGCTCGATAGTGCCGCTCGATAGTGTCGCTCTATAGTGTCGCTCGATAGTGTCGCTCGATAGTGTCGATAGTGTCAGTGGCAGCTAGTGTGTCCCTTACCTCTTTCAATCTCTGCTTCTATCGACATATTTTTTGTTCTTCGTTTAGTAGGTCACATGATTAGCAAGTGTCAGTCATGTCACACACCCCATTGCTTCATCGAGCAATGCGCGATAGTAGAGCCGCGCGCATTCCCCTTCCATAACAGAGAATTAAAAATACACTACTCCTGAATACTCCAACCACTTTTCATCTTTTAGATATCTAAGCGACACTATCGAGTGACACTATCGAGTGACACTATCGAGCAGAGCGAAATAGTGGTGCACACTAGCTGCCATCGACACTATCGACACTATCAAGCAGAGTGAGATAGAGCAACACTAGCTGCCAGAGTAGCTATCTCGCTTCGCTCGATAGTGTCGCTCGGTAGCTTGTTACAACACTATCTCGCTTCGCTCAGTAGTGTCATTAGTCAGTGCTGCTCCTCTATCTCGCTTCGCTCGATAGTGTCATTGGTCAGTGCTGTTCCACTATCTCGCTCTTCTCGATAGTATTATTGGTCAGTGCTGCTCCTCTATCTCGCTTTGCTCGATAGTGTCGCGATAGAGTGCTTGCTCCACTATCTCGCTTCGCTCAATAGTTTCGCTCAGTAGTGTCATTAGTCAATGCTGCTCCACTATCTCGCTTCGCTCGATAGTGTCGCGATAGTGTCGCTCCATATCAGAGAACCAAAAATACACCAAAATACACTACAAAGTGAAAGCAAAGGAAAAAAACATAAAACACACATTGTTACCTAGAGAATAGATTATCACCAGAAAAAGAAAAGTAATAGAGTGAGTAACAACCATTGAACAAGAAAGGGAAAGGGGTGTCACAAATATAAAAGTATTGTTGTTGTTGTTGGTCCGTCACTTGAGTCTTTTTTTAGCTGACTTTGCACTTGCTGTGGGGTCAAATTTGGTATCAAGGTTATTATTTTTCCATTTGGTCGTTATTGCGGAGTTATAAATCCATACGCTTTGTAGTTTGAAACAAAGTATCAAGAGAGCCTAACGAGTTTTTTGGGTTTTTTTGTTTGGTTTTTTTTTTTTTTAAAACATTGGAGACTGGGCTTTGGGTTGTTTTTTTTTTTTTTGAAAGGGTTTTCAAGGTTTCCACTTTTTTTTGAAAGGTTATGGGCACTTGTTGTAGTTGTTTGTCTGGCCGTGGTGGCGATGGCAGTCACAACCAGTTGCTTCTAGCAGAAAACGAACGAGAGGCAATATCGGCGTTGCTACAATACCTAGAAAACAGGTCTGATGTCGACTTTTTCAGTAATGGACCCTTGAGGGCTTTAAGCACCTTGGTTTATTCCGAAAATATCGATTTGCAAAGAAGCGCAGCTTTGGCGTTTGCCGAAATCACTGAGAAAGATGTAAGAGAGGTCAATAGAGACGTGTTGGAGCCTATCTTGATTCTATTACAATCAAGCGATTTTGAAGTGCAAAGAGCTGCATGTGGAGCATTGGGGAATTTGGCAGTTAACACAGAAAATAAAATTTTGATTGTTGAAATGGGCGGACTAGAACCGTTGATTAGGCAAATGATGTCCACCAATATTGAAGTTCAGTGTAATGCTGTAGGTTGTATAACTAATTTGGCTACTCAAGATGACAACAAATCAAAGATTGCAAAGAGTGGCGCATTGATTCCATTGACTAAATTAGCAAAACTGAAAGATATCAGGGTGCAAAGAAACGCTACAGGTGCTTTATTAAATATGACACATCTGGGCGAAAACAGACAGGAGTTGGTCAATGCCGGCGCCGTGCCAGTGCTAGTATCCTTACTTTCAAATGATGACGCAGATGTCCAGTATTACTGTACAACAGCATTATCCAATATAGCTGTTGACGAATCCAACAGGAAAAAATTGGCCAATACAGAACCAAAATTGGTGAGTCAATTGGTTAGTTTGATGGATAGTCCGTCTCCAAGAGTTCAATGTCAAGCAACTTTAGCTTTGAGAAACCTAGCTTCAGATTCTGGCTATCAAGTTGAAATTGTAAGAGCAGGAGGATTACCAAACTTGGTCCATTTACTTACATGTACCCATCAACCATTGATTCTTGCTGCTGTTGCTTGTATAAGGAACATTTCAATCCATCCATTAAATGAGGCATTAATCATTGAAGCCGGCTTTTTGAAACCATTAGTTAGATTATTGGACTACACAGAATCCGAGGAAATCCAGTGTCACGCAGTATCAACATTGCGTAATTTGGCAGCATCAAGCGAGAAAAATAGAACTGCTTTATTAGCTGCGGGTGCCGTGGATAAATGTAAAGATCTTGTTTTGAAAGTACCACTTTCAGTGCAACTGGAAATCTCAGCATGTTTTGCTATTTTGGCCCTTGCAGATGACTTGAAACCCAAGCTATATGAAGCTCATATCATTGATGTACTTATTCCCTTGACATTTTCCGAAAATGGTGAGGTTTGTGGAAACTCAGCAGCAGCATTGGCAAATTTGTGTTCAAGAGTATCACCTGAGCACAAACAATATATTTTAGGCAACTGGTCATCACCAGATGAGGGAATTCATGGTTTCTTGATTAGATTTTTGGAGTCAGGAAGTGCAACTTTCGAACATATCGCTTTGTGGACCATTTTACAATTACTAGAATCAAATAGTTCCGAGTTCAATCAATTGATTTCAGAGGATGAGTTAATATTAACAGGAATTAAAAAGATGAGTAGCTCTCAACAACAATTGACTCAAGCTGGAACCGATAACCAAGAGAGTAACGGTGAGGGAGATGATCAATACGAGGATCCAAAAGTCGAATTGTATAATTTGACTCAACAAATTTTACAAATCTTGGGTTAAGAGTGAAGTAGAGGCAAGAGAGAGAGAGAGAGAGAGAGAGAGAGAGAGAGAGAGAGAGAAGGGCTAATGTGAAAGGATTTAGAGGGTTAAATATGGTGTATATTAATAAAGCCACAAAGAAAAAGAATTATAACAGGTAATGTAATTCAATTTGTCAAAGGCTGCTGTATTTTCGAGTCAGCTTTGGATGCTTGAGAAGGAAGGGGAGGAGTTTTTTTGTCGTCTATTTTCAAATTTGCAAGTTTTCTCATTAATTCCTCAGACCCACTATTATCAGGGTTCAAAGCAGCTTCTTTTCCAGAATCCAAAGTATTCAACTTTTCTTCATTCTCCTTCTGCAATTGGGCTAATTCCTTATCCACTTCCTCGGCAATCTCATCCTCGATTTCCTTATCTTCAGCAACTAAAGCATTATAGTGGTCGTCCACCTTTGCAATCTCTTCGTTTACTTCTAATCTAATTTCATCAATATCTTTCACGTTAATCTTTGCATTTAATTTACTTAAAGTAGCCATGCTTTCTTTCAATGTCGAGACATAATCAATATTAAATCTTGCTTCGTCGAGTTTCTGTAATATTGTCAGTAATTCCATTGTTTGACTATTTAAATTGTTTAACATCTTAACTAATTGGTTCTTTGATAGCATTAGTTGTTTTAATTTCAGTTGGCGAAGCTCCTTAGGCTGGCTGAGAACAGTTTTGTAATCTATCTTTTTAACCCTTTTTTCCAATTCGCCTACTTTATGTTCGAGATTGATTAGTGTAGATTTGACATTAATTATGCTCATGTCTTGGTCGGATATATCACTCTCAGTTGACCATTTAACGTAGGTTATTCCATTGACGTCTTTTGTATAGCAACATTTCAAATCTCGCGACCAATAAGTTAACAATAACTTGAAATCCACACTTGAAATCAGTTTATGGTGCTCCTCTTCCTTTAATGCTTCAATCAACATTTTGGACGTAAACAAGTTACCAAAGTGAGTCTCTTTTGCCACAATTTTATCTTCAATAATCGTCTCAATTTGATTACCAAGTTTGGTCATCTCATCCCAATAGATATATCGCTCATTCACCACCAATTTATCACTCCTTGTCACGCGGAACCCATGCAACGATCTCCACTGTAGCCAATTTGCCACAGAAAACAATTTACCAATTCCAAAATGACCGCTTACGGTACTGAAATAGCTTTCTTTAGCACTAAGAAATAGTGATTCTGGAATTAGGAAATGGTCATCTACAAAAGTTTGTAAAATGCCACCAAGATTTAGAGGCACTCCATATATAGGCAACGCTAACTTCTCCTTAAGATTTTGACACGAAACGGAGACTACGCTACCCTCACCAAATGCATCCGTGGTAATAATTCGAATAAATAATGATTTCCAAGCTTGAATATTTGCTTGGTAACCTTCTGGATTGAGTTGCTTATTCCTGGAAAAGTTGGAATATAGTGAATTCAATCTAGATGGTTTAAATGCAGGTTCTTGCTTTATCAACTCTTCTATATCCAACATCTCATCGTGCCAAATCCCGTCTCTAAACTCAACTCCCTAGAGTTATAATGGGGGGGGGATAAAAGGAAAGAAGGTGGAAAATTTAGCGCGCCATCGCAAAATTTCCTTCTTCGGATCTGCGCCGCATACATTACCAGAATAGGTATCAAAACTAGTCACCAAGGCCAGTTTTCATTTCCTTTGAGTTGAGATGAGTTGAGATGAGTTGAAATGAGTTGAGATGAGTTGAGATGAGTTGAGATGAGTTGCAAATAGTTTAGCTCAATTTCAATCCATTCATGCTAACTTCTACTTTGTCCCGTAGCGCATCAACAACGTCAAGTATAGCTGTTGCTGCAGGCGAATCAGGGTATAAATCAAAGAATGATATGCCTTCATCGCACGCTTTACCGATCCTAGGATCTAGCGGCACTGATCCTAGATATGTGATTCCCAACTCCTGACACAATTTTTCACCTCCGCCTGTGGTTGCCTTGAATATTTGACTCTTGCCGTGACAATTGGGACAAACAAAGCCCGACATGTTTTCAACCAAACCTAGAATTTTTATCTTTGCCTTTTTACAGAAATCAATCTCTTTTCTAACATCCAATAGCGCCACTTCTTGTGGCGTAGTAACTATTAGCGCCCCATCAATACCAACTTCCTTCATTAGCGAAGTGACAGATAAATGTTCGTCGCTTGTTCCGGGAGGCGTATCAACCACCAAGTAGTCTAACTGGTCGCCCCAGTCAACATCTTTCAAAAACTGCTTTATTAACCCATTCTTCTTACCGCCACGCCATATGATCGCCAGATCCGAATCGGGTAACATAAAGGAAATACTCATTAGTCCCAAATTGTCAGCAACGTAAACAGGACTCCACCCGCTGTTTGATTGATGTATGCTTTCGCCTTCTCCAGCACCCAACATTCGCGGTAGTGAAGGACCACATATATCTAAATCCATAGCTCCCACTTCAACATCCTCATCGGCAGCTATCGCCCATGCCAACATCGACGTAAACGTGGATTTGCCTACACCCCCCTTCCCAGAAAGCACAAGAATCTTATGCTGTATATGTGACAACCTCTTATATATTAGTGGAAGGTCAGGATCGGGTCCTTTGGGAAGTTGAGATGAGCATATTTCTTGATTTGCACATCCTTTACAAGCATCTTCCTTTCCCGCAAGCTCGGATTCAGGGCCAGGACAATGCTGAGGCGCGTTTGCTTCAAGCGTCGGCTCAAACTGAGTAACCTTCTGACTGGGTGACATCCTACAGAACACAGAGGGGGGAAGCAAAAGCAAAAGTATATCGTGTTTGTAGAGTTTTAAGGATTAATAATCATTAAATTAAATGGTTATACTACTTTCTTTTTTTTTTTTTTTTGTTCCTCTTCTCAAAGACAGTTAATACTTGTAGAAGTCTATACTTACTCTAAAAGATAGTCCATACTTTCAATAAAGATAGTATGTATTGATACTTAGACAATTGATCTATTCTCATTCATGATATTCTACCATTACCAGAAAGAACTTGGCAAGAAATAGAAGCAGGTTTCACCCAAAACAAAAAAAAAAGTTCAACTACCTAAAAAGACAGCTTTCAAACAACCACCTAAAAAGACAGCTTTCAAACAACCACCTAAAAAGACAGTTTTCAAACAACTTTCTGGTGAAAAAGCAAGTCGGTGTTGTTCGATAGTATCATTAGTCAGTGTGATCCACTATCTCGCTCTACTCGATAATGGGTGCATGTACATGTGCGGCCTATTTGGAGATTCTTGCCTTGAAGTAGTTCTTTGTAGTTTCGTCCATTGGAAATTCCAATATTTTCTTTTTCCGCACATTTGAGATCTTTATATTCTCCAAAGCCAAGTCCCCAACAAATTTGGATATCAAGTTCATGGCTGGTTTCTCCTTTGTAGATTGCACACTTGCAAGTGGCAAATGATCAATCAAAAATTCAAGCACTTCAATATCGCCCTGGTTTTCTTTACAAAGTTGGAAATAATTCTCATAAATACCAGCACCTTTATTCCATTCCAGTACAGGCATTCCGTTTTGCGGAAACTGCAATATCACCTCTTTCAATCGTTCAATCTCTGTACTTGAACAAGATATAACTGTATTGGGACCCAATTCAGTGACTATTGTCTTGTGGACTTCTTCCCAATTGCAGTTTTTCAAAAGTGCCTCTACTTCACCCCAATAGTCACCCCTTTGACTCCGTTCTATTGCCATTGCTTCATATATCATAGACTGCGGCACCTTCAACATTTCAACCAAATACTTTTCGTCCACAGCATCCAATACTCCAACCTCGCCAACTTTTTTAATCACCAACCCTCTAATAAGATCCTTGGCAAGATCATCATCCTTTATACTGGAATAAGCAATCAATGCCTCAATCCAATATCCGGCTGCTTCTAATTGTTGACCAAATTTCTTAGAAACTTCGTCATACTCAAAATCAGCCAAAACTAAGCAAAAGATCCATTGCAATTTTTTACTTAAATGAGAAGTTGTCAATTTCACCAAATCAAAACCAGTGATAAAAATTTTAAACACATCTGAAACCAGGTTCTTCTCAGGTAGCACAGGTTCAAAACGTTCTATCAAATACTTTAACGATTTAGTACCAGTACCAGTATCAGTGCCATCAAATGCCATTGCAGAACAAAGTGCTATATTCCATGGTAAAGTCTTCCACAAGTCACTCGATGGTCCAGCTATTAATTGGTATATTTTCATAATCAGAGCAGGTACTATTTTATGACCACCAAGCTCCCATTTCTTTAACTGTTCCTGTGCACTTTTTTTTATTAAACTGTCACCTTCACGGGCCAAGGATAAAATGACCGCCAAATGTTCACTTCCTGACTTCAATGCGTATTCAATTGCTCTCAAGACATCGTTTGCACACAAACAAATAAAAGCGCACTCCAAGTAGTCCAATCTGTTCTTATCAAGGAGCTCATTAACGCTCTCTTCATTATACAGCCTAAGCCATTTTTCAAATTTATAATCTATCTCTTCAAAAGATCTTTTTTCATTGTATTCAAATAATATTGTAGCCAATTCAATTTCGGCATCACTTTCATTTGAATCACAAAAATCTCTAAATAACAACTTACTGTTTTGGTGTAGTTTGGGTATCAGATTGCTCTTCCTTGATGTAAAAGAACATTTTGACAAAACTTTGCTAAAAACAAAGGGATTATTTTCATCAATTTCCTCTTTATCAGGAACCTCAGATATTGGCCCAAGAAATGTACTATCCTTACTAGTAGCACATTCTTTTGATTTGTTAAATTCCGAAAATATCAAGTCATCAACCTTGGATAAAGTCAACTTTTCTGGAGTCTTTTCCGTCTCAAAAAGAGGTGCCAAAGCTGAATTGAATTGATTCGCCAACTCCAATTGTAATAACCAATTACTTGCTGTTGAAACATTCATATTGTTTCGTATTTTTTCAAAAACAGATTCATCTTCAATAAAAGGTTCATAAACATTCACTTTCATTTCACCTATACTTTCACCCTTTTCTCCTTCTTCTTCTCCTTCTTCTTCTGAATCAATGAGATTTCCGTCAACTTCATCCATGATATCCACGGTATCATTATACCTACTCAATTCTCGTTCTATTTCATCACTAACAAGAGATTGTTTAAGTAGCAAAATACTATCTTTTTGAGGATTTGGAAAGTTCCAACCACCAGGTACTATCTTTGTGTGTTCATTTAATTTCTGTTTTTTCGATTCTTGATCAAGATCTTGGCCCTCATAAACCCTGGAATACTCGAGAGCCGCCTTCATCTCCTTGGCGTCTTGTTTTCTCTTCAACAGTGTTAGTTCTTTGAAGTTTTGAGCATCTTCGTCTATTAGCCCCCAAACACTAAAATGTTTTACTCGAAAAACCCAGGTTTCTGTAGTTGGATTGTAAGATATATATTCCATTCCAATTTGGCTCTTAAGGAAGTTGATTTGCTCATTGAGGTTTGCTTTCTTGTTGACAACACCTTCTAATGTGATTGTTGCGGGGACATTCAACTCCATACCTAAACTTGGCTTATGCACTTCATTTTTGTAAGCTAAAATTGTTTGCCGTTCTATTTGTATAACGTTAGCAAATAATTGTTTTGCAAACAGTACACCACGAAGATCTGCATCATGCTTTACCTTGGTTAGATCCACAGGGTAATCATATGCAATTTGTCCATATCCAACTCTACCAATAATGAAGTTTTCCAAATTTCGAAGACAATCTTCGTCCATTGCTGAAATTTCATCAATTGAAGGGAACGTCCAGTATCCATTATATTGTTGTTGTTGTTGTTGTTGTTGTTGTTGTGGTGGTGGTGGTGATTGCTGAACTTTCTGTCTAAAGTTTCGGTTCTGTTTTTCCTCTCTTAGATTGGGTACCTTTTCCTCCTCCCTCGTCTCCACCCTTTCCTCTTTTCTATTAGTAATGTCAAATGTTTGTTTTGAAAATCTCTTTCTAACAGGCTCTTCTTCTTTTTCTTCAACTTCCTCAATTTCTTCATCGCTCAAATTGTCATTCTTTAACAATTTTTCAGCTGAAATTGCACCCATCACAACTTTATGCTGCCTTGCACTAAGTACTTTATTTACATCAATGAGGTGGTACTTTACAGGTTTCGTTTTTAAAACCAATCTCCTTATACCACCTATCCTTCTAGTATCAACCGATTTGTAAGACGGGTTCGATAGCGATCTAGGCGTCACTGTTGTAGCAGGAAATCTTCTCTTGTTCTTCTTGTCTTCGCTCTTATCTGTCTTTTGGAAAAGGCTAAACAATTGGCCAAGTCTTGAACGTGATGGTAACTTTTTTGGTTTCGTTTCAAGAAGGGGCTCTACATGGACTGCTTTTTCCTCTATTGTGTTGAAAAAATTTGTATTTTTCGACTTGGACTCGTCAATGACCAAATGCGTGGAAGGCGGAGACAAAGTATGTAGTTTTGACAGGTGAAATTGGTTACCATCCGCATCACCAGCACCAGCACCAGCACCAGCAGCATTATCCCACGGATTCAATCGATTGCTATTCTTTGTACTTGGTTTCCAACTTGTTCTACCAAACCACGAAAAACGCAGACTTATTCCACCCTTGGAATCCATATTTGAGCTCGACGAGAAACTGCTAACTCCTTGATTGTAACTAGAACTAGGAAAGTTCTTGCCAGCAGCTGTTCCACCACTCTTTTTTCTTGCATCGAAAGAATTACCAAACAAATTAAACTCTTCTGATTTCGAGTCTACATTCTGTAGGTATTCATTTTTACCCAGTGAACTCATTTCACTCAAAAAATTAAATGACTCCCACAGCAAATCCCCCGTTCAACCCTTCTTCAATGAGTATACCTGACTTACTCCAACAACAAAAAGGTTCTAACTAGGTCTTTCCTTTGGGTCTTTCTTCTTTTGGGTTTTTTTTTTTGATTTTTTTTTTTTTTGGCAATTGAAGAGGTCACGTGACATTATACAGATCTTCTTCTTCTTCTTCTTCTTCTTCTTCTATACGGCTACATTCAACTTTATACAAGACTCGGCAGAAAACCAGAACCTATCGAACTTGCGAAGGTTTGGTTTCATTTGGTAGACTTTGTTGGGGATACCAACGTCAATTAAGTAGTGGGTGATTTCTTGATCATCCTTGTCGTAAGTTAAAACATCATTTTTGTAGGCCAATAGTATACCGGTCAATGGTAAACCCATAGAGATACACCATCGACAATCCACCTTTGTATTTCCATCAGGAAGGATTCCCGATCCTCCATCGATTCCCGAAGGGATATCTAAGGACATTACTTTTCGCAGGTTTGCAGGTGCATTACACCAGCTTATAAGTCTTTTTAAAACCCGTTGGTCTTCAGGCTTGTAAAAAATATCCTCCAAATGATCATCGTATCCTTGTAGTGCGTCTATGATCAATTCAAGCGGGGTACTAAGCTGATTTTCAACAATGTCCACCAACTCTTCAAAATCGGAAGTGATCACTTTCCCTCCAATGGATTCAAAAGATCTCCATTGCTGGTTCAACTGAAAATCTGATTCGTCAAAGGAAGTGACAAAGGCCAATACTCTAACACCGTGGTTACTTAAGTAGCGACCAATTGCAAATGCTCTACTTCCACACCTACCGCTTCCAATCAACAAAAGAACCAATGGTGGTAGATTGTGATTACTCTTGTTACTCAATCTTACAGACCCACCTAAACAACTATCCAATATAAGTTTGCTCAAGTTTGCAGCACAAGTTTCAGTCATCATTGTTGAGCTAACTCCAAATACATCTTCTGCTAATTTCTCGATTTCCAACAATTGGACCGGAGACGCCGTTTGTACAGGTTTCAAGTCAATAGAATTGACAAGACCATAATTTCTAATTTTGATCTTCTCTTGACTAAGCTGGCGAATGGCATTGTTGCCTGGTCCTCCTCCTCCAACACCTCCAACTCTTGCAGAGTCCGAGTTTGGGGTATCTGTTCTTTGCTTGCCAAGTGAAGTTCCAATCGAGTCCCACTTATCCTTTGGCATAGAATCCAAAACCATTTCATTGTTATTGTATTTCATTTTTACCTTTTCTTTTTCTTTTTCTTTTTCCTTAAATTTACTTATATTTTCAATCTTGTTCTGCCCTACCAAAGTATCATTCAACTGAGTATGGTCGTTTTTCCTGAAATTATCAAATATCGATTTCTTGTCAAACATTGCCAAATTCGCTTGAAAATCAAATTCTTCTTCATTCTTTATATCCCCCACAACGTCCAAATCGGAGTTGGGCTCAATATCGCTTCGACCGGTGGATTTGCTGCTTCCTGATGATTTCGGTTTTGGGGTACTGGAACGAGACGGCTTGGAAGCAAATAATATAGCATCGTCAACAACAAAATCCAGAAAGTTCTTGGGTTTTTGTTTTTTTTTCAAACTAGGTGGAAGCTGTATCATTTTGATATCAGCGACACTTGAATTGGGGATGGTAATTGAAGGGAGCGAAAGCAACGGGTCCTTGGTATTAACAGCGTCTCTTAAAGTGATTTGAATACTATCGACAAAAGTTATAACCCCCACCGACGATGAACCATCGTTCAAGGTCAAATTGACCTTGGAGTATAGGAATTCAGTCATTGAAAAACTAACGCGACACACACTATCGAGCAGAGCGAGATAGTGGAGCACAGACAATAACTCTATCGAGCAGAGCGATTAACACTATCGAGTGAGCGATTAACACTATCGACCAGAGCGATTAACACTATCGAGTGAGCGACTAATAACACTATTGACCAGAGCGATTAACACTATCGAGTGAGCGAAATCAACACTATCGAGCAGAATCTCCCCTACACAAGAAAGCGGAAATAGCTCAACAAATGCTAAAAATGGGAAAAAATCTAAAAAATACACACCAACTGCTTCTTTAACTATCTCGATATCCAGGGTCTACTGACCTCTCTCCTATGGTTTCTTTCGAAATGAAAAATTTCAATGCCAAATTAATCTTAATTTTTATTTTATTTTATTTTTTTTTTTCATTTTTCATTTCCATATGGCGCTCTTCTTTTTTTTCTTCATACTCAGCAAACAAGTTCGCGGATAAAGTGGATTCTTAAGCTATTTGAAAGATCAGGGCTTTTTCTTGGTTTGAACTTTACTTTGTTTTCTCTCGAACGTCTACTCTGTGGACGGCTATCCTTTAGAAGAAAGCCCACATTTCCCCCACGGTTCGTATTGTACTGCTACTTGCTTTCCAATTTTTTTTTTTAGTTGGCATTAGTCTTACATCAAACCTTTTTTTTTTTTTTTTTTTTTTTTCACAGTTTTCCAATTTAAACCGAGTTTGTAAAATCCGATAGAGTTTTTCAATTGAACAAAGGTTGGCTACAAGTTCAAGGAACAGGGACAAAGGAAAAGGGAATTTTTTATAATGGTGTCTCCATCGGTACAACGTTTGGACACTTTAGCCACCGAAAAGGTTGGCTTGAGAACCATATTTCTATATATTCCCAATTTGATCGGCTATATGCGCATTTTCACAGCAATAATATCTTTTCTTTGTATGCTGAGGTATCCGCTAACAACAGTGGTATTCTACGGTATATCGAGCATTTTGGATGCATTTGATGGGTATGCTGCAAGAAAATTCAATCAGGGCACGAGGTTCGGTGCGGTTTTGGATATGGTGACCGATCGTTGTGCCACATCAAGTTTGATTGTCTATTTAGCCGTGTTATATCCCAAATTCACAGTGGTTTGGCAATTACTAGTGAGTTTGGACTTGGCATCTCATTATATCCACATGTACGCCATGTTATCTGCTGGCTCAACGTCGCATAAGAACGTTGAAGCTTCTCAGTCAAAGTTGCTTTCCTTGTATTATACAAATAGAAAAGTCCTTTTCTCCGTATGTGCAGTTAACGAGTTGTTTTATGTAGCTATTTATTTACATTACTATGGGTTTTATTGGCTCGGCGGGGTTATGGCGGTTGTTAGTGCACCTATTTGGGTTTTTAAACAAATTGCAAATGTCATCCAAATGAAAAGTGCCCTGATTATTTTGGCAAAATTAGATGTTGACGAACGTAATAAAAGAGTTGATTAGATTAGAAGATACATGTTTATATGTATGACTTGGCAATTAAATAACAAAGTAGAAGGAAACTAAGAGAGGGGGGAGAAAGAAAGAAAGAAAGAAGAAGAAGAAAAAAGGGGAAAGATTATAACGTCTATTAGCTCTAACAGTCTTCATCAGCTTTAGCTATCTCAAGCTGGTAAAAAGCAGCCTCTCTCAATTCCTTGTTTCCATAACTCTCAATATGAGGCATAATCTCACCGATTAATCTAATTACATCCTTTTTATGCCCTAGCTGATTCAATATCTCAAAGAAAATCAAAGACGCTTCAATCAATAAGGCGCCAAATCCGAACCTCTTGCACAGTTCAATACTCTGGACAATCAGAGACAAGGACCGATACGGGTTTCCCGATAAGTTGAATATTCGGCATTTCAAAATATTCAATCGTAGTAGCATATAATCATCCACATAAGTTATTGCTAATGCTTTTTCCAATGCTGCATGATAATTTTCATTCTTAATCAAGACTTCTATTTCCAATAAAGATAATTCATTTCTCAACTCTAAATCCCTAATGTCACTATTAAGGAGCATATTCATTAGTTCGTATCCCATTCTTGTCCTACCTTGAATCAAATATTGCTTAATATGCATCATAAGTGACCGGATGTGTATCGAATTATACAATGAATGATCGCTGATTCCCAGTGCAAGTTTATCCATCTCTTCTACATATTTTTCACGCTCATAGCCTCGCATGAAATCAAGGTATATTCGACGAGACTTGATACTTATATAGTCGGAAGATTTGGCACTATACTGCAATGCTAGATCATCATAAACCCGACAAAGTGGGGTCACACCAACTGTATTCCAGATAGAAGCCGCCATTTCTGCGCATCGAACAAATGTAGGCTTTATGTCATTGACCGCAGTAAACAAGGTGCGGGTCAAGCTCGCCATAAACTCACCGATACTCAGACCACTATGCATTATTTGTAACGTTTCAAAACCAAGATTTATTGCCAAGAGCAGTATATTGACCGAAGCACTTTTCTTGATTAAAAAGTCCAACAATTGATCCTCATTGCTCTTGTTGAACAAAGTTTGCTCTTTCCACAAATGAGGTTTATTGTGCATGAAATTGTAAAACCAACTGAGGATATAAGTCAAAGTTGCATTATCTTTATTTTCCCTAGCTACACTAATTGCTTCAACAATGGAATCAATTGCTTTGTGATCCTCGCCAAAGAATTGATGTAGTGAAGCTTTTGAAATCAATGCAAAATGATAAAAATATTTGGAGTTGTTACTTACCATGTAATCAAAATATTGATGTAATGCATCTACTGCTCCGTTGTAGTTCAACTCGGATAAACATTCCAAATAATTCAAATAATAACAAGAGGGTAGTTGATTAAAATCCAGTGCTTTTATAGAGCCAATAGTACTGGACGCAGTCATCATCTTGATGATTCTTTTCAAATATAGAGGTGTTGGTGTACCATAATTTTCCAAAACTGCAATCTGATTACTGATCAAACTCTCTAAATCTCGTTTTGATCGAGAGATGGTATGTTTATCTCTTTGACTTATACCGATTTTGGAAAGTTGGTTTTCCAAAGCGTTGAACAAGTCGTTTTTATCCGTCTCCATTGGGTCGTCATCCTCACCATCACCATCACCATCACCATCATCAACAATAACAACACGCTGTCTTGATTTCTCGATTTGGCCCTTTGTAGATTTGCGAAACTCCAAAAGTGACTGAAAAATCAACAAACTTTCGTCAAACTCGAGCATGTCGAAAAAGGTACATACTTGTGTGATAAATGTGCCAAACAAGGATTTGCTAGAGAATTGCTTACAAACTTTTGTAGGCTGGTCGTCTTTGAGAATGTGGGTTTGCGAGTTAACGACCAAACTCCTACACCCATTGATCATAGAATGCAAATCTTCGACATTATTGATTTTCCAAGTTTCAACAACTAATTGAACAGTAAATGTCGACTCGCCTAGGGTGTTGACAAGACTCGATAGATCATTGCACGTTTTTAGCTTGCTTTCATTGTTGATCTCTGGTTCTCTCTCAATTAGCTTGCACAAGTGAAGTAACGTTGAGGGTGCTATAGATGTGGTTGCTGACGATGTAGTTGCTATAGATGTAGTCGCATATAGTTTGATCGCCGTAAGCAAGACTAGCTGAAGTGGTGACAAGTCCCTAAAGAGATAAAAACTTACCTCATTGGTCATCTAATTGAAGCAAATTATTTGTCCAACAGAATTTCTATAGAAAAAATTGTATGTGATAACTAAAGCTGTAGATTAACCAAACAAGTTATCAACATCAGCACATTTGGTGATAAAAAAAAGTGTTGCCAAAGTGTTGCCAAAAGTGTTGCCAAAAGTGTTGCCAAAAATGTCTATAATAAAATGTGTTGTAAAATGTGTTGTAAAATGTTTTTGTAAAATGCGTACCAATGACTTTGAAGAAAAAGGTGGTTGCGCGGAACAAGTGCCATCGAGGTTCACCAACTTGACCAGATATGTTTCCACGCGGTTCTACTCTGTCCATAGACTATCTCCATAGACTCTCTCCATAGACCATCTCCATAGACTATCTCCATAGACTCTCTCCATAGACCATCTCCATAGACTATCTCCATAGACTCTCTCCATAGACCATCTCCATAGACTATCTCCATAGACTCTCTCCATAGACCATCTCCATAGACTATCTCCATCTACTCTCTCCATCTACTCTCTCGCTTTGCTCGATAGTCTATATTTACTCCCTCCATCTACACTCTATACGAGTTAAATGCGACTGCTTTAACTGTCTGAGCCTTGTTCTATTATCGAGTAAAGCGAGATAGTCTATATCTACTCTTTCCATCTATCCTCTCTATAGACTATCTCACTTTACTCGATAGTGGAGCAACACTCAGTAGCTTGTTACAACACTATCGAGCAGAGCGAGATAGTGTCATTGACAGCTAGTATGCACCACTATCTCGCTTCGCTCGATAGCGTCGCTCGATAGTGGAGCAATACTCAGTAGCTTGTTACAACACTATCTCGCTTCGCTCGATAGTGTTGCTCGATAGTGTTGCTCGATACTCTATTATCTACAAATCGCCTAATCTTCCTCATCTTCCTCCTCTGTATCTTCTTCAACGTTAATAGCTGGCATCTCAAAGTCTGAGCACTCATCGTCTTGGTTAGAAGTGATTATCAGTATACTATTTTCTGCTCTTGTATCACCACTTGCAAAAACCTTTTCCTCAATTCGTTCAACAACCAGAGCATTTCCAGAGTCTATCTCTATTTTCGTCTTTTTGCCAAAAACTACACCGCCGTCACCGCCGTTATCACCATCACCGCCATCGCTTTCAAAGGGTCTTTTGGAACTGGTAAATGCATATATATTTTCTTCAGAATCATCTTTCAATTGCTTCTCCTCATGCATGCTTTGCTCAACATGTTGCTCATGTTGCTCATGTTGCTCAAGCTGTTGCTCCTTTAGCAACTTATATATGGCAGTCTCCTTTGCACTGCCAAATTTCTTCCCTTCAGCAACCTCCATCTTTTCCGTCTTTCCACATTCTTCCTCCTCCTCCTCCTCCTCCTTCTCATCCTCCTCCTTGACATTCTTCTTTCCTTCATCAGTAGACTCTATAGAGTAATATTTGGGCAACGCAGGGAATCTCGGATTGTTAAACACTGAGATCAACTGATCATCTTCCAAGATTGAAGATACAATAGGCAAAATGTTACTCTTATCGTAACCCGGGTTCAACACGGCATTAACCAACAAATCTCTCAATGATTTCGGTACAATACTCTCCAAATTGGCATTTTTCTGCACTATACTTTCCTTGATAATGAACTTCATTGTCCTGTAATGTTGTTGTGGTGGTAATTCAATCCTCTGAATTACCTGGTTTAGAAAGGACCTCACTACAGATAATGTGATTTCGGAATTAACGCTTTGAAATAAATGTTCATGAGATAAGATATCCGATAAGGCAACGGCAGATGTATTCTTTTTCTTCTTTGTCTTTCCATTCTTCTTCTTATCAGCTGCTTGTTGTTCTCCTAGTAATGTCTCTTTTCTAACTTCGGTCAAGGCTAAAGCAACATCAATAAATGGCAACAACACTGAACTATCAGAAACAGTACCCACCAAATTCAAATAGTCACCAACACATTTCAATTGCTCAACATAGAGCAGTTCATATTTAAACACATCTGATGAACTAACTTTTTTACTACTACTATTGTTGTTATTCTTGACCGGCACAAGGAATTCCAAGATTGTCCAAATGTGGTACAAATGAGGTATCAAGTCGCCTTTAAACTTTAATAACGATCTCAACAAGTCCAATGTGCTCAAATGATTTTTTACCAACGTCAAGCTAACCAATTTGCGAACTTCCTCGTCGCGAACATCGCTCTTGAATGACAAAAACCTCGTGTTGATTGAAAACACAACTTCAATGAGCACAAGGATCATCCCAATGGGGATTCTTACACCGGGAACTCCTCCATCCGTGATATAATGCTTTAGCAAGGCTAACAATATCCCAACACGATTACTCAATTGCAAGAACCCACCCGGTTCATTCACATCAATTTCTAAATCATTGAATAAATTTTGTCCTCTTTCTCCTCTTGCTGTACTAGGCAACTTCTTCAATAACATGTCCAAGCTAGCATCATCTTTGAAGTTAAGGAACTCCTGATAAACGCCTAATATACCGGTTATCTCTCCAACTATACTTTTTACATCATTGCCCCATTTCACATCGGGGTCGTTTTTTTCAATCACTGGTAATATGGCCAATGCTCTGTAAATTGCAACTTTCAACTTGTGAGAATATTCGGCAAATCCTTCTTCTCGCAATAAACCATACAACTTTAAGCTAAACTTGTTAGCAAAAGGTCTGAATGTGTTTGGATGAAACTTTATTATCTCATAAAGTGACTTGATGCACAACGTGGCGTCATATTGAATATTCTTCAAATATAACCCAATAATAGTACTCAATTTGGGAGTTAAGATCTCACGCGTTAATGTAGGCTTGCCTCTGATCATGCGCATCAACATATTGACAGCATCAACAGCACTACTCAAGATTAATACGTTTATCGTACTATTATAGCTTTCCAAAATGGTGATCAATTGAGTAAGAAAATTAGTTCCTTCGCTAGCCAATATGGTATAGTTTTGACAAAGAATGTATACACAGTTTATTCCACACCATTTACTGTAAATATCGCTAGAACGACAGAGTTGTAATGTACGTGATGTCAAATGTTGTAAATTGGATTTGGAGATCTGCGAAAGAAGGGACTTATCATTGCAAAGGAGTGAAAGTGTCGGTATAATTGAAGACGTAGGTGACCCTTTGATCTCCTCTAGTACAAGGTTTATCGACATTCTCGGTAAAATACTAGCGCTTTTTGTTGCTGTTGTTGGTGGTGGTGCTACTTTAGGTATTAGTGATGATTTTGAAAAATTTAAGAAACCTCATCGCATCTCATCTCATCGCATCTTTCATAGTGATGAAAAAAAAAAATAAAAATAAAATACCCTTTGTATAATACCACCTCCAGAAGCCCAGTACTGGTCTTACTACTACTACTACTACTACTACTAGCAATGCCAATACTTATACTACGTTTTCAAAAAAATTCAAACAAAAAAATCAAGCAGTTTCTTCTTTTTATACTTCTTCTACTTCTACTTTAACAAAATTTTATAAGTACTGATTTCGAATCCCTTTAGTGTAATTGGAACAACATTCCCCTTCTCAATCTTTACCTTTTCAATAACTTCATTTTCTAAAGCATTTGTCTTTTCAATTTTATCAACATGAAACAATTTCTCATCAATAATCAACTTCCCTTTACTTTCACCACCAAGAGATTCGTAAACTCTGACAACTATGGATTTTTCCTCTTTAGTTAATGAAGCATATTGACTCACATCGATATCATTTTCACCACGTTTGATATGACTCAACACTAATGACCCACCTTCCTGTTGCTCTAACCTTATTGCATTGAAGATATTCGTATCTGCATTACTAGGAATCAACTTGTAGTTGAAATTATACCCAGCATGAACAGTATCAATCCCTAAACTACCTCTATGTGGATAAATTGCATATTCAAACATTTGAACACCCATATCTGCGCGATTATCTGGGGCCTTGGCACTTCTTAATAGACTCAATCTCATCAAGTTGCCATGTATAGAGCCACCGTATTTCCCATTGTTCAAAATGGAAACACCATAGTTGTGTTCACTCAAATCCATAAATTTATGATGACAAACTTCAAATTTTGCTACATCCCATGAAGTATTATAGTGAGTTGGTCTCTTGGTAATACCAAACTGAGTCTCGTAATTAGCTTCAAGAGCCGAATTGATAGTAGTAGGAAATTGAACCTTGAGGAACTTGTAAGTTTCATGCCATTGCACTTTTGACGAAAACTTGATGAAGTTGTTGGCTGTATTGACATCGTTGACACCTGCCAAAGAAATCACCGTTTCCATAAAAGAGTTGGGGGAAATCTCATGTGTCACTAAAATGGAGGATTCTAATGGATTATCTACGATAATCCTTGTTTTAGAAGCATCGAGCAAAGTGAACTTCTCCAATGAATACAATTCGGTATCCCAAGCAGGGAAATTCAAAGGCTCGTCATCAAATAAAATGAACTGATTGCCTCCAACATACTTATTCTCTTGTTTTGTTTGAGATGTAGCCGAAGAATCTATAATCTCCCTTTCTGCAACTGTATCATAAAGCGAAGTAATAATACCAGTTGACGAAATTTGTGCAACTAATAGCCCATTGGATAATGTATAACCGCCATCATCGGTAACCTTGACGCTCGAAGGGAACCTTACCTTCTTATGAATCGTGGTCTTGCCATCAATACTGTCGACGTTGATTTTGATCTTCTTCTTCTTGTCGTCGTTTGTACCAACAGTAGAATGACCTTTACTGACTAGACTCTCAAACAAATCGGGATACTCGCTTTTGTCAATTTCAACAATTTCATTTCTTCTATTGTGGCTCAAGGTATTTACCAACTCCTTTTCATTGGCCCCCTTTTTGTTTCTCGATACATCAAGGGCACTACGAATCAACTTGTTTGCCCTTTCCAATAACTTACCCAACATGGGGAAAACCTCTTCATAATAAACCATACCAATACAACTACCGGGCAAGACATCATGAAACTGACACAAACATAAATCCTCCCATAACTCTTGAATCTCTTTACCAGGATATTTATAGTCATCAATGACCAAGCTCGTTATTCCAGCAATTAATTCCAAATCGTGCAATTTTATTTCACCTAGTCTCATAAATTTCTTAATTTGTGCTTGCACAGTATATGTACCACGATGGAATTCCAAATAAATTTCACCTGTCCAGGTTGGTAATGTAGCACCGTTATTTGACTTTGCCAAAATATGATCGTAAAACTCATCAATTGAAACGCCCAATGCAACCGAAGGAAGTAGCCCACCACATTCATTACTTAAACCTCTACATCTTCTCAACTTTTCAATCATTTCTTCAGTTGGTCCACCACCTCCATCACCATGTCCGTACAATAACAATCCAGTAGGTACATCCCTCAAGTTCTTATGTTGACGTTGCGACCTCATAACATCACCGAAATGGGCCTCTGCTGTATAAGTGTTTGCCGGAGGCATGTGCACCAATACTTGCGACCCATTGATTCCCTTCCAGTTGAATGTAGACAATGGAAACGTGTTTATATTATTCCATGATAACTTCTGGGTCAAGAATCGATCGATACCAGCTAATTGACAAATTTGAGGAATTTGTGAACTATAACCAAAAGTATCAGGCAACCAATATATATTCGACTGGAAACCAAATTCATCAAGAAGAAATCTCTGTCCAAGGACAAATTGTCTAATCAAACTCTCTCCATTTGGCAAGTTTGTATCATTTTCAACCCATGATCCACCCAATGGAATAAATTGATTAGTTGTGAATTTTGCATGAATTTTTTTTAAAATTTTTGGATGCGATTCTTTCAACCATTTAAATTGTTGCATTTGAGAAGCAACAAAGACATATTCAGGATATTTTTCAGCAATCTTCAATTGAGTTGTCCAGGAACGTACAATTTTCCGTTTTGTTTCTGCAAATGGCCACTCCCAAGCAGTGTCGATATGGCAGTTGCCCACACCAAACACGTCAACTCTTTTTTCCTCATTTGTAAAAGTATCAAACACATCTTCTGAATTGATTTGTTTTCCCAAAATTTTTGTCGCTAGTTCACGACATTTGGTAATAGAGTTGACATCTTGTGGGTCAAAGCTGTTCATTATCTTGGTAGCCACATCAGCGGCTTGATGCTTTTGCCAGTAGCCGCCAGGGAACTCTCTTGCAGCATCACTTATGATCCAAAAGTCCCAGAATAATCTCCTTGCCTCCATATTGGGCACCACCAAATGGGCCCTGTTTAATCTGAAATATCTATTTGGATCAGGTTCACCCTCTGCTCCATTGCCAAACATCCCGTTGCACGCGACTTCAATATAAAACAACTGTTTCCCAGTTTTTTTAAATTGCTTGGGAATTTCAAATAAATTCCGTTGTCCGCCACCGGTGAAAGCCTGCAATGGCAAGCCCTTAGCATCATAAATCAAAGCTTCTGAGCTGGAGTCCCAATCGATCTCCAACGTTTCGTATTTGAGCCAGTTTTCCGGTATATCCAACTCAAATTTAACCCAAAAAGTCTTCCAACTAGGACCAAAACTGTAACCTAGCCCGATATTTTCCCATTTCACGTTTCCAAAGTCAATATCCCTAAACAAAGGTCTTTGGGTCTTGTTATTTTTATCAGGAACTCTCCATGATTTCAAATTGCCAATTTCTTTACGATGAATATCGTAAAACCGGGGTAAATTCAAATGAGCATACTGGCCTCCAGTATTGGTAAATTGCCGTAACCTCGACTCGTATAAATGATCAACCGGCTTGAAATTGGGGTACCTGTTAAAATCGTCGTATCCCATACCTATATTCCTTATCTCCTTATCTCCTAACCTCCTTAATCCCTTACTAATCCAATGAAAAGCTTCACCAAGGAGTTAATACTCAAGAATGTAAAGTGGTCTTGTTCTTTTCAAAAAGAAAAAAAGTGCGGGGGCGCAATTGACCGGGCCGGACTTTTGGGAAAGTTCGGAGATAAAAAAATAAATAACAAATAAGATAACGCTTGGTAGCGATTAATAGTAGCTTGTTACGAGACTCAGGAGGTTGGTCCTTTGGAGTGCTCTGTTTGTGAGTGAGTGAGTTGAAAGTGTTGAGTTATGTAGTGGCATAACAAGCTACTGAGCGAAACTATCGAGCAAAGCGAGATAGTGGAGCAGCACTGACTAATGACACTACCGAGAAGACCTAAATAGTGGAGCAGCACTGACTAATGACACTATGTCACTCTACTCGATAGTGTTGTAACAAGCTACTGAGTGTTGTTCTACTATCGAGCGACACTTTCGAGCAGAGCGACACTATAGAGAAGAGCGAGATAGTGTTGTTCCAAGATACTGAGTTTTGTAACAAGCTACTGAGTGTTGCTCTACTATCGAGTGGCACTATTTCGCTCTGCTCGATAGTATTGTGACAAGCTACTGAATGTTGCTCTACTATCGAGCGGCACTATCGACCAGAGCGAGATAGTGTTGTAACAAGCTAATCAGTATTGCTCCACAATCAAGCGACACTATTGAGCAGAGCGACACTATAGAGAAGGGCGAGATAGTGTTGTTCCAAGCTACTGAGTTTTGTAACAAGCTACTGAGTGATGTCCCACTATCGAGCGGCACTATCGAGCATAGTGAGATAGTGTTGTAACAAGCTAATCAGTATTGCTCCATTAGCTCGCTTAGCTCGATAGTGTTGTAACAAGCTAATTAGTATTGCTCCACTAGCTCGCTTAGCTCGATAGTGTCGTAACAAGCTAATCAATATTGTTCCACTATCGAGCGACATTATCAAACGAAGCGAGATAGTGTTGTAACAAGCTACTGAGTGTTGTTCCACTATCTCACTCTACTTGATAGTGCCGATAGTGTCGGTGGCTGCTAGTGTGCACCACTATCTCGCTTCGCTCGATAGTGTCGCTCGATAGTGTCAATAGCAGCTAGTGTGCTCCACTATCTCGCTCTGCTCGATAGTGTCGCTCGATAGTGTCGCTCGATAGTGTCAGTAGCAGCTAGTGTGCACCACTATCTCGCTTCGCTCGATAGTGTCGCTCGATAGTGTCAGTAGCAGCTAGTGTGCACCACTATCTCGCTCTGCTCGATAGTGCCGCTCGATAGTGTCGCTCGATAGTGTCGCTCGATAGTGTCGGTGGCTGCTAGTGTGCACCACTATCTCGCTTCGCTCGATAGTGCCGCTCGATAGTGCCGATAGTGTCGCTCGATTGATTACTTGAGTTTCATCTATTCTGGCTATACATTAATACTCTACCGACTAAAACAATCTCTTTTATTCCCCGATAGTGTCAGTGGCATCTAGTGGCGGCGGCACCTAGTATTGCTCCACTATCTCGCTTCGCTCGATAGTGTCACATAGTCTCTTATTGGATATGAACTTCCTTATCCTCTTCAACATTTGCAATTTCGGGATGTTTCTTTCCCAATGCATCAGCATGAACAGATGGTAATTCAACAGCAAACCCTTTAATCAAGCTAAACTCATTGGTAATTTTGCCACCAGATTCCTTAATCTGGTTCTTTATCGATTCTGCCGTCTTATCTGGACAATCTTCTTTTAATGTAACAATGTACCCCTTAACGTCTGACATTTTTCGTATCTTCTGTAATTGTCTTGTCAATAGCAGTATATTCAAGCAAATCAAACTAAACCTCACAAAGCTATCAATAATAAAAGAAAACGTATATGCTTTTTTTGTACTTGTTATTTTTATCATTGCTATTGATATACCCTCAGGCATTTACAATAGCGCGTGCTACCAGTTGTGATAAGCCAGTCATTGTCATCGTGCTCCCACCATCTCGCTTTGCTCGATAGTATCGTTTACTTTTGGTCAAACGCCGTTTGTCGATTAAACAGGTAAAAACGCTTTTTGTTAGCTTGTGAGGGTGCTTGTTTTGATAGTTGAATATTTTATACTGGCAAAGGTTAACCATTGATAACTGCAGCTTTCTATTTTTTGTTTTGCTTAGTAAATTCACCAATGATAGCAATATATCAAAAGTACTATACTCCATTAGATAGGTTCATTAATAAATTCAGAAGAAGGGGATTTTGGATTTATACGGGACTCGTTTGTTTCTCTTTAATATATATGTTTTACGAAATATCAAACCTACCCAGCTTGCCACCACCACCACCATCATCATCATCACTGAAATCCCAAGCTGACTCTAGAAGGAAGAAAAAGAATAATGATCCTAAAGTAACAGAATTCGTTATCAAAGAAGAAGTAATAGTGAGACCTTGAAACCGAGCGACACCATCGAACGAAGCGAGATAGTGGAGCACACTAGCTGCCACCGACACTATTGACACTAGCTGCCACCGACACTATCCCCCTCTGCTCGATAGTAGAGCACACTAGCAGCCACCATCTTAGCAAAATTCATTACTATAAGACCAACACATCTCAAATCGACACTATCTCGCTCTGCTCGATAGTGTTGTAACAAGCTGCTAAGCTACTAAGTGGAGCAGCACTGACTCCTGACACTATTGTATTATCTTTATATTAAAAAGGTCTAAAACGTTACAGAAATGAATCATAAAAAGAAGAAAAAAAAATCAAACAATAATATCCCATCCCAATCCCAAAATCAACTCTAACCTCCCTTTCTCTACCCTTCCTTTTTCTGCTCTCCCGATAGTGTCGGTGGCAGTCAGTGCTGCTCCACTATCTCGCTTCGCTCGATAGTGTCGACCCTCCCTTTCTCTACCCTCCCTTTTTCTGCTCACCCAATAGTGTCGGTGGCAGTCAGTGCTGCTCCACTATCTCGCTTCGCTCGATAGTGTCGACCCTCCCTTTCTCTACCCTCCCTTTTTCTGCTCACCCAATAGTGTCGGTGGCAGTCAGTGCTGCTCCACTATCTCGCTTCGCTCGATAGTGTCGACCCTCCCTTTCTCTACCCTCCCTTTTTCTGCTCACCCAATAGTGTCGGTGGCAGTCAGTGCTGCTCCACTATCTCGCTTCGCTCGATAGTGTCGACCCTCCCTTTCTCTACCCTCCCTTTTTCTGCTCACCCAATAGTGTCGGTGGCAGTCAGTGCTGCTCCACTATCTCGCTTCGCTCGATAGTGTCGACCCTCCCTTTCTCTACCCTCCCTTTTTCTGCTCACCCAATAGTGTCGGTGGCAGTCAGTGCTGCTCCACTATCTCGCTTCGCTCGATAGTGTCGATAGTGTCGATAGTGTCGGTGGCAGTCAGCGCTGCTCCACTATCTCACTTCGCTCGATAGTGTCGATAGTGTCGATAGTGTCGATAGTGTCGATAGTATTCATCCGTATAATAAATCAATAATAAAACAAAATCCCCCGCCCCAAGTAACTTTCTGAAATACCAGCTTTAACCATTTTGGCTTCATTTTCACAAACAAGTTGCCACAATTATAACCTTCGCTTTCAACTCCAACACCCCACTTGATATTTTGTCTTACATTACACCCACTCCAGAAATTCCACCATTTACTACGTTCACAAGGAACGATTCGCAACACATTCTTCATAAGAGGACCAGTTGGTCCATTGATATATTTGTATCCGCCAATTATCGAATGCTTTTGTCTAGGATCGTTAGATGGTAACTGTTGATCTCCCCAATGGCCTTTGAATGCTAACCAATTGCCATAGCTCCATTCACGTCCAACAAAATGTGGATTTGAGTTGTTCAATGCAGGAAAAATGTGTTTTCCATCATAAGTATATCCTAAATAATTCTTTTCTGGGTTCCATAAAGGACCGCGATCAGTGAAATCTGAAAGTATATCGTATGGTAGGTCGTGAGGATGTTGTCCCACACTAGGATAATTTGCATGAGTACCTCTGGCGCTGAAAATAATTGGATGCCGTTCATCTAAAGTGTACTTCTCTAAATTCTCATAATAGAATGCACCGCCACCACCATGTGCCGACATCCATACTATAATTGGTTCTCCTTTATAAAATCTCACCAATGAGTGTTCCCAGTCTCCAACATGGTTCCCATAGGGACCTTGGCCCATGACAAATGGTCCTAAATTAAACGAGTAAAAATAAAACCAGTATGAATCGACCCATCCGTTGCCCTTGTCCACTACAATCAAAGTAGCAGGTGCATTCTTAATCTCTCCATTTATCAAATTAGGTTTATTCTTAATACCAGTAATCCATTCGGGATCAGTGTCAAAATCTGAATTTGAAGTCAAATACAAATTATCGGAATCTTTAAGCTTGGCCAATTTTTGTAATGTTAAGACGCCTTCGTCTGTCCCCGGACACACTGTGCCGTTCTCGTACCTCACATGGAAGTTTGAAACAAACTCGCTAATATCATAAGGCAAATATCTTTCTTCGCTATATAGGTAAACCAAAGGCGCATAATCTAGCACATATTGAGGGATTTCGCCTGGTTCCAAAGTTCGCTGCTCCTGCTTGGGCAAACTCACTATTGGCGGGAAATCTTTATACTTTAATGGATCTTTCAAAATGTTTGAAATCTTGACTTCTTTGTAATCATCTTGTATTGCGTTCAAGATGTAGTTGTTGGCATCTTGTACGTCAAAGTAATCTTGTGCTTGAAGATCTTCAACAAAAACCGTCAAACCAGGTCCTGTCAACAAGGCTAGCCCAATCGCTATAGAAGAACACAACATCTTCCCCATATCTAGCCTCTTTTAATGGTGTATGTGTGTGTAAGCGTGTCACTTTGTTAAATACAAAGGAAGGAGCGATTATTGGAAAAAAGTATCGCCTCGGCTATTCTCTTCTCGGTTATCTTTAGTTCTTCTCTTCTCTTGTTATCTTCAGCTATTCTCTTTTCTGCTATCTTCAGCTTTTCTGTCCTCTGTTATCTATATATTCTATTCTATTCAGCTATCTTCAGCTATCTCTGTTCTCTGCTATTCTTGAAATCCCGGGGTATCCTCTACAAAGGCCAAAAAAAGGGGATTACTATATAGAGCGATTTCGGCTGATTGATATCTCCCTCTTTGATAAACAAAAATTGATATGCAGAAAATTATCATCAGGTACACTACCAATCTGAGACAAGAGAGGGGGAGAGAGAGATGACTCTAGATGGAAAGAAGAAGAAGAAGAAGAAGAAGAAGAAGAAGAAGAAGAAGAAGAAGAAGAAGAAGCAGAAGCTGGTGGGTCAGTAACGTAAAGTTGTTTTAAACGTTTCTTTTTTCTTTTTAACTCAACTAGATAGTGTATCTATGTATCTATACCGTTATAAGTTTTTTGTTCTTTGTTTTTGGCTCTAAAACTGCCTGTTCTTCTTCTTCTTCTTCTCCTCCTCCTCCATTCTCTTTCTTTATCTCTTTTTTTTTTCATTTTTAAAAGACAAATACTTGATCACCCAATTTTGAAACAGGTTTGGCCTTTTCATAGCCTAAGGAAGTGGCGGCTTTCTTCATAGCACTGATCATTGGTGGAGGACCACATAATAGTAAATTTGTATCAGGAGAAGGTTTAGGTAAATGCTCATCAATCAATTCGGGAGTCACAAAGCCAACCGAATATTGCCAATTTTCAGGAGCTTCATTCAACACATAATGAACCTTAAATCTATCGGGATGCTCCTTGGCATATGTTTCCAATTCGTCTTTTAACAAAATATCAGAATCAGTGACATTAGCATATAACAAGTGCACTTTGGTCTTGTCATCGGGATTTTTCATAATGGCTGTTATGATCTGGTACATTGGCGCAATACCAGTTCCACCAGCAATCATTCCCAAGCTTTTCTTCATATTGGGCGCATATGTGAAAAATCCCTTAGGGCCTCTGATTTCCACAAAATGGCCAACCTCCTTTTCCGCAACGTGTTTTGAAATATTACCGTTTTCATAAGTCTTGATTAACAAATCAAAATGGCCCTTTTGGTCACTAGTGGAAATGGGGGTATAGGAACGTACAATCTCTTTACCATCTACAATCGCACCAATACTGATATGCTGACCAATGGGCAAGTTCAAAGTATCTGAGGGACGGGGCAATCCAAACCTATAAATAGCCGAATTATGAGACACTTTAATCTTCTTGATCAATGGGAATTTCTGAAACTGATCTGGGATCAATGCAGGTTTACCCTTTTTTGATTGTTGAAAAAAATAATATGCAATAAAGGATAAGATTATAGAGGCTACGGTTGTAAACACAACCAATGGATTTGGCTCGGATGAAGTAGATGTAGATAACTCTGCCATTGTATACACACACACACACTCTCTCTCTCTCTCTGTGTCTGCTCTATAGCCTTGTACTACAAAAAAGAGTTAAGAAAGTAAAGACTGGCTTTGAAATTCTAAAGGAAAAAGTTTGGGGTTCTTATATATTTTTTTTTTTTTTCACCATGCTAATTGAAATCGGTCGACTAATTTACTAAGGGGATTTTTTTTTTTTCAAGATATCATATGATGAAAAGAATATTAGAATAGATGAGGGTTTAAGGAATGGGGCAGGGTAGACTACAGATAGAAACAAAAGGGTAGAGGAGTTTCATAATGGACACACACACACATACTCACACTGTTTCTCATTAGACCTCTAGTCGGATCTTAATATTACTTTGGCATCAGTTTCCGGCACTCTTCATATACGAGAGAGAAAATATGTAATTAATGGATTTTTTTACTCTTTTGGGTATTCACATACGACACGAGCTCCACTATCGAGCACCACTATCGAGCACCACTATCGAGCACCACTATCGAGCACCACTATCGAGCTCCACTATCGAGCTCCACTATCGAGCTCCACTATCGAGCAAAGCGAGATAGTGGAACAACACTCAGTAGCTTGTTACAACACTATCTCGCTCTTCTCTATAATGTCGCTCTTCTCTATAGTGTCGCTCTACTCGAAAGTGTCGCTCGATAGTGGAACAACACTCGGTAGCTTGTTACAACACTCGGTAGCTTGGAACAACACTATCTCGCTCTTCTCTATAGTGTCGCTCTACTCAATAGTGTCGCTCGATAGTGGAACAACACCCAGTAGCTTGTTACAACACTATCTCGCTCTACTCGATGGTGTCGCTCGATAGTGGAGCACCACTCAGTAGCTTGTTACAACACTACCTCGCTTCGCTCGATGGTGCTGCTCGATGGTGTTGCTCGATAGTGTTGCTCGATAGTGTTGCCCCCCTCACCGTTCTAGATTAATGTTATTACCAAACTTGGCATACAATGCCTTCTTCAACTTACCCAATTCCTCATCGTATTCAGAAATGAGTTCAACTATATCATCAATTTTCTTCAGTATCGCCTCGTCGTCATTCTCAATCTTACCCAATGCTTTTTTCACCTTAATAAACATAAATGCATCGCCCACCTTGTACTGAATCTTCTCATCCTCATCAAATAGTTCCAATTCCATGGTCAAGTCATCAAGGTACTCTTTTTCAACTTTTAATTTATCCAATTGTAATTGCTTGCTATCCTTTTTATTTATCAATGTCGAGAACTTATTGATTCTCTGTTGATCTTCCCATTCCACTTCAACCGCAGTGTTTCTTTGTCCCTCAGGAAGTAATTCCATTGTAATTGACAGTAGAGATCTTAACGTTCTTTGTTTCAAGAATAAAAATGAAAAAATAAAAAAGAAGAGCTTCCATACAAAGTATGTACGTGGTAGCGGTTGCGACCATCAAATAGAGTCATCTAATGTTCAAAAGCGAATATTAACATTTATACAAACCTAAGTAACCTCCCCTAAAAGAACAAAAAGTAGAAAAAGAGACAACCCCTGAGTAGAAGGGATATGCCTCAAGAAAACTAAAGAAGAAAAAAAACAACCCCAACCCTTTGAGCAAATGTCATTTAGGTATTAAAAAAAAATAAAGAAAATCACATCAATCTAATGGCTTTAGACCAATTGTTCTCAAACTTTTATATACCCAAAATCTATTCCTCATCCTCTTCATCTTCGTCTTCAGCAACAGAGTAGAATTGTAACCTGTACTGATTCTGTTTAACAGCAACAAATCTAATCCAATCTCTAATCTGGTTCTTTTTCAAGTATCTCTTTGTCAAGTATTTCAAGTATTTACCACTGAATTTAGCGTTTGAAAGAATGACAACTTTGTTACCACTTTCAGCAGTAACTGAAATGTCATCACCTAAATTACCAACAATGTTGTCGACTTTGATGTGTTCAATCAAATATTTGACGTATCCTTCTTGGTCAAAAACACCATTTTCAACTGGTGCTGAAGTATCAACAGTGAATTTCTTAACTTGTTTGGATTTCTTTGAAGTCTACACACCGGGGAAGTTGTTAGCCTACCGCACTTTTGCGAAAAGAATGTTTTTCTAGTAAATATTATACAGAACACACTCTTTCTGACAGCAAAGCCTTTTATTTCCAAAAGAAGGAAAGGAAAAATATATGGGGGAGGGAAGGGGGGAAGGTTGGTGAAGAGGGTTTGAAGCCACTCAAGTTTGAATATTCTATTCAATATTCCCTTTTGAAAAGCAAAAAAAAAAAAAAAAAAAGTGAGTTAAAATGGAAAGGATATTGAACCTTACCACTTTAAATCAACTTATTTGTGTTTCCTGGCGATGGTGCACGGCATGAATCTGATATTTACTAGATTAGTGATATAGTCATACATACAATTGGAGCCATTGTGGTTAGGGTTTGTCTGATCTGTGTAGTTGAAAAGGTTACAGGTGGAGAGGAAAGTGAAAAATTTGGAAAACTTCTCTTCTCTTTTCTTTTCTTCTCTCTCTCTCTCTCTCTCTCTCTCTCTCTCTCTCTGTATCTTTGATATCGATGGATAGTGGGGCTACCATCTGTTTGAAATAGTGCTACCATGCAGCCCGCAAAACGAAAATTGGTATATGTCACGTGTGTATAGTTTTACTCAGGGTTTAGACTTATTTGCGCCTTGGTTAAGAGCGCCTTGCAGTAGATCATGCAATGCATCATAAAAAGGCTGCAAAAATTAGAAAATACTAAACGAGATGCAGGCGAGTGGAGTGAACCATATGAGAAAGAGAGAGAATTGTAGCTGAAACCAGAACATGTTATGTACTTCTATGACCCTTGTGGTAGGATGCACATATACTTCTTTTTCTATTACTACTACTACTACTACTACTACTACTACTTACTTTCTCTCATTACTAACTCTTTCCCTCCACTTTTAAAAGGTCAAAACCAGTAACAGAGAATGATCTTCAATTATTATCTAAATAGTTAAATTCTATTACAATCTTCCAACCTAAATGTACAAAGAAGATGAATACACTGTACTCACACCTAATAAAAACCTCAACATGAAAAAAAACAAATGAATTGAATACCTGGGACCAAACATTGAGAGCAGTTCTAACGTGTTCTGCTCTCCCCTAAAAATTAAAGTACTCTTTTTATCTTTCTATCGCCACTTCATTGATTGATAGCTCGCCGTACTCTTCGCTATCTACTAGGTAGACTTCTCTGTCCTTCCAAATCTCTTTTATGTTCTTCCTCTCTCATTTCTTCAATCGTCATAACCCATTGTCCTTCTTCGAAATAAAAGGCGCAGATTAGTAGAAATAGACAACATAACAAAAAGAATATGAGCAAACCCGTATACTCTTCGCTAACCATCCTTCTATTCTTTTCTATTGTTGTTGCGGTGGCAAGAAGAAATAGTGGGTGGGATCTGTATTTTTGTGTGTATATTTGTGTGTATGGTGTTATGTGTATATTATGACGATAACACCTACTTTAATATCCTCAACGCTTTTAATCGAGGCCAGGCAAAAAGACGTTTAAAAATAAGAGGAAGAAGATATAGCTCACTTTCCTATTCTTATTTAACGCTCTTTTCTCATATCATGCAGAGGTATCCAGATTGAACTCTTGTGTGTGTGTGTGTGTGTGTTTTCATAAACGCCGAGTAGAAAGAACTCGATACAAGTTTCTAATATTAATTTTATACAGGCAAAAAAAAAAAAGGATTTATATTTTTTAAGTAAGAACAGCGGTTACGTATAATAAGAGTTGCAATCTTAAAGTTGTGGCAATATACATATAACTTCATATTCCTTGTTTTGGGGGTAAATACAATTTAGCTCCACACATATACACTTATCTGGTTTTGTAAACCGCAGTTTCAGGTTAGAGAGAGAGGATAAAGTAAAAATTACAATTTGAAACAGAATATGACTTGAAAATTACAGGGCCATAATACCAAAGCTTCATCTTTGAATCAGCCCTTTTTTGAGTACTTTTTCTTGTTGATGTCATGCAACTTTGCCTCGGCTCGTACTCCACCTTGTGATGGGGGGGGGCTATTACTCTTCTTGTGCTCCCCCTTCAAAAGCTAGAGAAAAGCTGGGGCTTTCAAAAAAATAAAATTTTATTCTTATTTGTATACTACTTTGGGAACCTTAAATAATAATATTCTAGCCATCTCCTGACCCTATAAGCCCCTCTTTACCTCTTTACCTTTATCTGCAAAGATTCGCCTCTTCCTCTTACTAGCGCTAATTTGTTTTTCCTAATTAATAATAAACTTTATCTCTTATCGTCATGAACCTTAAAGAACAAAAAGAAAGACCGATACCAAAAATATTTCTAAATATGACCATGGTAAAACAGAGTGTGCTTCATTAGTCTTACTTGCCCCTTCGTTCGAAATACTTGAACTCTGCTGGTCTGCATTCACATCTTCACCTAATTGAGCAATGGAAAGCCTATCGTTTTCAAAATCATAAACAGTGTAGAAATTTTGCAAGATATCAGAACCAAATAAAACACCACCTATTATCAGCTGATCCAATATCGCTAACACGCATGTTTCCTCTGATGTACTGCTAACATGTGAAACTAGAGCCGTCAACGGAAATGACAATTCAGTGCCATTTATCGTGAACTTCAACATCTGATCATACTCCTCATCACAACCGATATCATATACCAGTGCATTTGTATTATATCTACCACCTATTGCCTCGGCAATCGCCTCAATCCATTCTCGAGGAAATGCGGAAAATGTGGCTCCTGTATCAAAAAGAACTTTCTCCGTTCCCACCACCAGTATCTTCTCATCATCAAGCATTAGACTTTCGATTTCTAGAGTACCAGCCTTGGTCATATTAGTAGTAGCCATTTCACCTGTATATTTCGAATTATCCACATCTCCAAAAAGAACCACTCCCGTTTCATTGGTCATGTATATCGAGTAAATTGAACTATTAGTTATTCCTTGCTTTTCAAGCATTTTTGGAAAATTGTCATCATCTGACTCTTGCCAACCAATTCCCATTATACCAACATCAACACTTGTGATATTGGCAATGCCAAACTTGAAGTTATGGACTGTTGCATTCCCAATATGCAAATCATCAAGCCCCCAATATCCAGATGATCCGGTACCATCGGCATACCCTATATTGAAAACTTGATTTGTTTCAACAAACGTCTCTGATTCATTAGGATTGTAAGTCCCATTTGCCGTACATGTGTAGTTTGGATAAAGATCATCAAGTACCTTGGGAATTGTAGGGGCATTTTCTGTGTGGAATTGAGACACATTCAAACATTCCACTGAACTTGACATCACCCATAAGCTCAGTGATCCCGTGTCTATTGAAACAGATACTTTATCATTGTTTGAACCTATTTCCAACTCTGTAATGTAGACATTTTGTAGAACACGAAAGAGGAGATGGAAATCTCGTTGGTCAAGTATTGTTGGTGCATGTGGTTGAAACTCTTGTTTTTGAACTTTGAAGTCAAGTTGAAACGCAATAACTGTGCAAGCAAATAGCGCTAATGATATAGCAAAGCTGGTCATTCCAAGCCCAAAAAAAGAAAAAGAAAAAGAAAAAAGAAAGGAAATGGGGAGGGGGGGAACCTAACAAAACAAAGAGATAGAAACAGAAGGAGGATTACTGACACATTAGTAGGATAGTCCAATTGGGTTGCCAACTGCCAGATCTTCTTACTCTTGTATCTCTTTAGACTTTTACATAAATTGACTAAGTAAGTTAATGGTTAGTCTTTTTTTATTTTAGCAATGTATACTGCATAAAGACTTTATTTCCAATTCCGCCAAAAGCCTTATGTATGTACTTACTTTACTTTATTATTCGCAAAGAGAGTTTCTGACCCTTTAAAAACGGGGTCAGTGAGATAGCACCCTTGCCCACTGATTTTGAAATTGACCAATATTTCCCAATAAGTGGGAATTGAAGTTGAGAGAGAGGGAGAGGGAGAGAGAGGGAGAGGGAGAGAGAGGGAGAGGGAGAGAGAGGGAGAGCTTAATACATTCCTGTCTTTATCCAGGAACCCTGGAAGTTAAACACCGGTAGCACGTGCCATTTCATTGACTGAAAAAACATTTTCCAATGTCGTAAAAGTGCGCTACCGAATAAATGGCTGCAAAAAAATTTGGCCAGGGAAAAAAAAAGTACTCTCTATTGTTACCAAGACAAGGACAATATATTATCTGCAACAAAACGGCTCAACAAAACGGCTTCTCTTTTTTTTTCCCCCTTTTTTGGTATGCAACTGATCAAAAATGGTGTTTATAAGAAGATAAAGAGTCCCCCTTTGACTCCAGACTGTTGTGAAAAATTTTCAAGCTGAAGCTAGAACCATTTAAGAAGAATGAGAAATTTATACATCATTATCAACTCAATTTTGTTCTTTTCCCACTTTATAAAAGCACAAGTGCTTTATAAACAAGCATCCGAACCGTTTGTATTGGCAGTTTACGACTCTTGCTATGACTCGTCTGACTCTGATCAGTTGATGAATGCAGCAATACAGAAATTGCACCACAATGGTACAAAAGTTTATATAAGTAATCCCGAAAACACCACCAGTAGCAATACCTATTTGGAAGGCACCATTCTCAAAAACACAAGCTTGAAAATTGATAACATTGCACCATCTGAAAATCTTCATTTCTTAAGAGTTGATTCAAAAACACATCGGTTGAAACTCTGTCCTAATGGCGAATCGTCAAAGGACTTTAAAGTTGTACACGATTCACTTTACTACCATGGTTCAAATCAATGGCTGATTTGTTTTGATGAAGGGGAAAATAGCAGCTTTGTTTATCATGGAAGTATTAAAGATAATAGAAAATACTGTTGTTACTGGGATCAAGAAGTGGAATTGCGAACTATTGGGAAATTCGATGCTTCGGGGTCTGTGCCTGACTATCCCTACATTCAAATAAATCAATAGTGAAGGGAAAATTCACAGTCTATAGAATAGGATATAGTTGTGCGCTCGTCGATTATCTGCCACTGAAACTAGAGAAAACATCACTTCTACACTAGCCACTTGTTAAACTTTTTTCAAATGACCCAGTTCTCCGTGTATTACCTGCTCTGTAAACTTTATTCAAAATCAAACTTTTTTTTTTTTTTTTTTTTACTTTTTTCATTGTCCAAAACCACCAAAAAAACAGTTAAACCTGCTTTGCAAATGCAAAGACACGTTACCTGTTTGTATTCCTTTCTCAACCACCAAATGCTCCTTCTATCAAGAAAAAAAAAATTCAAAAAAACAAAACCAACTCCATTTACTTCACCACTTTACCCAACATTATAACTTTTCTTCCTCTTTGCCAGTCACATCTCTTTGTAATAATTCCTCACCTGTTCCAAACGAATTAGGTTCAACATTTCTTCATTCCCCAAATTGTTCTTTGCCTGCTCAATCATTTCAAATTTATGCCAAAACTCATCAAACTGAACAAGGTCCTGCTTGACAGACTCTTCCAATTCTTGATTAAAGTTTTTGTTCTGTTTACACTTTAAAATCAGCTTGACTTGTTGATTATGTGATCTAGGTTGATGATGTAGTGGGCCGCGATTATGCATATAATGATGATGATTATGGTTGTTATTATTGTTTTTATTATGCTGAAGGGGTTGGTGATACTGGTGATGATCATAGTTATGCTTATTCGGTGAAGAAGGAGAAGAATTAATCAAAGATGAAAAATCCAATCCTTCAAACCCCAACTTATTAAAACTGAGAAACGATTTTTTACGTTTTGGTTCTAGTAAAGGATACGTTTCCTGTTCAATTTCCTTTGACTCGCCCGATTTGGAACCATCATTATCCTCACAGAATTTAATCTTACATTCTTGGGGAGTTAAAGTGGCGCTATCATTCACATGGAAAACTTCGTCAGTGGAACGAAACATTGATAAATCAAAACTGGACCCACCATTTAGCTTCCGTAACATGCTATTTGAATTCTTTTTAATCAACCCTTTGAACCTATCCAAAAGACTCAACTCTTTTAAACTTTCAATCATTGATTCAACTTCTGCATAGTAATTACCATCGTCAGCACCATCACCAAGTGCCTCTTCTTCTTCTTCTTCTTCTCCTCCTCCTCCTCCTTCCTCGTTTTCATTCTCATAATATTCATCTTCTCTTTTGTCTGCATGTAATCTTCTTCTATCCTCTTTTAAACCATTTGCTTGTTCCTGTAGTCTCGCACTTTCACTATGATCTATAGGATCTAAGCTCCAATTATCAAAATCAAAATCAAAGTCAAGTTTACTCATTACCGAAACTTGTGGTGATAATATTGGTGAGTGCTTTTTTTGATAAACTTCAAGAACAACCGGCTTACGAAGCCCTGGGAAAACGCCTTTTCGCTTAATCTCAGCTATACTTTCATCATCATCATCATCATCTTCTTCTTCTTCTTCTTCTTCTTCTTCTTCTTCTTCCTCCTCCTCGTGTGTTTCTCTCAAATCTCGGGCACCTTTGCTCTTCTCGCTCTTATTTATAATGTTATGCTTATTATCGTAAGTAGATATTGAGCTGGTATTACTGCGATTAAACTGTAGTTGAGGTGACGACAAAGAATTATGAGAGTTGGCCAGCGACGAAGCTGAAGATACTTCAAATAAACTCTTTAATGACTGGCTCTTGGCTGAGTTGAGAGGAGGTCCCGAAATGTGGTGATGATACTTGTCTCTATTTTTTCTGTGGTGTTGCTTTATATTGATATCAGTTATAGTCATTGCTAGCACAGGCGGTGGCGGCTGTGTGGGGCGCTAAGGCGGTTTATAGGCAAGGGTTAGAGGCTCAATACCTTTCTGTCTATGATTTGTATAATTTGAATTGTTGCGAAAAAAGTTTAAAAGAAAGAAGAGGGAAAAATATTGCAACGCTTTTCTATTGCAGTTTAAAAAAAAAAAAAAAAAAAACAATTATTGTAGTGCTTTTTTAGGTATGCAAGTTTTATGGAAATGTTGTAGCTCCAATTTCGGGTGGGGGGAGAAGGAGGCACGGGGGATGGGGTGCTGAATGCAGTAAAATTTGATCACTGTGTAGAAATTGTATTTAGTTGAAGTAAGTCACTCGAAATTGAGAGATTAGTCAAAATATGCAATAAGCCCATTGAGAAGGCATATTGAGAAAAATTGCAAGCCATTTGCATTATTCTAGTCTCTTATATCGACTAACATACATTTCGTTTAAACTGGTCTTCCCCTTGCATCCAAATATCCAATTAACCCCTTAAAGCCATATAGTTGTAGCCCTTTAAAGCCCCTTAAGTTTCGGTATATGCAGCCCCATAAAACCCCTTAAGTCCTTATACTGGTAGCCCCTTAAGTCCCTGTATTGGTAGCGCGTCAATCAATATTACAGCACCTTGGGTGAGCCACATTGAAACAATAGAAGTCAGAAATGTAAAAGAGAAATATTGAATAATAGTTTCCAAAAATCTGTAGACTATCGAGCAGAGCGAGATAGTCTATCAACTACTCTCTCTATTCTCTATAGACTATTAACTACTCTCTACTCTCTATAGTCTAGTGACTGCTCTCTCCACTCTCTTTAGTCTATTATCTACTCTCTCTATTCTCTATAGACTATTAACTACTCTCTACTCTCTTTAGTCTAGTGACTACTCTCTCTAATCTCTATAGTCTATCAACTACTCTCTCTAATCTCTATAGACTATTGACTACTCTCTACTCTCTATAGTCTAGTGACTGCTTTCTCCACTCTCTTTAGTCTATTATCTACTCTCTCTACTCTCTTTAGTCTATTGACTACTCTCTCTATTCTCTCTTCTCTCTTTAGTCTATTAACTATTCTCTCTACTCTCTTTTTTCTCTACAACTGTTCTCTCTACTCTCTCTTCTCTCTACAGTCTATTGACCACTTTCTCTACAGTCTATTAACTACTTTCTCTTCTCTCTCTTTTCTTTATAGACCAGACTCGTTTTACTCGTCCAGTCTCTCTCTCTTCTCTCTATAGACCAGACTCGTTTCACTCGTCCAGTCTCTAGTCTCGTGAACCGAGTTCCGAATAGCTTTATGCGGGGAAAAAAGATTCACCTTTTTCAAGATTAATAATCGGCTTTATACGGGACCCACCAATAGGATACTTTTTTTCCCTTTACGGATCTGGGTTCCCGATAGTACCTAATCTTTTTACTCCACACACCCTTTTTCGAATTTTACAACCAAATTTTTACAACCAAATTTTTACAACCACTTTTTTACAACCACATTTAAACAAGAGTTACGAAGCTGCAGTGGTGAGTATAAAAGACCTTGCTAATTCTCTGATCTACAACATAGTCACTTTGAAGTACCTCCACTCTCTCTTTCTTTCTTTCTCTCTCTAATTTATCCTTTTTTTTTTCCCTGTCACTGAGTCATGTTGTCGAGAGTATTGAAAGCAACCAGTATAAAGTCATCTGCTAGACAAGTTATGAGGTTCAACTCAACAATCATCAAGCTATCTTCAACCACTACAAGTTTCCCAACCGGCCATACAAACCCCAACGATGAACCATATCTAACTCCAAGCTTTATCAACAACCAATTCATCAAATCAGAAACTAAAGAATGGTTTGATATCCACGATCCTGCTACTAATAATGTCGTTTCTAAAGTCCCACAATCCACAGAATCGGAATTGGATGATGCTATCGCTAGTGCCCATGCCGCATTCCCAAGTTGGAGAGATACTTCTGTCATTAAACGTCAAGGAATTGCATTCAATTTTGCTTCCTTATTAAAGGAGAATAGAGATAGAATTGCTAGTGTGATTGTTTTGGAGCAGGGAAAGACTTTTGTCGATGCTCAAGGAGACGTTACTAGAGGTTTACAAGTTGCCGAGGCTGCTTGTAATATAACAAATGACCTCAAGGGTGAGACTTTAGAAGTTAGTACCGATATGGAAACAAAGATGATTAGAGAACCTTTAGGGGTAGTTGCTTCCATTTGTCCATTTAACTTTCCAGCAATGGTTCCATTATGGTCGTTGCCTCTAATTTTGGTCACCGGTAATACTGCCGTTGTTAAGCCTTCAGAAAGAGTTCCTGGTGCAGCAATGATTATTTGTGAATTGGCAGCAAAAGCAGGTGTGCCACCCGGTGTGATTAACATTGTACATGGTAAACATGCTACTGTTAACAAATTGATTGAAGATCCTAGAATCCAAGCCGTGACATTTGTAGGTGGTGATAAAGCAGGTAAATATATTTACGAAAAAGGTACTGCATTGGGTAAAAGAGTTCAAGCTAATTTGGGAGCCAAGAACCATTTAGTTGTTCTTCCAGATGCACCAAAGCAACAGTTCATTAATGCGTTGAATGGTGCTGCATTTGGAGCTGCTGGTCAAAGATGTATGGCTATAAGTGTATTGGTTACAGTTGGTAAAACCAAAGAATGGATCAAGGATATAATTAAGGATGCAAAACAATTGAAAACGGGTTCAGGTTTTGATAAGTCATCGGATTTGGGTCCTTTGATTAATCCAGAATCACTTGCAAAAGCAGAACAAATTATTGAAGACTCGGTTAAGCAAGGAGCAACATTGGAACTAGATGGTCGTGGCTATAGACCCGATGATTCCAAATTCTCCAAGGGAAATTTCCTTGCACCAACAATAATTAGTGGAGTTGAACCCGGTATGCGTTGTTATGACGAGGAAATTTTTGCTCCTGTGTTATCAGTAGTGAATGTTGACACAATTGATGAAGCTATTGAGTTGATTAATGCTAATCGTTATGGTAACGGAGTTTCACTTTTCACTTCACTGGGTGGTTTTGCTCAATATTTCACAAAGAGAATCGATGTTGGTCAAGTTGGTATTAATGTGCCTATTCCTGTTCCATTACCTATGTTCTCATTTACCGGATCAAGAGGTTCCTTTTTGGGTGATTTGAACTTTTATGGTAAATCCGGTATCACATTCTTGACTAAACCAAAGACTATTACAAGTGCATGGAAAGTTAATACTATTACTACAGGTGATGAGATTTTAAAACCATCTACTTCAATGCCTGTGCAACAGTAAAAAACATTAAAAAAAAAAAAAAAACATATTTGTGTGTGTGTGTGTGTGTACTGTATAAATTATATTACTGGTGAAAAAAAGAAATGTTTATAGAGAGATACTTGGACTAAAAAGACTATATTGGAATAGATATAATCAACGTTATCGAGAGCACGTCTCTTTCCTCCCCTTTCCTCCCCTTTCCTCCCCCTTCAAACTAATTTTAGTACCACAAGTTTCAAGTTTAGTCTTCGTCAACGTTACTCAGAGACATCTACAGTATAAATCAAAATTAAATAAAATGAATAAATAAATAAGTTTCATATCAAACCGTCATGGTCTTTTCCAATTGGACAACACCTAAACAGGGGATTTTACTTTGAAAAAAAAAATATACTCGAGTCCAACTAGTTTGAACCAAGTCTTGAGCTTTTCTTCCTCTTTTTATAAATCATCCTCTCGTTGATCTCATCATATCTCGTCATATCTCGTCAATCTCATCACCTCATTAACAATCTGAATATATATATATATATATGTATATTGAACTTCGAAAATTTTCTTCCTTTTTTTTTATCTTATCTCCCTCATTGTCCCATCATACCCCATTTACCTATCACCAATCATCAATCCCTCCCACTTCTCTCCCTCCATCTGATTCTCTCTAGATTTTCAAAATAAGAAGGAACCAGTGCATCCATACTCTGGCACTTGCACCTGTTGTTGCAGCTGTTGCAGCAACAGCGGCAGTTGTTGGTGTAAAAGTGGCATTTGTGCCTCCTCCTCTTTATCCAGATAGTAATGTAAATGATTATTCAACAACTTTTCCTCCAAAATATCAGTAACCATATTATACTCATCGTCATGTCTCTTCATTTCATCCCTCTTATCCTCTTTCTCTTCCATACAGTCATCAAATTTGAACTTGTAAGGGGAAGATTCAATTGATTTATCCACTTCCTTATATTTAGGAAGATCAAAAAAAGCTCCCATTTTTTTAAGCAGAAGTGGTGGTGGGTGTTTGTGAATCATTGGCGATGCCAGTATTGATGAAGATGTAGAAGAAATTGTAGCTTGCATAGGAAATCCGCCCGCGCATAAATTAGCCCCGGTTGTAGCAAGAGTGTTAGTAGTAGTAGGAGGAGGAGGAGTAGTAGTAGTAGTAGAAGCAGCAGCAGCAGTAGTGAGATGATGGTTGTGTTGTTGTTGTTGTTGCTGCTGCTGTTGCAAATTGGTATGGTTGTTATGATGATGATGACCGAATTTTTCAACAACGGTGCCAACAGAACTAACTGTTGTACTTCTGGTCAATGTGCTCATCAACAGATTACAATCGTAATCAGACATGTATGGACTTGTAGTTCTTGATAATTCCAAAGTAGGACTTAAATTATCCCCTTCACTTCTATCAACACTTTCTCTATGGTTACTTCCATCTTCAAAAATTTCCATTTCCATATCTGAATCTTCAAAGTCTAAACTATTAGTGTAAAATTTAGTAGATGCACCTGGGTTTTCCACTTCATTGTTTGTTTTGCATTTTTTAAGAGTCATTAAATCTCTTGCATGATCCGGGTTTTCCTCTTCATCATCATCTTCTTCTTCTTCATCATCATCTTCTTTTTCATTATCTTTTTCTCCTTTATCTTCATCAATTTCGTCAATCTTTATAAACTCATCAAATTCATTATTCTGCATCAATGGCGAACTCATAGTTGTGCTAAGAGCTGAAGAATTTATAGAACTTATTGAGTCCAGACCAAAGATATAAGGTGAAAATTCTACAATCTCTCTTGCCTCATTCAAGTTCTTCTTCTCTTTATTCATTTCATTCTTTTCCTTCTTTTCCTCTTCTTCCAATGTCATGAGAATTTCATTAAAGGATCGTTTGTGAACTTGAGTATATGGAATGCTTGTATCCAGTAAATTTGCATTTGTTTCAGTTTTACTGGAGATACTATTGTTTGCGGTTGGGCTTAACTCCGCTGTGGGAGTGGTGGTGGTGTTAGAGGCATTAGTAACATTACTATTAGCAGTACTACTAGTAGTAGTATGGTCTAATACGCATTTCTTCAAATGTTTGTACTCATGAATTAAACACAACATATTGGATTTTAGCAAATTGTTTTCACTATCAATAATGGAGATATTTTTCAACAATTGAGGGATAGTAGTTGTATCCAGAAGATTGCTTGCATTGTCCAATGGTTCATTTTGACAACATTTCTTTTTGACCTTTGTCTTTTTTGGGCGCGTAATGGCAGTAGTGGCGGTGGTGGCGGCACCACTGCAATTACTGCTACCCGTATTGTTATTCAGTTCCTTCAATTTGCGTCCTGGTTTTGGTCTTGGTGGTAAAACCCATTCTTTTGAAGTTTTGACTCTTGGTAAAATAGTAGAAGAAGATGTTGTTGCCGGTTGTATTTTGAAATATGCTGGCGATTCCCTAAAAACAGATGTACCTGCGACTGAAGAGGGGATACTCGAAACTGGATCCTGTGAGATAACAGTCATTTTTTGTAATGAATATGTCAATATGAATATGTATATAGAATCAAACTCTGGTGATGCCTTATTAAAGAAGATAGCTGCGAAAAAAAAAAAAGAATGTTAGTAAATGTAAAAAGTTTAGGCATAAAAGGTGAACAGGGGAGGAGCTTGAGAGGGAGTTATCCGAGCAGGTATTAATAGCTTGCAAACTAGTTTTGCTGGTTCAAAATTAGCCAGATCCAGTTTAATCTAGAATTGCTCAAGTATTTGCTCAGTTTCTGCAAAACTAGATTTTTCAATTTTCAATGTGCCAATTTTCAGCGTTTAATTTTTTTTTTCCAAGCTCATCGCAAAAGGACTTGTAAAGCTTCAGAAGGAAAGCTCTTCTATTGAGCAGGACCTCCAAAGCAGGTTTTAACCAAAAACACAGACAATCTTGAAAAGTCAGTTCTTTCTTTGTTTCACATTCTCCCATTCCCTCGACTCCCCCCTTTTTTTTTATGGAACTGTGTTCATTAAAGTTGCTCTCAATACGTACCTCAAATTTCTGTTTATTGCCTTTTCGCTTAAAAATGACCAGGATTCCAATGTAACATGAGATACTATAGCTGTGGGGTAGTATAACTTATAGCTCGTTTCCAGGCTTGTATCATTTAAGAGAAAAGCTTAGGAATTGGATAAATGAGTGAATTGCAAGTGTATCTCTCTTTTGGTTATGGCGATATTAGGAAAGTTATAAAGGCTTTTAAGAGAAAGATTATAACGGTAAAAATGGGAAAAAGTTGAAAAAGTTGAAAAATTGAAAAAATGAAAAAATTATTGATCAATTTATTGCTCTTGAACTTGTGCTTTGGTATATATTATCAACATAAACCTGCGCGAACCACTAACTAACTAAATAATTCTCACTACCGGCGCCAATATCGCTCGGCTACTCAAGTGCACTCTTGCTTCTGAGACAATGATGCCAATGCTACCCTAAAAAAGAAAACCTTGCTACCAAATTACTCACTAAAAATAAGTAATAATAAATTTTTTTTTTTTTTCAGTATCTGAGTGTCTGAAATTAGAGTTAGAGTTAAAAACTGTCACTGTCAACTAAAGTATGTTACACCGTTTTTTTAAGTATGTGAGTTTTCGCCAGTGGTATTGTTTTCCCGAAGCTTTCTTTGGCTAGAAATAATGTCTGTCTGAAAAGTTTATGGTTAGTTATGTAACTTATTATATATTTAGTAGCTGTGTATGTGGTTTGATTACGTAATCACATATATTTTGTTCCGGTTTTTTACGTAGTTGCATATAGCTCGTCTTGGCTTGCTTTAGTATGCGTCATGACATCTTGGAGATTATTATGGGGAAATGCATTGGTGTCTGCTGGTCATAGCCAATAACTAGCAATCCAATATACACTATCGAGTAATCCAATATACACTATCCAATATACACTATCGAGCAGAGCGAGATAGTGGAGCACACTAGCTGCCATCGACACTATCACATATAATAACAAGTACTGTAACTAGCAATTGCAATAATAACATATACAGTAATTGCAATAATAATATAAACATTAGGGAACTCTATTAAGAAACGGGATGTTGTGACAATTTATCTTTTACATAATCCTCCTCCTTGCTCACATCTCAACTCAGATCTTTAGCTTCTATTTTCAAAGTCTAAACTCTGATTCCAACATTGGCAATTCCATTTTCGTGACCCAAGAATCAATTTCTGCCGCGATCCAGAATCAATTTCTGCGGCAATCCCCCACTCCCGTTTTGTATACTTGTTTTAAGGTTCTGGTTTTTACCATTTTGAGATGTTTTGTTGTTATCCTTCAGGCAACTTCAAATTTCAGGTAATTTCATTCTCTACGTCCACTACAATTTCTGCTCCACCCCTGATCATCCACGTCCACTACGATTTCTGCTCCACCCCTGATCATCCACGTCCATTACAATTTCTGCTCTACCCCTGATGATACCCCGGGTGTACTTTTCTTTTTGTTTTTTATTACATCTACAACTTAGCGCTACCATTTGTGTCATCTTATGTAAAGCACCAACTCAAAACATCTTTTTTTTTTTTTCCTTCGGGTATTGCCTCCCGGATATGAGGAACTGGCCAATCTAATTTTACACAGAGGATTAATTAGCCGAAAACACCGATGAACCTCAAACACCGATGAACCTCATCTCTTTCTTTACTCAAATTCCCTGCATTAGCCGACCCAACCTTATTGTGCAACTTTTATGCGGTTTTTTTTTTTTTTGGAGTTTACAGTCAATTGCAGGCTATCCATACTGGAAATTGGTTAGCTAACTTCAAATGGGGAACTCATAAACTAATGAGTAATTGATAGGAGGAAGAAGAATTGTTTAGTAACTTGAAATATGTTTACGAGTTTTTTTTTTCTTTTTTTCTTTTTTTTTTTCATCTTTCCCCAGTTAAAATGTAACCTAACCCCATAGATGAACATAATAGCACGACCTTCAAACTCCAATCGGTGTAAAAAAAACAATCCTCTTTCTCTTGATGTTTTTTCCTAAAGAGAATGCCAAAAAAGGCATGCAGAGAGATGCAACGTCAAAAGGGAAAAGGAGTAAGTTTGTTAAATTGCCGAGTTTCTTCTAATAAAGATTGTGAAATAAGGAGTTAGAAGTTGTAAATTGGACAACTCATTCATAACAATTGATCAATTCTCCTAGGTTGTTTTTTTTATTTTTTTTTTTATTTTTTTCTTAAATTGTTTTGATACTGCAATGGAAGTGCGTTCAAAAAATGTCTGTCTGATAAACTATATTTGTCTCTATTTTTACGAGTGAGAGATTTTAATTAATAAAACAGACAGACAAGGAGTTTAAAATTAATTTTTTATTCTCAATAAGAATGCCTTATGTTTTGAATTATACCTTGGTTTATTAATATTACCGATTGACTAGAACTTTGAAGCAATGGGAAGAAACTATAAAGTGATGTAGACAAATATTGAGGCTGAATGAAAAAATTAAAGTGATGTAGGCTGAAGGGAAATGAACTATATAGTGATTTAGTCTGAAGGGAAATGAACTATATAGTGATGTAGGCTGAAGGGAAATGAGCTCGGAGTTTACCGTTTTAAGTTTGTCTCCACAAATTCTCTTGAATCTGCATCTCTATGACTAAGCAAGTCTCTTATAGGCTGCAAGTGTTTAGTTCAATATACCTTAGTCAAGGCAACTTCCTACTTATCTCTATAATCTTACATTAAACACAAATTAAATCGTGGTCCCTAATCAAGACTAGTATTTTCGACACTATCGAGCAGAGCGGGATAGTGTTGTAATAAGCTGAGTGTTGCTCCACTATCGAGCAACACTGACTAATGACACTATCGAGCAGAGTGTAATAAGCTACTGAGTGTTGCTCCACTATCGAGCAACACTGACTAATGACACTATCGAGCAGAGTGTAATAAGCTACTGAGTGTTGCTCCACTATCGAGCAACACTGACTAATGACACTATCGAGCAGAGTGTAATAAGCTACTGAGTGTTGCTCCACTATCGAGCAACACTGACTAGCGATAACCGTATGTATTGATTAGAGATTAATAATGGCCATTCAAACCCGTATGTAGTAGCTTACCAGACCTCTAGCGGAGCCTCTCTTCCTTACCTACTCTACTCTATTCTACTATTTTCCATCTACTCTACTCCACACTACTGTTTTCCATCTACCCTCTACCCTACCTACTCTCTTTTCTCTTGTTCCACTAGCTGAAATAAAGTAGAGAAATCACTCCTCGCAATATATCTCTATACATACTCTACTAGGATCATCTACACTTACTCTACTAGAATCATTTGTTACTCTACTAGGATCATTTGTTACTCTACTAGGATCATTTATTACTCTACTAGGATCATTTGTTACTCTACTAGGATCATTTGTTACTCTACTAGGATCATTTACAGTTACTTTGGGGTCAACTTGGCTCATTGACTCATCTACACCTGTTACTACTACCTCAATAAAAATCGAAACCAAGAAATTGGGTAGCAATATGCATTACTTGTAAAAAATCATTCCAACTTCATACGGCATCAAACCTTGTATCCTCTTTTCTCTTTTACTCTCTCCTCCCCTCTCCTCCCCTCTCTCTCATTCCTTTCTCGTTCTTTCTCCTCCCTTTTCCTTCCTTATCACTCCTTTTTCCCTCCTCTCTTCTCTTGCCGCTTACTTCCTTCCCACTAAATCTGCCATTGTCTTCTTTAGGAAAGTGCAAATCAAATTGCAAAATGAAATTGTAATCCATTGTTTACTTCAACAATCCTTCTCCTTTCTTCAACAACCCTTCCCTTTCTTCAAAAGTCCTTCTCTTTCTTCAAAAGTCCTTCTCCTTTCTTTATCGTATAAATTGAAAGCGGTTATCTGTCAAAAAGTCACCATATAAAGGTCTTATCTGCTATCACCATATAAAGGTCTCATCTGCTGTCATAAAGGTCTCATCTGCTGTCATAAAGGTCTCATCTGCTGTCATAAAGGTCTCATCTGCTGTCATAAAGGTCTCATCTGCTGTCATAAAGGTCTCATCTGCTGTCATAAAGGTCTCATCTGCAGTCATAAAGGTCTCATCTGTTGTCATAAAGGTCTCATCTGCTGTCATAAAGGTCTCATCTGCTGTCACCATATAACGGTCTCGTCGGTTATCACCATATAAAGGTCTCAAGGTCTCATCTGCTGTCATAAAGGTCTCATCTGTCATTGGCTATTAGCAAGAAGCAACGAGAAGAATTATGTCTCCACTAACCATGTCCGCTTCGCCTATATCTGCTTCGCCTACATCCGCTTCGCCTACATCTGCTTCGCCTACATCTGCTTCTCCTACATCAACTGCTTCTACCTCTGCTACCACCACCAATGAAGCCATATCAGGCGAAGCTAAAGAAAGCCAAGAATTTGCCCTAGTCCAACTAACAGATAAGGAAATTATAGAATTCACCAGGGTGCAAAATAGTCAATCATGGAAAGGCGCACTTCTGACACAAGACTATGTCTTGAGAGAGCACGTGTTGAGTAAATCTCAAATGACTTCACAAGATCCAAATAAGCTTCTCGTGTTTATGTTGTTTAAGAAACCTTTACAAAAAGGTGCTGCGCTTTGCTCCATTGAGTTGTTGATTCGAGAAGCATGGATCTACCAGAAAATTGATGGCAAGGTTGAGAAGAAACAGGTGTTGAGTGGATGCATTGGCGGTGTATTCACTCTACAGGAACATAGAGGTAACGGGTATGCAAGAATCATGGTTAATGAATTGAAGAAATGGGCTCAAGGAGAAGATAATGTAAGTGGTGGTGTTGGGAAACAAGGTTTTTTGTTCTTGTATAGTGAAATTGGTGAGTATTATGCCAAGAATGGGTTTAAATCGTTCCCCGTTGATTTAATCAAGATCCCGATGCCCGCTAAAACCAGCACGAGCCTTGTCAAGGAAGACGCAGACGGGTTAGATTTTGAATTGATCAAGTATCATGATTTTGAACACTTGATGAATCTTTATCAACAAAAACTAGATGACTCTCTTTGGCAGAAAACTCAACTTGATGGGAAAACTAGAGTATGTATTAAGCCAACTTCAGATATCATTGATTGGTTTCATTTGCGGTCTAAATTCATTACATTTAAATTGTTCCCTTTGCCTCAATGGAGCAAAAGCATTGATTTCCAAAATGAATCGTACGACTCAATAAAAGCGAAGCTCGAGCATTCGCTGCCAACACATTTTGGAATCAAACTCATTAACAAGGAAACCCATGAAATCTTTGGGTTTGTAATATGGACAATAGATTGGAATGAAGCAAATCCAAAAACTACAAAAGCTACAGTATTGAAACTCGTTTGTTTCAAAAATGAAAACAAGGTTGATGTGGTTAAAAAAATTATCTCATACATGGTTGATTATTTATCAAAGCTGCAAATTGAAGGATGCTCAACTACGGAAGTTGTCATTTGGGAATCTGAATTGCAAGAGTATGGTTCTAATGAGTTGAAGGAATGGTTGAAGCTGGAATTGAAGGCCAGTATAAACTTGGAGAATCCATCAAGACTGGCAATTCTAATGAATGATTATCAAGAGGATGAAAAATTGAAACTGGGGGGGATTGTATGGGAAGAAAATACAAAGTTGCTGTGGTTTTAGTTGATGAGACAGTATCGAGCAACGCTATCGAGCAGAGCAACACTATCGAGCAGAGCGAGATAGTGTTGTAACAAGCTACTGAGTGTTGTTCCACTATCGAGCAACGCTATCGAGCAGAGCGACGCTATCGAGCAGAGCAACACTATCGAGCAGAGCAACACTATCGAGCAGAGCAACACTATCGAGCAGAGCGAGATAGTGTTGTAACAAGCTACTGAGTGTTGTACCAAGCTACTGAGTGTTGTTCTACTATCGAGCAACGCTATCGAGCAGAGCGAGATAGTGTTGTAACGAGCTACTGAGTGTTGTTCCACTATCTCACTCTGCTTGATAGTGCCGATAGTGTCGGTGGCAGCTAGTGTGCTCCACTATCTCGTTTCGCTCGATAGTGTCCATAAACGGTCTTATACACATCTCATCAAATAAACATTAGAGCTGAACATTGTAGCTGAACGCTTTGGTTGACCTAGTGATATATATTCCTACCCCCTAATTGCCTTTCCCTTTACCTCTAACCTCGTGAGATATATTCCTACCCCCTAATTGCCTTTCCCTTTACCTCTAACCTCGTGAAATATATTCCTACCCCCTAATTGCCTTTCCCTTTACCTCTAACCTCGTGAAATATATTCCTACCCCCTAATTGCCTTTCCCTTTACCTCTAACCTCGTGAAATATATTCCTACCCCCTAATTGCCTTTCCCTTTACCTCTAACCTCGTGAAATATATTCCTACCCCCTAATTGCCTTTCCCTTTACCTCTAACCTCGTGAAATATATTCCTACCCCCTAATTGCCTTTCCCTTTACCTCTCTAGCCCCCTAAGCGCCTTCCCCCTTGGAATCAATCATCGAATCATCAAGTCACGTGATCTACAAATTGTACCAAAAAAAAAATTTCAATTTTTTTTTTTTTTTTTGACTCAGCTCATTGAAAGAAAGCATTGGTTTCGGAGGATTAGAATTCCTTTAACGAGTCCAGTGCCTCGTTGTATAAGCTTAGTGCCCTATTTGCGGGTTTGCTTTGAGATATATATATATACTGATTCTGTTGATACGGTTGTTTTGTGCTTTTTCATAGATTATGGGCAAGGAAGTTGTAACCAGCATTGCACCGAAATGTATCAGTGGATTAGAATTTGGAGCATTATCGGCTGAGGATATAGTAGCACAGTCGGTTGTTGAGATAAAAACGAGGGATTTGTATGATTTGGAAAAAGGCCGTACCCCAAAGAGCTCAGGGGCTTTGGATCCCAAGATGGGGACCTCATCAAATGCCGAAGAGTGTAGTACATGTCAGGGGAATTTGGCATCGTGTCAGGGCCATTTTGGTCATATCAAATTAGCATTACCCGTATTTCATGTAGGGTACTTCAAATCCATCATCTCGGTTCTTCAATCTATTTGCAAAAACTGCGCAGCCGTGCTACTAGACGAGAAGAGTAAGCGACAATTCCTTGGCGAATTGAGAAAACCAGGTATCGATAATTTGAAAAAAATGAAGATATTGAAGAAAATTTTAGATCAGTGTAAAAAACAGAGGAGGTGCCTAAAGTGCAATCATGTAAACGGTGTGGTGAAAAAGGCAGCTAGTGGTGCTGGTCCTGCATCGTTGAAAATCGTTCATGATACATTCAGATGGATTGGTAAGAAAGATACTCCAGAAAAGGCAAAGTGGGATGAAGATTTACAAGAAGTGATTAGAAACCACCCGGATATAGAAAAATTTGCCAAAAGAATGACTGAAGACTTCAACCCCTTGAAAACGCTCAATTTGTTCAAACAGATTACTCCTTCAGATTGTGAATTTTTCGGAATGGACCCTTCTAGAGGCGGAAGACCTGAAATGTATATTTGGAGGTATCTACCTGCACCACCCGTTTGTATTAGGCCATCAGTCAAAATGGATAATCAGTCAAATGAAGATGACTTAACCGTCAAGTTAACTGAAATCGTATGGACATCCTCTATGATTAAAGCAGGTATAATGAAGGGAATATCAGTGAATAACCTAATGGAGCAATGGGATTATTTACAGTTATCTGTGGCAATGTATATTAACTCCGATGCGGCAAATCCCGCATTGATGCAATCAGCAGCTGGCGGCGGTGGTGGTGGTAGCAAATCTGCAAAACCAATAAGAGGATTTTGTCAAAGGTTGAAAGGTAAGCAAGGTCGTTTTAGAGGTAACTTGTCCGGTAAAAGAGTCGATTTTTCGGCAAGAACAGTTATTTCGCCTGATCCAAATTTAAGAATCGACGAAGTTGCTGTACCAGAAAGAGTTGCCAAAGTATTGACCTATCCTGAGAAGTGTACTAGATACAATAAGAAGAAATTGCAAGCATTAATTAGGAATGGGCCTGATGTCCATCCAGGAGCAAATTATGTTCACAAACAAAACGAAGCAGGAAAGAGGAACTTACGATTTGGTGATCGTCACAAATTATCAAAAACCTTACAGCCTGGTGATATAGTTGAACGTCATATTGAAGATGGTGATATAGTGCTATTCAATCGACAACCTTCGTTGCATAGATTGTCCATTTTATCCCATTATGCAAAGATTCGACCTTGGAGAACATTCAGGTTAAATGAATGTGTATGTACTCCATATAACGCGGATTTCGATGGTGATGAAATGAACTTGCACGTTCCTCAAACCGAAGAAGCTAGGGCTGAAGCAATCAATTTAATGGGTGTTAAAAATAATTTACTTACACCAAAATCGGGTGAGCCTATTATTGCTGCTACTCAAGATTTCATTACAGGATCGTATCTAATATCACATAAGGATACGTTTTTAGATCGTGCCACATTGGTTCAACTACTATCTATGATGTCTGATGCAGATGTTCATTTCGATATTCCACCACCATCAATAATGAAACCAGTGATGTTATGGACTGGTAAACAAGTTTTCTCTCTTTTAATCAAACCAAATAAACAATCCAAAGTTGTGATTAACTTAAATGCCAAAAACAAAACATTCCATCCACCTGCAAAGGGTTTACCTAGTGAAATGTCACCCAACGATGGATACGTTGTGATTAGAGGGTCTCAAATATTGAGTGGATTGATGGATAAATCAACCTTAGGTGATGGAAAAAAACATTCAGTGTTTTACACAATACTACGAGATTATGGTCCTCAAGAAGCAGCTACTGCCATGACAAGAATGGCCAAATTATGTGCAAGATATTTAGGAAATAGGGGGTTTTCTATTGGTATCAATGATGTTACACCTGCGCATGATTTGAAGCAAAAGAAGGAATTAATGGTGGAACAAGCATACTTGAAATGTGACGAGTTGATTGACTTATATAATCGAGGTAAATTAGAAACTCAACCAGGTTGTAATGAAGAGGAAACATTGGAAGCAAAAATCGGTGGGCTTTTGTCCAAAGTCAGAGAAGAAGTTGGTGATGTTTGTATTAGGGAATTAGACCCGTTAAATGCACCATTAATTATGGCCACATGTGGTTCTAAAGGGTCTACATTGAATGTGTCCCAAATGGTGGCTGTTGTTGGTCAGCAAATCATTTCGGGCCATCGTGTTCCTGATGGGTTCCAAGATCGATCCTTACCTCATTTCACCAAGAATTCAAAAACACCCCAGTCAAAAGGATTTGTTAGAAACTCATTTTTTAGTGGCCTAACTCCGCCTGAATTTTTGTTCCATGCCATTTCTGGTAGAGAGGGGTTAGTTGATACTGCTGTGAAAACAGCCGAAACCGGTTACATGTCTAGAAGATTAATGAAATCACTAGAAGATTTATCTTCTCAATATGACAATACTGTGAGAAACTCATCAAATGGTATTGTTCAGTTCACATATGGTGGTGATGGGTTGGATCCTTACGATATGGAAGGTGATGCTAAACCAGTGAATTTTGTACGACAGTGGGATCATGCTTATAATCTAACATATAATGCAAATGACAACCCGTTGTTGCCCTATCAAATTCAGAATGTAGTTGAGGAAGTTTTAAAACCTTTGGAGGATAAATTAAATAACAATGGTATGAACAACGAAAGTGAGAGTCAAATAGTTGATCAAAAAGATGCCGAGAGAGAGTTTTACAACTCTGTACGAAATTTTATGTTGAATAAAGCAGAAACATTAGCAAGATTAAGAGAACAACGTGGTTTAAAGCCATTTTTCACTCCACCGTCTCCAGAGGATATTTTCATTGATGAAGATGAGCTCAAACTCAATGCTATCAACCAATTGATGAAAATCTCACAAAAAGCAGTAAAGAAATTCCTCAAACAGTGTATTTACAAATACACAAGAGCAAAAGTTGAAGCAGGAACTGCTGTTGGAGCCATTGGCGCACAATCTATTGGTGAACCAGGTACTCAAATGACATTGAAAACTTTCCATTTTGCTGGTGTTGCTTCCATGAATGTCACACTAGGTGTGCCTCGTATTAAAGAAATTATTAATGCCTCAAAAACAATCTCGACTCCAATCATCAATGCTGTGCTAGTCAATGACGACGATGAGATTGCTGCTCGTGTAGCAAAAGGAAGAATAGAAAAAACCTTGTTGAAAGATGTCGCGTTTTACATTGAAGATGTCTATACCGAAAGTATGGCTTGTTTATGCATCAAGATCGACTTAGACACCATTGAAAAGTTGCAATTGGAGCTAGATATAGATGGAATTGCCGAATCAATACGCAATGCTCCCAAATTGAAAATATCCAAAGGAGATGTTACCGTGATGGGCAAAAACATGATTGTTGTTAAATGTGATATAATTGAACCGAAATCAGCAGCCTTGAAAACAACAACTGAGGACAACAATCAAAATGCATTATTTTTCAGAATGCAATTGTTGAAAAGAACACTTCCTGATATTTGCATCATTGGTCTTTCAAACGTCTACCGTGCAGTTATTAACATCAAGGATGATGGGAAAAAGGAACTTCTTGTAGAAGGTTACGGTTTGAAAGATGTTATGAACACTGAGGGTATTATTGGTACAAAAACAACAACAAATCACGTCCTTGAAGTCAATGAAATTCTTGGTATTGAAGCGGCAAGAAGTTCAATTATTAAAGAGATTGATTATACAATGAGTAATCACGGAATGAGCGTTGATCCTCGTCATATTCAATTGTTAGGTGATGTGATGACTTATAAAGGTGAAGTATTGGGTATTACAAGATTCGGTTTAAGCAAAATGAGAGACTCGGTATTGCAATTGGCATCATTTGAAAAGACAACGGACCATTTATTCGATGCAGCGTTTTTCATGAAACATGATAAAATTGAAGGTGTTTCTGAATGTATTATATTAGGACAAACAATGAGTGTGGGTACTGGTGCTTTTAAATTGGTGAAGTCGTCAAACTACGATGAAAAAGTATTGAGAAGAAAAAGGACCTTGTTTGAATCATGTTGTGAAGTTTCTTCAGTGGCATAGATATGAAATTAGTCCGTCCTTTGCTCTTCCTTTTCTTTAGTTAATTAATCAAAAGCATGCTAAGTCTATCAAAAATATTTTATGGAATCTATTTTCTTCTATTTATCTCTTACTCTGCAATAGCATTTTTCAAATGCTGTAAAGCTTTCAGAGCTTCGCCAGATTTTATTGCGTCTCTTGCGAGTTTTACTCCGCCAACCCAATCTTGTGCAAGTCCGGCAATATAAGCGAGCGCCGCCGTATTCAACAATATATAATCAACTAGAGGGTGATTGGGACGACCTTCGATAATCTTAAACTCCTCTTTATCTTGGTTTAAAATATGATTCAAGATGGCTGCATTCTCATCGGGTGTGCCTGACTTTACAGTATCTATACCATGCTCAGGTAAACCGAAATCTTTCGGCGATATACGATCTCTTATAATATCTCCATTTTTCTCAACAATCCAAATTTTGGTATACCCAAACGGGGCAACTTCGTCCAAGACACATTCTCCAAACACAACCATTGTACGTTTATGTATATGGCTTTTCTTGGCCAATATTGATGCTGTTTTCGCATAACTCTCACCCAATTTTTCACTGTAAACACCGAGAATTCTTGATTGAATAGGTATCGGGTTGATCAATGGACCCAAAATGTTGAAAATCGTAGGTATACCTAACTGAGCTCTAACATTACTCACTATGCCCATGCCAGGGTGGAATGAGGGAGCAAATAGAAAACAAAACTTTGATTTTTTGACAATTTCAGGTAATGTCACCACATTAATTTTTGCCAAATCAACGCCCAAGGATTTCAACAAATCCCCCGAGCCCAGTGTGGATGTGCTTGCTTTGCCCCCATGCTTACAAACGGGTAACCCGATTCCCGCGGCAACTATAGCTGAAGATGTCGAGACATTAAATGTATTCTGTCCATCCCCTCCCGTACCAACAATATCTATATATCCCCGCTCGTCAACTAAATGCCCTTTTATGGTCTCAGAAAATTCCAATACCGCGTCAACAGCTGCTGCAATATAGTCAGATTCCTGGTCCAAACCTCTCATTCTCAATACTGATAAAAACGAAGCTATTTGGATCTCTGATGCCAAACCTTGGAAAATTAACCGGATAACCTGCGACAAATCCTCCGGCTTTAACACTGGAGGATTCGCTAGCAACGACACAATATAAGGAGTAAGCACCTTATCCCTCTGAGCGTTCCCAATGCCCATCTCTACTAACGAAACCCAACCTTTCGTCTAGTCAATGGCTATAATTTTTCACCTTTCCAGCGATGGCCCGTTTTTTTTTTCCGCTTTCGTCAAGTGAGTCATGAGTCACGTGATATAGTCATGTGACTCGGGTTCGATTCACCTCCTCAACCCTCCTCAACCCAACCCTAACCAAAGGTAACCTTTCTTTGCAAGTAGGTTGGAATTACTCTGTTTCCAAAAGAGTAATGAGGGTTGATATATGGATGTATATGTATATATTTTTTTTGGTTTTGTTTTGTTTAGTCAACGGTTATTTGGAAACTGGCCTCTTTATCGGCGTCAAGGTATGATCCACAAACGGCCCAACACGTCAAATCACACACTCCCTGTAGAGGCAAGCTGAACTCAATATCAAAAGATTGCTCCACTTTATTGATTTGACACTTTTTTATCGCATATAGTTGTTTAGTTGAAAATTGTCCAACTAAAATCCACCAACTTTCAAATTGTGGAAAAGGTAATGGCGATACCACTTGTAACGATTCCATTTCTTCGTCTCTTTCCAATACAACTCTTATCGTTATAGCCTCATTCGCCACTACCCGATCATTGGTCAAGGTATAAGTGAGTTTAACATTAGGATACAGGTTCACAAAGGATGCAACATCATTCAATTTCTCTTCATCATTTTCATCGTCCATTTGTAAAACTGCATCGCGCTCGTCATCCTCAAGACTCATTAAATCATAAACACTAGTAACATCATGTTCCTTGCACCGTTTTAATATCGCCTCATTGTCGAAATGAGGAATCTGCTTAAGATGATTTTCAAATGACCATGTACATTGAGTTATCATTTGAGATAAATCCATAACCAACATGGCATTTAGGTGGCCATCTCCTGCTAACGTATCAATACAAGCATTCAACAATTTCGGCATTATTGTCAAAATACGTTGAAGATCCTGCTGAAGCGTTAACGGTAATTTGATTCGTGAAACATATGCTTGAATGAGTATGAACGTTTTGTAAAAAGGTGTCACATGATAATGAGACCCCCCCGCTTTCATTGGCACCTTTCCCGATATATCCACCAATATTCTTTCTTCGCCCTTACGTATTGAGATACTTTCAAATTCCACAGCATTTGCCAATGCATTCAAGATATCTCTTAATTTACTCTTTATAGTTAAAGAACTCAAAGAGTTCAATGTTTCATAAGATAAATTGTAATGAGATGCAATAAGTGCTTTGTTCAAGGGATTCAACTCTAAGCCATCCTCATCTTCTCCAAGTTCTTCTACAAATTCGTTTTTGATCAAACCATCGATTACATCCTCAATCATGATGGACAAATATTCAGAAATACCATTGGATGTTACATCTTTACAATGGTAATAGCTTGGATTGCTCAATAACCGCTGATAAAAAAATGAATGGGTTAGTATATCAACAAATTCTTCTCGTTGTCTTAGTAAGCCATCAACAATCCCGGAAATAAAAAATTCATGCATTGTTTGGCGTAGTTGACTTTCCACCATCAACCCGGTGTTCATAAATGTAGAGTAGTAGTTTATGGTGTCTGCTGAAGTCCTAATAAACACTTTTCCTTGATTTGCCATGTCTTGACAACATCCAACCATGTTGTATATAGATGTTAAACTGTAATCAACTTTTCTATGTTCATACTCGTCATAGAACTGGGTACCATCAATCATTACCACATCTGCATTTGCTTTTTGTTGAATATCTGAATCCCATGTTGAAATTAAAAGAGAAACAGCTCGCAGACTAAAAAGCCTCTCAACAATCAACTTATCAAGGTTATCAAACTCATTTAAATAAAAACCAATTCCACCTTTAAGAAAGTTCTTCAAAAGAGAGCTTTTGATTTTATCAAAATGTTTTTGCTCATTCATAATGCCACTGCTACTTTCATTAACATGCAATGATTCGGCCAACTTGATAGCCTCAGTATTAGAATCAACAAATATGAGCACAGTTTTCCCTTTCTTTATAAAGCCATCAACAGATTTCAAGAAATCGTTATCGTCAATAGTTAAATTGATGTCCTCAATATTGTGTTCACGAATTGAAGCAGGGAAATTAACAATGCTCAGTTTACCAATACTAAGCCAAGCACACATATCACGGACATCCAACATTGGGTACGAAATACCAACTATTCGAAGCTTTAGCTCGTTGCCATATTGCGCTTGCAATAGTCTAATTCTAATTAAATTAAATTCATACATTGCGTTAGATTCAATCATGTGGAGGTCATCTAGTATAAGAAGTCCCACTGATTTTACTGATTTTAGTGTTTTCCAACGCTTGACCAAAGTGTAAACTTGGTCAGGTGTGCCTAAAATGATGTTGCTCTTATTGAAGCTCTTAACATCTGTTTTTAAATCCTCAGTTAATTTGGCAACTCCCTTTTCCAATTTGGACCATCGTTTGAAATTTGTATCAATAATTGAAGTATCTGGATTGATGTATATTATCCTGCCATTCAGTTTCTTGAAATGATGAAATATTGCCAAATCAGGACAGTACGTCTTTTCGTCGCCCTTATTTATACCAATAAAACAGCTTGGTTCTTCATCATCGCAAATGGTATCGAAAACTTCGGTACTGAACAGTGTTGGTACCAGCATCAGCATCAGCATCATCGTCTTTTTCCAACTTGCATCCTCCACTTTGGATTCACTTTTTGCAGTAAAGTACGATTTATCCTTGGTCTTTATCAAGTCTGTAATAATTGCCGCTTTCCATGTACAATTGACCCATTTGGTATTAATGAATGATAATAGATAATTAGGTGTTATAGGGTTCGGTATCTCAACATAAAATTCCAAAAGATGCGCTTCATCAAGTTGCTGTTGTCTCACAAATAACTGTTGGTATTGCAAAATTCGTAAACCATTACAATCCTCCAAGATAACTTCAAATGTCTCTTGTTTACCATGTACATCGTATATCCAATTCCAGGTAGGTTTGATCTCAACTCTGATTCTCATAAATTCTTGCGAAATACTTTGCACAGTATAGTCAATGATTTCGATTTTTGGAAACGAATTGATAAAATTGACTGCAGTTGTAGCATCGCTCCCTCTCAAGTTTAAAACTTCTGCAAGCTCCTCTTTTGTCAAATGGAAATATTGCAGCCATGGTAAATGAGAGGATTCGGATGATTTCACAATCAGTCTCGGTATATGTGATCCAAATTGTCTCAATGGCGAATCACTTATCCACATTCTATTCTTGACCATTTTTGCCAATTCCAACACATATTTTGCCAAAGATGACCATTTTTTCAAAACTGCCAACTCATACAATGCATGTAGCAATCTATCTGCGGATTGTTTGATATATATCATATCTGCAATTAAGGCATACCCGTCTAAATTCAATCTTGAAACATATGTTTGTAAAAGAATGTTGATCTTGGCCGATGGTTCAACTGGAGATTCCTTGATTGGGATGGGGCATTGCTCCATCAATTTATTAATTTCTAGTTTTTCCTCTCGACGAACTGGCACAAGCTCAAATTCATCCGAAAGAGTGAAAATTCGAATCACATCACCTTCTCTATGCCAAGGCTTGAGTAATCTGTTATACTGGCTAATTGTATGGTAACTGATATAATGATACGATGCAATACGGCCAAGTTCAGTAGCTTTCACTTGCCCATTTTCATACTCAATCAATTTGTTCTCTTTGAGCACACAAAACGCAGCATTGATGAATTCTGCTCTTTTGAAATACATCGTTGGGTCACTATTGTTATTATTAGTCACGGGTGTATAGTCCAAGTATAGCGATGGTAATTGCAACATACGAATATATAAATATGTATGACCCAACCAATCAATTCCTGCTTCCAAAGAAGTCACCGATCCCAGCACAATTTCGGCATTCAAATTATCAATCAATTTTGTCAATAACTGAGATTCAATGGGATACTGTTGGTTCAAAATAGCAAGATAATACTGTACTTCATCCTGAGTGGTGATGATTATACCTTCACCATTCTTATCGTACCGAGGACGACCTGCTCTTCCCAACATTTGGAAAACATCCTGTGGCGATAGCTGGATCCACGATCCCGATTCTGGAGAGTATACTTCGGTTCCCTTGATGATTACTGTGTGGGCTGGCAAATTTACTCCCCAAGCTAATGTTGCTGTAGATACAAGAACCTTGAGGTGTTTTTGAGCAAACAAATCTTCAACAGTTGTTCTATCGACTTTGTTCAACCCAGCATGGTGTACACCAATCCCAGATACAAGAACTTTTTGTAGCTTTACGTTTGAAATCTTTTCAGATTCTTGAGAAAGGATTTCCCCTGTACTTTCATCAGTAACAATTTCTAAATCCAGATCTTTTTGTAACCGTTCAATTAAATACTCGGCAGTATTAACAGTTTCGTTCCTCAGATGAACAAAAATAATCAACTGTTGATCTTGTTTTAAGCATTTAAGAGTTTGATCAAAACAAGCTTCATTTATAGCGATCCTCTTCTTCATTGCTTTTTGTTCCTTTATTGTAATAAACTTTTGTTCCAAAGGGCATGGCCTATATGATTGGTCAAAATAAAACACTCCCTCCTTACTGACATTGGTGAACTTGGCAACATCTTGATAATTAGGTAATGTTGCTGATAATCCAACAATCCTCACATCACTCTCCTCGTCCTTGGTAATTCTTGCAACAATAGATTCCAACACCGGTCCCCTTTGGTCATGCAACAAATGAATCTCATCAATAATCATCAACTTTATCAATTTAGAATATGCGTAATTTTTCCTTGTTATAATGTCCCATTTTTCCGGGGTTGTGATAATTACATTGGTTTCAGCGATTTGTTGCTGAGATAACGTAGAGTCACCAGTTAGTTCATTGACAATCAACCCAAAAACCGGTGTTAGTCGTCTTTGGAATTCTCGCATTTGTTCCTGCACTAGTGCTTTCAAAGGTGCAATATAAACAATTTTAAATTGGTCCTTACTGATATGTCCATTCTTGGATCTGTGGTTATCTATGATTCTCAACATTGTGAGCATGGCCACATTTGTCTTACCTGCACCAGTAGGTGCGCAAACTAACAAATTTTCGTCACTTTCAAATGCCATGGGGTATATCTTGGATTGTATTCGATTAAATGTTGTTGTTTCGTTAGTAGGGAATGCTTCGCGAGCCCACGGCGGTAGTGTTGAAGTGGGCAATAGTTCGTCTTCAACCTGATCTGATAGAGTACTAGGAGGCACCGTAATGATATCATAATTGGGCAACTTTTCCTGAAAAGTGCCCTTGGGTAAAGTTATTTTCAAATCATCTGCTTTTTCTTCGTAAAATCTCTTCTTTTGTAGCTTTTTGATAATATGCTCTTTTTCCCGGTCATCATTGAATATAAGCTTATTGATCAAAGCGTATAATCGCAATTGAATCATCTCCTTTATGAGTAAATGCTTGGGTTCGGTGTTTATTTTTTGGCCAAATACAATTTCCCATCGATTCTTGACAATTTTCTTCAATATATCCAGGTTTAATAAACCATCTAGTCTTTGAGAAACCAAACGGTCATTTAAAGCCGGGTCTTTTAAAATTTCAAATACTGATTTGGTATCCACATCACTCGGCACATTTGCTAAAAACGTATCCCATGAATATGTCGCCTCTTGTTGAACTTTTCCATCCTCTATTTCCTCCTCCTCCTCCTCCTCCTCCTCCTCCTCCTCCTCCTCTTCCTCCTCCTCTTCAGACTCAACAATCTCACGCAAAAACTCGCCTTCGGTTTCCTCTTCCTCCTCCATCTCAACATCAACATCAACAACAATAGCCTCGTCCGCTTCTCCCTTTCCTTCTGTACCCGTCTTGTGTCTTTTCAAATACCCATTATACAAATTAGCCAAATTAATCAATTGACTCAACTCATCATCACCAATTTGAATTTTCAACAATTGATTGATTTCTTTCCTCTTTGTCTGGACATTGATATTGGATCCGAAAATGTCTAATAGAATCTCTACTGCTGAAGATATAACTTCTGGCGAGGAGTCTAACAAATACCTTCGTATCTTGGTGAGAAATGAATCGTATGCTTCTTCAAATTTGGTGCTGGTGCTGGTGCTGGTGCTACTCCTGTTAGTTCCAGCTGATTCATTTGCACCAGAAATAAAAGTTCCTTCCTTTGCTTCATCCTCAAGCACCTCCTGGGTTACCAGACCACTTCCGTTCATACCTAGCCTCGTCCAATCTGATAATACTCTTTATCAAATTGGTGAAACCAACGGAGTTTTGTTTTTTTTTTTAAAAATCCGATGCCCTGCGATTTTTCAAAACATCAAAACCGCTAGCTCCAAGAGCTGGTGGTGTTGGCAACACTATCGAGCGAAGCGAGATGGTGGAGAAACACTTTGTAGCTATGCTATTGACCCTAGTGTGCTCTAGATCTCTACAGAAGAAGTCAGTCTATTGAAGAGAGAATATATGTATTTATTACTGGAAAGTTATCCAACATCCACTATCGAACGAATAGTGGAGAAACACTTTGTAGCTTGTCACAACACTATTGAGCGAAGCGAGATAGTGGAGAAACACTTTGTAGCTTGTCACAACACTATTGAGCGAAGCGAGATAGTGGAGAAACACTTTGTAGCTTGTCACAACACTATTGAGCGAAGCGAGATAGTGGAGAAACACTTTGTAGCTTGTCACAACACTATTGAGCGAAGCGAGATAGTGGAGAAACACTTTGTAGCTTGTCACAACACTATTGAGCGAAGCGAGATAGTGGAGAAACACTTTGTAGCTTGTCACAACACTATTGGGCGAAGCGAGATAGTGGCAATGCTTAGTGTCGCTCCGCTCGATGGTGTCATTGACAGCTAGTATGCACCACTATCTCGCTTCGCTCGATAGTGATGCTCTTTAGTACACTTTATTCAAAAAAGTCTTATTCTTAAAATCCCAAGTATCGTCCGAAATTCTACCTCTCAAAACAGGAATCTCGCTTCCTGGGACGTAAACATCTTCAAACAAAATATCCATCTTGGCTTCCGGTGGAGCATCTCCTTCAGCCTCGGCAACTTGTTCATCAACGTATTTTCTAGCTGCTTTATCATAGGATTTGATTTCGGCTTCAGTAGCAATGTTTTTCTCCAACAACACAGCCTTTAATCCAGCAATTGGATCGTTTCTTGATCTCATGTGCTGCACTTCTTCTCTTGTTCTATAAGTAGTACCTGGGTCAGACATCGAGTGGCCACCATATCTATAAGTTTCAAACTCTAAAACCAATGGGCCATTACCTTGAGAAGCCCAGTCCTTGGCAAATTTAGAGCCTTGGTAACAAGCCAAGACATCCATACCATTGATTTTCAATCCAGGGATATATTGACCTCTCTTGAAATATTCAGTAGTGGCTGAACTTCTCGCAGCAGCAGTACCCATACCATATTTATTATTTTCACAAACAAAAATGCACGGTAAATTCCACAATTTTGCCATATTATAAGCTTCAAACACCTGTCCTTGGTTAGAAGCACCATCACCATAAAGATCAAAGCAAACTGATCTCTCGCCCTTGTATTTCTGGGCAAATGCCAAACCTGCACCTAAAGGAACTTGTGCACCAACAATTCCGTTACCGCCATAAAATCCAGGAGCAAACATATGCATAGATCCACCTTTACCAAATGAAACACCAGTTCTTCTACCCATCAACTCTGCCAATATGGATTTAACAGAGGCACCTCTCATAAATGCAAAACCATGGCATCTATACGAAGTAATAACGGTATCCTTATGATCAATGGCATTTTCGATACCAACAGCAATAGCTTCTTGACCAACTGATAAATGACAAAATCCTCTAATTTTTTTCGCCTTGTACAAGGCATCTGCAGCCATTTCCATTCTTCTAACAATAATCATATCCTTGTACATTTTCAAAAGCGTCTCCTTCTCAGTTTCAAAGGATAATTCAGGACAATCTAAATTATACCCTTCAAAAGAGGTCTGAGGAAGGTCAACAGAAACCAAATCACTAGAATCGATAGACTCGGCATCTTTACTGGTGGCCAACGTTCTAACAATTTTCAACGATGAGCCTTTGAAGGTGCTAGAATTGCTCTTGAAACCACCAATGACTTTGGAGATATTGACTAAACGACTCATTTTTTTTGGTTTTTAGTAAGTAAAAAGCAGTAAAATTATAGCGGCAAAAGATCTCTACAAGAAAAACGCTACAAGTAACAGCTTAATAACCAGGCTTTTCCTTTTCCGAACCCTTACTTGGTTTTGAAAGTCTATAAATCCGATAACTCTTGATGTATTTTCTTTGGTAAAACGATTCGATGAGAAGAAAAAACCGGAAATGGAAAAAACGCCGCACTGAAATTTCGCATCGGAGTTTTTTTCATCTGGCGCGACCGCCCTATGGTCGACTGTGAGCCGGGTGGATGGGTCGTGGCGGCTATTAAACTCCACCCTCCACTAGTAGCGGCCACTTACTATTGAGCGAAGCGAGATAGTGGAGAACCATTTACTATCGAGCGGCCACTATTGAGCGGAGCGAGATAGTCATACTTTGATTTATTGTATTTAGATGAACTCTAAGTTGAGCGATAGCATTTTGAGCGAAGGAAGATAGTGGAGAACCACTTTCTAGCCACCGACTAGCGATACTATCGAGTGGAGAACCACTTTCTAGCTGCGACTGACTAGAGACATTACTTCGCTCGATAGGGTCCGTTCGATAGTGGAGAACCACTTTCTAGCTGCGACTGACTAAAAACATTATCTCGCTTCGCTCGATAGTGTCCGTTCAATAGTGGAGCATCGATAAATATACATGTGCTGTATATTTATATATTCATATTCATACAAAGTGGAAATGAGTATCACTACTCTAGACAAGCTCCCTAGCGACTGCCCTCTTTCTCTATCAACTAGACTCGTTTCACTCGTCTAGTCATCACTACTCTAGACAAGCTCCCTAGCGACTGCTCTCTTTCTCTATCGACTAGACTCGTTTCACTCGTCTATTCATCAGACGGTTATTTATTTGGTAGCGTATTAGATTGCTTTATATGGAATCCTTGAGAGAATTATACAATAATTGATTAGGGATATATACTAGATGCTATAAGAGGTTAACCGACTAGAAGAACGAGCCTCCACGAGCCTTCACTATTGAGCAGAGCGAGATAGTGGAGCACCACTGACTAGTGACACTAGTGCTAGCGAGCGAAGCGAGCTAGTGGTGCATTCACCAAATGCTAACCGCTAACTATCATTTTTTTTAATAAGCCTCTATCTATAAACTTCTGTCTATCCCTTCTAATAAACCTCCTCTATAAACTTCCATCTATCTCTATTGGTTACAAGTCTAAAACTGGATTTTTCATCACTTTGAAGGCATATGAGAATGTTATACCAAATTTATTGAGCAGTAGAGAATAGCAGAGCAGCAGAAAGTAGCAAAACAGTAGAGACTAGAAGAACAGTAGAGACTAGCGAAGTAAAACAGTGGAGAAACACTTGCTATATTTATCAATGCTCCACAATCCCTCTTTGGTCGATAGCGGAGCAGTATAATGTTATTTTTATCTCCGGGACCCTCAATACACCGAAAAGGGAATGTTAATAACCCAAAAAGGAAACCAAATGAAAAATCGAGCCTCAATACACCGAAAAAGGAAAGTCAATTCCATATTATGGCTCTATGGCTGCAAATTAATTAGTAAGCCTATTTTTAGCAATCAAGATAACCATAATGATCACTATCGAGCAAAGAGAGATAGTGATCTTATAAAAGCTAAGAGCTAAGGGTCAAGAGTCAAGAGCTAAGGGTCAAGAGTCAAAAGCTAAGGGTCAAGAGTCAAAAGCTAAGGGTCAAAAGCTAAGGGTCAAGGGCCAAGAGTCAAAAGCCAAGAGCAAAGAGCAAAAGGTCAAAAGCCAAGGATCAAAAGCCAACAGCCAACAGCTTTAGAACTGTGATTGTTTACCGCGATGAACCGTTTCACCATTGATCACCTCATCTCCAAAAGAGCTAGTAAAAGAGAAAGTTCTCATTTCACAAGTGGCCCACAAGAAACACCACCAGTAGGGTTTAAACCACATCCCGACCCGTTACTTTTATCCTATGGAGCTCCAAACAATGGGTTTTTCCCAATTGAGTCATCAAAAGTAAACCTTGTTGATTATCCTTTCCAGCACCAAGATAAGCTCGAACGCGACTACTTTGAGGAAAATACTCATCTGGTGAATATCACTAGGTATACAACTAACCCAGATTTGATTGATTTATCCACGGGTCTTCAATACGCAGCAGTAGAAGGCCATAAACCTCTACTTCAATTCACAAAGGATTTCATCAAAAGAACTCATAATCCCAACTACAACCAATGGGAATCTATACTAACCACAGGAGCATCTGATGGGCTAAACAAGGCTTGTGATGCAATTTTGGATGTGGGCGATGTGATCTTAATTGAAGAGTTTACTTTTACCCCATTTTTAAGATTTGTCAATAATGCAGGTGCTACACCAATTCCTATTCCGATTGATTTCAGTCCTGAGTCAAACGGTATCAACTTGAACTATTTAACAGAAATGTTGGGCAATTGGCTGAACAAGTACCCCGATTTACCCAAGCCAAAGGCATTGTATACTATAGCTACGGGCCAAAACCCCACGGGATTAACTCAAACTTTCCAATTTAGAAAACAAGTTTATAAACTAGCTGAATTACACGATTTTATAATTATAGAAGATGATCCATATGGATATTTGACCTTGCCTAGATATGGAACAACAACAACAACAACAACAACAACAGCAGCAGCAGCAGCAGCAGCAGCAGCCCCCAAGGAAGTTACCGTTGACGAGTACCTCAAATCCCATTTAACTCCATCCTTTTTGGAAATTGATACAAGGGGAAGAGTTATTCGAGTAGAAACGTTTTCCAAACTATTTGCGCCAGGTCTCAGATTAGGCTTCATTATTGCACATGAATCAATCATCAAAGTCATTAAGAACTATTCTGAGACTGTGAATCGCGGTGCTTCAGGGCTTTCACAATTAGTAGTGAATAACGTAATCCACGACAAGTTTGGTGGTGTAGACGGCTGGATCGGATGGATTCTCAAAATGAGACAAACTTATCTGCAAAGAAAAGATCTTTTGCTAAAGACTATCTTTGAATCGAAAGCATATCAACAAGGGCTAGTCGATGTGATTGACCCACAGGCAGGGATGTTTGTTACTTTCAAAATCAAATTCCTCGACGGAAGGAATCAAGAGGAAATTACAACAAAGATGAAACAATTATTGTGGAAAACTATAAGTTATGGAGTCCGTGTCGTCTCCGGTTCTAACATGAGTGTTGATGCAAACTTCAGCTCTGAAAGATCAAACTTTTTTAGGCTATGCTACGCACCAGCTAACAATGATAAAGAGATCATTGAAAGCGGCAAGAGATTAACCAATGCAGTTTTGGAATTCTATAACAATGGTGAAAAATATTGAAATAAAAAAAAAAAAAAAAAAGAGAGATAGCTACTACTAAATCACCAGCAGTGCACACACATCAGCTTAAATATCAAACTCTCCCGTCTCTTTACCTTGTTCAACGGTGTTGCTTCCAACATTGCCGCTCTTCTTATTTTGTTCATCGATTAATTCCTCAAATTGACCAACCATACCACCCAACAACTCGCTAGCCAATTTGTGATATGCCAATTGTGCTTCAATCAAGTTCAAGAGTTCTAGTAACGGTTTAGCATTTTCCACCACGTTTTGCATGATATTAATAGCATCTTCCACGGTATTGGCAAATTCGTCCTCTGCATTCTCCATATCAACGCGTAATTTGCTCTCTTTGGTAGGATTGGTGCATTGGGTCAAATTATACCTAGCCAAATCATAGTCAATTCTTTTTGACTCGACTTTTTTCTGGATATTGTTCGATTGGGAAATCAATGAGCGTAGAGTAGCCTTTAAGGGAATGTTGAATTTCTGCTTTATCAACTGATCTTGTCCGATTCTGGCATTAGCAATCTTATTGAGATTACAAGAGTAAAGATCCAAGCCTTTAATCAAAGGATCCTCGTCTCTTGCGGAGGTTGCTGCCTCGTTTTCTCCATTGGTCAAAATGCTAGCATCAGTGGCCCTGCTCAATGCATGGTACATTGTCTTGGGAGTCCTAAACTGGTCGTCATTTGGTTTAACCAATGCTGCTTGCGCCTCGGCAGTAGTGGTAGCCTTGGATAAATTGTTGAATCTAGTAGTAATATTATGACTAAATTCACTAAATGATTCTTGCAAATTGGTAGGATAATCATAGGACTCGTTTTCGTAATTTGTAGTAACCTTGAGAATATTCTTATAAAGCAGCTCAATGTTATTGCATCTTTGAGCTAACTCAGTATACTCCTTGGGCAATTGAGATATTTCATCTTTGGAAATCTTGCCGATTTTCTCTTGAACCATACGCTGAGTTCTTTGAGCCATAGGAAGCACCTCCTTATTGAAATCAGAGGAGATTTTATCTCCAAATGATTTCAAATCTTTCGTGAAATTGGCAAAATTGAATGACATCACTGCAAACTCAAAGCTTATACACTTTCTTTAACAAGAAACTGGTGGTTATAACCAACGGCGTTTCTGATAAGAGCTTCTGATTGTTCATTTTTTATTTCGTGTCGTTTTTTTGTTTCACCTGTGTCGTGTGACTGTGTCGCGACAATGTGTAGGGAGTTTTGAGACACTAAAGAGCGACACTATCGAGCAACACTAGCGAGCGAAGCGAGATAGTGTTGTAACTAGCTACTGGACAACACTATCGAGCGAAGCGAGATAGTGGAGTAGCACTGACTAATGACACTACCGAGCGAAGCGAGATATTGTTGTAACTAGCTACCGAGTGTTGCTCCACTATCGAGCGACACTATCTCACTTCGCTCGATAGTGTTGTAACAAGCTGCTAAGCTGCTAAGCTTTTATGCTGCTAAGCTACTAAGCTACTAAGCTACTAGCTATCAAGTTATAAAGTGTTGCTCTACTATCTCGTTCTGCTCTAAGTACTAAGCTATTAAGCTACTAAGTTACTAAGCTATTTTGCTGCTAAGCTGCTAGCTACTAAGTTACTAATCTACTAGCTACTAGCTACTAAGTCATTATGCTACTAGCTACTAGCTATTAAGTTATAAAGTGTTGCTCGATAGTAGAGCACCCATATTGTGTCTCATAAAGGAAATGGCTTTTTATAACCTTAATCTCCCCTGTCTTTTATAATGTCTTCTCTTGTGCCTCTATTTTTTCTGATGCTACTAAAAAGATCATATTGGCAAACCATTGACATATGTCTATAGAGCAAACATACCATTGTGTATGTATATGTAATGAACTGGAAGTCGATGTATCTGGCTCCAGAGTCTATACATCTGGGCTCTGGAAGTTGAGGTATCTGGGCTCCAGAGTCTATTTATTTAGGCTTTGGAAGTCGAGGTATCTGGCTCTGGAAGTCTATACATTTAGGCTCCAAAGTCTATACATATAAACTCCAGAGTCTATGCATGTAGGTATCAGAGTGCATATGGGCTCCAGAGTCTATGCATATAGGCTCTGGAAGTCTATGCATGTAGGCATCAGAGTCTATGCATGTAGGCATCAGAGTCTATGCATGTAGGCTCCAGAGTCTATGCATATAAAATCCAGAGTCTATGCATGTAGGCTCCAGAGTCCATGCATATAGGCTCCAGAGTCCATGCATATAGGCTCCAGAGTCTATGCATGTAGGCTCTGGAGGTCGAGGTATCTGGCTCTGGAGGTTGAGGTATCCACTCCAGAGTCTATGCAGAGTCTATTGCATCCTTAAAGCTTCTAGTCTAACATCTACGGCAGAAGCACACTCTGACTCATAAAAAAAATGGTTTCCCTCTAATAGATGGGCATGTACCGCCCTTAAGGCTCTTAACGTATCCTTTTCATTGATAACGGCACTGATGTTAATTTCGTTAGCACCTTGACTTATCATCTCAATATTGATCCTCTCGTCAGCTAGAATTTTGAACATATTTCCAGCAATACCAATGAAATTCACCATTTGTTTCCCAACAAGTGAAATAATGGTCATCTTCTTAGTTACATCAACGCTTCCCATCTTTTTCAATTCTTGTATAGCGTTTTTCAACTGCATTTCTTGTTCAATTTGTACAGAAAGGGCCATTGATACATGCACTTCCGAAGTGGAAATCAAATCAACTACAAGTTTATACTTATCTAGTGTAATGAATACTTGCGCCAAGAACCCATGGCTCAACGTCTTTTTGTTTGAGTGAATATTTATCACTACAATGTCCTGTTTTGCAGTTATGGCTGTTGCCGATCGTTTCTTGTGCAGCGATATATAACTCGATGTCAAGGTTTCGTAGGCTGCTGGTGGATGTGGTGGTGTTTCCTCACCTCGTCTCGCTATATTGTCGGGATAAATCATAGTTCCCTTACCCTTGGGATTTTCAACGTTCTTGATTCTAATCGGTATTTTGGCTTTGATCACTTGCTCCATGGTAAAAGGATGGATAACCTCACTACCATAGTATGTCAACTCTGCTGCTTCCTCGGGAGTAACACTATCTAATAACCGAGCATTGGGCACCTTTCTAGGATCAGCGGTAAAAATACCATCAACTTCTTTCCAGATTTGTAGTTCTTCAGCTTGCACTCCAACTGCTGCTAGTGCCGCACACAAATCAGTGTATCCCCTACCTGCACCATTCAACAAGCCACCTGGCACAACCCCGAAATAACCCGTGATTACAGGAATGACATCTTCTCCTCCATCATTTTCAGTAACTTGGCGTATTCTTTTCTCAATCTCCTCGGAAATAAACAGGTAAAAAGCGTCATCAAATCCATTATTGAAATTATAGTTTACGGGAATCAACTCGGATAAATTTATATAAACTGCATTCAAATCACGGTCCTGCATCAACGCAGTCATATACAAGCAGGACAATTTCTCACCCATTGACATAATAGAATCAAGAGAACGAGGACTAATTTCGCCAATAACTTGACACGCATGGAGCAACTCCCTGCCATGTTCAATTTCAAACTTGATGTCCCTTTCCAATTGTTTTCTAATTGCTTTGCTGTTGATCTTACTACAACAATTCTCAATATGGTCCTGTTCAATTACTTCCAATACTGTTTCAAAATCTAAATTATTCGAAGCCAAGTCAGCCAGTCGAATCAACCTTGATGTGGTTCCTTCCAGTTTGGTATTTGATGATCTTGCAGAACACACAACAGCAACCTTATTCCGTTGGTTAAATACCTTGACTATCTTTTCTACAATCTCTTCAGAAAACTTCCCAACTGACGTTCCTCCAAATTTTTGTATTATCCAACCTTGCTGGGACTTGCCCAGTTCTGACGACAGCGATGGCGAGTTCAACGGGCTTACACCTGCTCCCCCTACACCTGCTGATCCCGATTTGAAATCAAGCACCGAGTTGTATGATCTTGAACCTAATGACGGAGATCTTGACATGACTAAAAAAAAAAAAAAAAAAAAAAAAAACCTTTTAAATCTCTTGAATCTTTTTCCCATAATTTTGTTTTAACCTCTAACCAGTAAGTATTCTGTAAACATGTTCAAGCAACTCACCAAATCTATTCCATTTAAGGCTGTAGAACGCCCATTATTAGCAAGATCATATATTGCTGGTCAGTTCACGGGTCAAAAGAAACCCAACGGTAAATATACTGTTACATTGATTGAAGGTGATGGTATTGGACCGGAGATTTCCCAGTCGGTGAAGGACATTTACGCTGCTGCTGATATCCCCATTGAATGGGAACCTGTAGATGTTACTCCGTTGTTAATTGACGGCAAAACCACTTTGCCCCAACCTGCCGTGGACTCGGTCAACAGAAACTTGGTTGCTTTGAAGGGACCTTTGGCAACTCCCGTTGGTAAAGGTCACACCTCGATGAACTTGACATTGAGAAGAACTTTCAACTTATTTGCCAATGTGAGACCTTGTAAGTCCATTGTTGGCTATAAGACTCCATACGACAATGTTGATACCGTTTTGATTAGAGAAAACACAGAGGGTGAATATTCTGGTATTGAACACACAATTGTTCCTGGTGTTGTCCAATCAATTAAATTGATTACTAAACCAGCTTCTGAAAAAGTCATTAGATATGCTTTTGAGTATGCCAAATCCATCAACAAACCACATGTTCTTGTTGTTCATAAAGCTTCCATTATGAAACTATCTGATGGTTTGTTTGTTAACACTGCTAAGGAAGTTGGTAAAGAATACCCCGACGTCTCCTTAGATTTCGAATTATTAGATAACACTTCATTGAAATTGACCTCCGACCCATCTCAATATAAAAATATAGTTATGGTCATGCCTAACTTGTATGGAGATATCATGTCTGATTTATCATCTGGTTTAATTGGTGGATTAGGTTTAACTCCATCTGGTAATATGGGTAACAAGGTTTCTATTTTTGAAGCCGTTCATGGTTCAGCCCCTGATATCGCTGGACAAGGTAAAGCTAACCCTACTGCGTTGTTGTTGTCTTCTTGTATGATGTTGAGACACATGTCCTTGAACGAAGAAGCTAAAAGAGTTGAAGATGCAGTATTGAAGACAATTGCTTCGGGTCCAGAAAACAGAACCGGTGATTTGAAAGGTACCGCATCCACTAAACACTTTACACAAGAGGTCATTAAAAACTTATAGACTGTTGAACTTTTATTATTATTTTTTTTTAAACTATAAAGATTTATAAAAACTGTGTAAAAAAAAAAAAAAACAATAATCTAAACCTGAGTTGGTGGCAGCTAGTCAGTGTCGAGAGTGTCGATGACAGTCAGTGTCGAGAGTGTTGATGACAGTCAGTGTCGAGAGTGTCGGTGACAGTCAGTGTCGAGAGTGTCGGTGACAGTCTGTTGCTCCACTATCTCGCTCTGCTCGATAGTGTCGAGAGTGTCGAGAGTGTCGAGAGTGTCAGTGACAGTCTGTTGCTCCACTATCTCGCTCTGCTCGATAGTGTCGAGAGTGTCGAGAGTGTCGAGAGTTCTTTGAGCACCTTGTTGGTACCTTCAACGATTATTATATGCTCAACTGCATGTACCCTCTCTTCATACTGCTCTAGAGATTCGCCTTTTATCAACTCTAGTTCTTTTACCAATATTGGATCTCCGCGGTCAACCTCTGTAATTACCTTGTGTATCATGACTCCACCTTTAGTGATTGTGCCATCTTGACCTGCTTTCCAACACCTATCGATAGCGTGTGTACCATCAAATGCGCCTGGCAATGCCGGATGCAAGTTGATTATCGTTACACCTGCCTTTTCCAATGGCTGCAAAATCGAAGGTGCCAATATCAACATCCAACCAGCACAGACAATCAAGTCGGGCTTCTTATACGATTCAATTGGTTTACCATCTGTTGAGCCATAAAGCAACAAATTTGCTAAGTCGATATTAAATTGCTCTCTTTTCTGCTTTCGCAGCTCAACTTGCTCTTTTGGTATCCCCTTGTAGTACATTGCCAAACTATGTACCCTAGTTGGAATAGAATGCTCTTGCGCCCTAGTTAACCCATATGCTTTTTCAGAAGAGGATATCACTTGGCCAATTTTCCCATTGAGCTTCCCCTCCTTTTCTGCATCTATCAATGCCTGTAAATTAGTTCCAGAACCAGATATTAGCACAGTTATTGTAAGCATCTTATACCTATACAAATGAAAAGAAGAAAAAAAAAAAAAACAACTAGCCTTTCCTTCAATTACATCAAAGCCCTTAGCTCTTCTCACTTGTACCTTTTTTTTTTCAATGCATTTGTCGCAATCATTCACGACATTGCAAAAGTGACACCGAGCAAAAACTCAAGGTCAGAAGGTTGTGTATCTTAACACAACAAAAAAAAAACATGTTATCCCAGTTTGTTGTTTCGTGTGTACGAAAAAAAATTCTTTTCATCCCTTGTACACTACCATTTGTGAAAAATTCCCAGGTGGAAGTGCCAGCTCTCTTCATTGCGAAAAAATTTTCGTAGCGATTTTTTCTTCCCATCTTAAAGGAAAGAAAAAACTCATTGGATTTAACACCTTCAACGAAAACTACAACAAGATGGGTATGTCTATATGGCGGCATGAAGAGAAGGGAAGGCAGAGAGAGAGAGAGAGAGAGGTGGAAATCCAGTTGGGGATGGAGTTGCACAGTTTGGGAAGGAAAGGAATTGGGCAATGGACTTTGACTTTTGTTGGAAACAACAGAATTAGAGATCATCCCTTAGTATCTTTCCTGAGAAAGGAGTTACCCCCTCCCTCNCCCCCCCCCCCCCCTGCCTCAAGTGTCTTTACTGAGAAAGGAGTTTCTCCCCCCTCCCTCAAGTATCTTTCCTGAGAAAGGAGTTTCTCCCCCCTCCCTCAAGTATCTTTCCTGAGAAAGGAGTTACCCCCTCCCTCCCTCAAGTGTCTTTCCTGAGAAAGGAGTTTCCCCCCCTTACTTATACTAACCAGTATTAATCAAGTTGCTTTCACTATTGAACAAATCCGTGACTTGATGGACAAGGTTGCCAATGTGCGTAACATGTCCGTCATTGCTCACGTTGATCACGGTAAATCCACTTTGACTGATTCCTTGGTTCAAAAAGCTGGTATTATTTCAGCCGGTAAAGCTGGTGAAGCCAGATTCATGGATACTAGAAAAGATGAACAAGAAAGAGGTATTACAATTAAATCTACTGCTATTTCTTTATATGCTTCCATGAACGATGAAGATGTTAAAGACATCAAACAGAAAACCGACGGTAACTCGTTTTTGATCAACTTGATCGATTCCCCAGGTCACGTTGATTTCTCATCAGAAGTCACTGCTGCTTTGAGAGTTACCGATGGTGCTTTAGTTGTTGTTGATACCGTCGAAGGTGTTTGTGTTCAAACCGAAACCGTTTTGAGACAAGCTTTGGGTGAAAGAATTAAACCAGTTGTTATTATCAACAAGGTTGACAGAGCTTTGTTGGAATTGCAAGTTACCAAAGAAGATTTATACCAGTCCTTCTCTAGAACTGTTGAGTCAGTCAATGTTATTATCTCTACTTATGTTGATCAATCTTTGGGTGACTGTCAAGTCTTCCCAGATAAAGGAACAGTTGCTTTCGGTTCCGGTTTACATGGTTGGGCTTTCACTATTAGACAGTTTGCTAACAAGTACTCCAAGAAATTTGGTGTTGACAAAACAAAAATGATGGAAAGATTATGGGGAGACTCATTCTTTAACCCAAAGACTAAGAAATGGACCAACAAGGACAAAGATGCAGATGGAAAACCATTAGAAAGAGCTTTCAACATGTTTGTTTTGGACCCAATTTTCAGATTGTTTGCCGCTATTATGAACTTCAAGAAGGCTGAAATTCCAACTTTATTGGAAAAGTTAGAAATCAATTTGAAGTCAGATGAAAGAGAATTGGAAGGTAAAGCATTATTGAAAATAGTTATGAGAAAATTCTTGCCAGCTGCTGATGCTTTGTTGGAAATGATTGTTTTGCACTTGCCATCTCCTCTTACTGCTCAAAAATACAGAGCTGAAACTTTATATGAAGGTCCATCAGATGATCAATTCTGCAACTCCATTAGAAACTGTGACCCAAATGCAGACTTGATGTTGTATGTGTCTAAGATGGTTCCTACTTCTGATAAAGGTAGATTCTATGCTTTCGGAAGAGTCTTTGCTGGTACTGTTAAGTCAGGTCAAAAAGTTAGAATCCAAGGTCCAAACTACCAAGTTGGTAAAAAAGAAGACTTGTTCTTGAAATCTATTCAAAGAACTGTTTTGATGATGGGTGGTAAAGTTGAACAGATTGATGACTGTCCTGCAGGTAACATTGTTGGTTTAGTTGGTATTGATCAGTTTTTGTTGAAATCTGGTACCCTTACCACTAACGAAGCCGCACACAACTTGAAAGTTATGAAATTCTCAGTCTCACCAGTTGTGCAGGTTGCTGTTGAAGTTAAGAACGCTAACGATTTGCCCAAATTGGTTGAAGGTTTAAAGAGATTGTCCAAATCCGATCCATGTGTTTTGACCTCTATGTCTGAATCAGGTGAACATATTGTTGCTGCTACTGGTGAATTACATTTGGAAATTTGTATATCGGATTTGGAAAACGACCATGCTGGTATTCCAATCAGGGTTTCAAAACCAGTTGTTGCTTATAGAGAAACTGTTCAAACCGAATCATCAATGGTTGCTTTATCCAAGTCACCAAACAAGCATAATAGAATTTACGTTAAAGCTCAACCAATCGATGAAGAAGTTTCCTTGGACATTGAGAACGGTGTCATCAACCCAAGAGATGATTTCAAAGCTAGAGCTAGAATCTTGGCTGACAAGCACGGTTGGGACGTCACTGATGCTAGAAAGATTTGGTGTTTTGGTCCAGATGGTAACGGTCCTAACATGGTTATTGATCAAACCAAGGCTGTTCAATACTTGAACGAAATTAAGGACTCTGTTGTTGCCGCTTTCCAATGGGCAACCAAGGAAGGTCCTATTCTCGGTGAAAATGTTAGATCCGTTAGAGTTAACATTTTGGATGTTACATTGCACGCAGATGCTATTCACAGAGGTGGTGGTCAAATCATCCCAACAATGAGAAGAGCCACTTATGCTTCGATGTTACTAGCTGAGCCAGCCATTCAAGAGCCAGTCTTCTTGGTTGAAATTCAATGTCCAGAAAACGCCATTGGTGGTATTTACTCAGTCTTGAACAAAAAGAGAGGTCAAGTTATTTCTGAAGAGCAAAGACCAGGTACCCCATTGTTCACCATTAAAGCATACTTGCCAGTCAATGAGTCCTTTGGTTTTACGGGTGAATTGAGACAAGCCACTGGTGGTCAAGCTTTCCCACAATTGATTTTCGACCATTGGTCAGTCTTGAGCGGTGATGTTAGAGACCCAGCAACCAAACCAGGTTTGATTGTTAAGGAGAAGAGAGAAAGACAAGGAATGAAGCCGGAGGTTCCAGGTTACGAAGAGTATTACGACAAATTATAAGGAGAGAAGGGGCTTATTTTTTCTATCAGCTTTTTTTTTGTTTTCTTCTCTTTCATAGTTATGTATACGTCTGTGTTTTAAAGTCATAAAAATTTATTTAAAAAAAAAAAAAAAAAAAAAACATAATAAGCAGAAATGAAGCTGCTTTTGTAGAGATAAATTAGTAAAAGATATTTTTAAGGGTTTTCTTTTTTGTGTGGTTGTCAAATTCAAAGTCAAATGCTACTTGTAACTTTGAGACCAAAATCTGGCAGAAAAAGGTATATTAATTACTTACCCGTTTTCGGTTATGAACATTTGAGTAGGAAGAACCGAGTTGAGCTTTTATTCAAGAGAGAGGTTTTTTGTTTTTGTTTTTTTTTTTTGCGGCTATTCATTGTTAAAGTTATTGCCGATGGTCCATAGTTTATTGTTTTAATGTTAGTAGTAGATACGGACAAAAGATGAAAGCAAAACTCAGTTTGAAGATAAAGCATTCTAATAGCTTTGACGGATATTAATCGTACCACTTTTATGTGTTGGACCTTTTTTTTACATTTTAAAGTGTTCAAGCTTCCAGACATAAAGCCCAATAAAAAGAAAAGCCGTTTTTGATTGAAGCTTGCTCTATTTTTGTAAGAGCAAAAATATTGTAGTATGGCAATTTAACCTTTAGAACATGTAACTTATTATATAGTCAATGGAACTAACTAAAAAAGAAAGGGAGGGAAAAAAAAAAATTTATTTATAAACCGGCACATCTGGAAGAAAACCGGGTAAAAGAATGGCCCCTTTTGGTTTCATTAGTAAATATTGTGTAATTATATTGCCGTTTACTTGTGCTCATCTCTTTTGAACGCACTTTGATGCATATGACTTGTTAGAGAGAGAGGATTCACTTTACTCAACAGAGGGGATATATTTCAGGGAGGGAACGTGCTATAGGAACGTGTTATAGGAACGTGTTATAGGAACGTGCTATAGAAATGTGCTAGAGGAATGTGCTTTACTTCAGATGAAGGGAAAAAAAAAAAAGAAAACTATATGTAATATTGTATGAGGAAAACTTTTCTAGATCAAACTCTTTTAACCCAATTGACATTAGTACGATGTCAATTATGTTTAATACAATACGTCTTTCATTTAAAACAAAAGAAAGAAATGACTAACCAAAATTTCGCTCTTTGTAGATATGTGCTTCCATACAATTGTGCAAAATCTATAATAAGACATATATAATGGAGATGAATTCTCATTGAGAGTATTTATCTTGGAAAGGTAGGGAAACCCATAATCTCTTCCATGTGAGAGAGAAATGGTATTAATTGTAGCATCCCTGGTACATGAGTTGATGGCTGATTTTTCAGTACATCCATATTTTTATATCAACATTATCCTTTCATTAACATGCATTTTATTTAATATCAGCAAACCAAATTTGGTTGTTCTAGCGACGTGGAATATTATTATAACAATATTGGTGCCTTTTTGCTCGCTTGATCTGATCATTGCAATAGCTATTTTCGTTATATCCATTTTATTGTTGAGTTACATGTTGAAGCCACCGACACCACTGACACCACTGACACCACTGACACTGACACTGACATCATCTGATCATGGTGAAAAAGAGCCAACTGTTGTTAATTCAAATAATTCCAATTTTATTATTTTAACTGGAACTCTCCTTCGGTATTATCAATATGTAATGGTATTGCTTTCAACATGCCTTATTTATATAGGCAAAAAAGCCATAATAGATATTCAGCAACTTCTAGTATCAAAGACAAGTCACATCACATATCTCAGTGAACTACTCATCAATTATGACAGAAGTGTAGAGAATGTTACACTAACTTTGAACTTTATTGAGATAATCGTTATAAACTGCTGGAATGGGTTCAATATATTTACTTTTGCTATAATACCAATTGTGCTCATCCAGATTTACAAGAGAACTATAAGAAACATATGTAGAAACAAATGTATCGTTTGATTAATACAACTTTTAATTTAATTTAATTTAATTTAATTTATTTTATTTTTTTTCTTCTTAATAAGGAGAAAAAGGAATATAGAGGAGGAAAAGGAAGAATAGGTGTGTACTGGTGGTGCTGGTGCTAGTGGGGTGGAGGGCCCATTTGTAATCCACCATTTTGTAGCCCTATCAGTTTTTGTCCGTTCACGTGATAACCTCCTTAAAGAAAAAAAGAATCTGGCCTAAGATCCAAGAAGATTAATTAATAAAGTAAATCTCTGCGTGGCCATGTATATCCCCAGTTCAATTCTGTTTCTTTTTTCCCATTACCCACGAGAACAATGCTATATTTCAGGAAATACGCGGAGGAGTGTTTTGACGTTTCTATTGGTAATTTAAATTTTGAGATAGTTAATCTGTGCGCCAATCATTTAACGAAATAGGAAAGAGATACCACTACCCCCCATACGGATCTGCTTTCTTTTTTAGGTAATGAAAAGAGCAGTTTGGAAAGGAAAAATAAATAAATAAAAATAAAAATAAAAAAAGAAAGAAAAAAAAAAATGAATTGATCTTATCGAGAATAAGTTTAATTATTAGTATTATGTATAATGAATTTGAGGATGTTATTGATATGGAAAAAGTACTTAAAAAGAGAGCTGAGTATGATTGAAGAAAGGATGGTGTATAAATACCTCCTCCTCTGACCCCCAAGTTTTCCGCCTCTTTTTCTTTTTCTTTTTTCCATTTTTCTATTTATTGCTATCATTCTTCTTGTTTCCCATTCTTGCTGAATTTTCTTTTTATAAGCATATAGGTATATTTTATTAAGCAATGGAAAGATTAGCTCAGTTGGCATTACATGCTACTTCATCTGTTGGGGCCCCCCCACCACCAGCTCATCCTTTGGACCCCTTGTCTCCTCAAGAAATCAGGTCGGTTTCAAGCATTGTAAAGAATAACTATGCTGGAAAAACCATCAACTTTAATACCATCACTTTGAGGGAACCTATGAAGAAGGCTTACTATAACTGGAAAGAGAAAAATGGGCCAAGACCACCAAGAATTGCTTATTTTGTTATTGTAGCTAATGGTGACGCTGGTGTACACGAGGGTATTGTAGATATCAGTGCTCAGCAATTGGTTGAGTTTCAACACACTACTGGAGTTCAGCCAATCTTGACGCCCTACGATTTGCAAGTGACCGAGGAAATTATTCGTAACGATCCTGAAGTGAGAAGGCAATGTGAAATTAGCGGACTCCCTCCAAACTCGATGCACATGATTTATTGTGATGCTTGGACTATTGGTTACGATGAAAGATGGGGAGCTGATAGAAGATTACAGCAAGCATTGATGTACTACAGATCTGATGAAGATGATTCCCACTATTCTCATCCATTGGACTTTTGTCCAATTGTTGATATGAATGCTAAGAAGGTTATCTTTATTGATATCCCTCAAAGAAGAAGAAAGATTCCCTTGAACAAGCATTCAAGCTTCCATCCTAAACACATTGCAGAGAAATTTGGTACAAGAGAAAATCCATCTGGTTTTAGAAATGACAACTTCCCAATCAACATTACTCAACCTGAAGGTGTTTCATTTAGCTTGGATGGAAATGTTATGAGCTGGTCAAACTTTAACTTCCATATTGGTTTCAACTACAGAGAAGGTATTGTGTTGAGCGACATGACTTGGAGTGACCATGGACGCGTTAGACCATTGTTTCATCGTATTTCACTTTGTGAAATGGTGGTTCCTTATGGTTGCCCAGATTTCCCCCACCAAAGAAAACACGCTTTGGATATTGGTGAGTATGGTGCAGGTAATTGTACAAACCCATTGACTTTGGGATGTGATTGCAAAGGTGTCATTCACTACATCGATGCTCACTTTACAGACAAGAATGGTGATGCTTCTACTGTCAAGAATGCCATTTGCATTCACGAGGAAGACGATGGTCTTTTGTTTAAACATTCTGATTTCAGAGACGATTTCCAAACTACTGTTACCACTAGAGGAAAGAAGTTGATTATTTCCCAGATTTTCACTGCCGCTAATTACGAGTACTGTTTGTACTGGATCTTCAGACAAGATGGTACCATTAAGTTGGAAGTTAGATTAACAGGTATCTTGAACACCTTTGTTTGTGCTGATGATGAAGATATTGGACCATGGGGTACCAAAGTTTATCCAAACGTTAACGCGCACAATCACCAACACTTGTTCTCTTTGAGATTGCACCCCAGACTTGATGGTGATAATAACTCTGCTGGTACAAGTGATGCTAAGCCTTCAGCTTACCCAACTGGATCCAAAGAAAACAAGTATGGTAATGCGTTCTATTGTGAAAAGACAGTTTTCAACAAGGTCAAAGACTCAATTACAAACTTTGAGGGCAAGACTGCTAGAACCTGGGATATTTTCAATCCAAACTCCCTTCACAAGTATTCAGGAAAGCCGGCCACTTATAAATTGGTGTCCACATTCTGTTCTCCGTTATTGGCTCAAGAAGGATCATTGGTTAGAAAGAGAGCACCATGGGCAGCTAATTCAACTCAAGTTATTCCATATAGTGATGATGCTTATGGTTATGGTAAGTTGTACCCTTCGGGAGACCACGTGTGTCAATGGAGTGGTGAAGGTCTGAGAGGTATGAGAGAATGGATTGGCGACGGAGAAGCAAATGTCAACAATACTGATATCGTGTTTTTCCACACTTTTGGTATCACTCACTTCCCAGCACCAGAGGACTTCCCAGTTATGCCTACAGAAATTTTTGATCTTCAACTTAGACCTAGAAACTTGCATGCGGAGAATCCAGTTTTGGATGTAAAACCATCGTACGCTAGAACCACTTCAGAGGTTAAGAAAGGTTTATCGGGGGTTGATACCTGCTCTTTGAATACAGACAAAACTTCAAGGTTGGCTTTTGGTGATAAAAGCTGTTGCAAGTAAGAGGAAAGAAGGAAAAAAAATAAATTGAAAACAGAATACAGACGGAACAGGTAAATATATACCTGTTAATATATAGGAATGTATATATATATTTACAGAAAGAGATTTCTTTAGATCAACTCGTCGGCCCATTTGTACTCCCCCGTTTCTGCCAGCTTACAGTTCAACGCAGGTGTGTTATAACTCTTCAAGTGTTCTCTCCATTGTATATCCGCTGGATCTTGATCTGGCTCTATCCATTCAAATCCGTCTCCACCAGTCATCCAATATGCCTGGAACTTGACTTTCTCCAAGTCATCCTTCATTTGCATTAAGCGGATTTTATTACCATCACGATCGAACCCCGGTTTCAATATATGTGAATTACTTCTTGTATCGGGCGCTACACGACAAATCTCTTCAACAATTTCTGGACTCAGCTCGCCATTATTCAAGTTGCGATCAGCCTCTACTATCTTTGATAAAAATAACATTTCGTCAGAGTGTTTAAACCAGTGCGTATAGAAAGTTCCCTTTTGCCATGTGAGGTAATCACCACCGGATGAAACCAACTGTCTTCCAAACTTTACAATCGTGACAAAGAAACTTGAATTGATGATATATGTTAAAAGTATCGAGTTGATAGCTCCAAGGTGTTCCCAGCCCGATGGCAAAATCCCCGCATCAACCAATGAAGTTACCCCGAATTTAGTGAAAATGGTAATCGCTGCTGCTGTCGAGATTAATTTTAGTGCTCCCAGTTTCAAAATGTGCGCTTTGTGCCCTATATAATTGGGATGGCCCATGGTTATATCTGTAACTTTAATTGCACCTTGGAAATCAGCATCAAAAATAGCATTACGTAGAGGTATGAGTGCCAACTCTTTGCTTATGTAGGTTGAAGTTCCAGGATTCAACTCGTAGTATAAGTTCAAGAGTCTCAAATTCAATGCTGTAGGCAAATTGATAAGAAGAACTTGTTTCAACAACTCTCGCGTGAAAGTGGTTTTTTCAAACATCTCGTCAATGAGGCTCGTTGACTGTTTGCATAAACTAGAATTGGACTCAAGCTGCTCATGAATGGGGTATTTCAATTGCAATGTCTTTATAGATCTCAAGGTATTGACAATGTTCTCAGATGGCAGTTGTGACGCTTTGAACCCATCGCGAAGCTTTTGGAAATCCTCCGAGTAAACTCGTTTGGAATAGAATCGCAAATGCGCTCGAAAAGGTAGACGACGAAGCAGTGGGATATACATTTGGTTGGTTTTCTCGATAGAACCTTACTAAAAGAATGTTAATCTTTTTCTTTTTTTTTTTTTTTTTTTTTTTTTTTTTTTTTTTTTTTTTTTTTTATTTTTTTTNTTTTTTTTTTTTTTTTTTTTTTTTTTTTTTTTTTTTTTTTTTTTTTTTTTTTTCACTCTATTACAATTTTGCACCCATTAAGATTGGAAAAAAAAAAAAATAAATAAATAAATATAAATGCGTTTCTATATATAAAAAAACTGTCCTTATACACCTAATACTTATAAAAGAATGAGTCCTAAAAAGAATATGCAATAGTTGATTCTTATTGCATCTGATCCACCAGACAATGACGAAGACATCGGTGACAGGGTTTTTGAAGAATTGGGCGTCGAGGTTGAACGCATGACCCTGGTCGTGATAAATGTGAGCCCGCTTGGTATACCATCCACATCTGTTGCTGGATTAATATTATTTGTGGTGGTACTTTTACGAGAGACGTTTGAAGAAGCGCCTATACCGGTGCCAGGTGTTTGAGTTGTTGCAGGTGCAGCGACACCAGGGGTCGTGTTTGTAGTCACACCCGTGCCTGCAACACCAGGAGTGGTGTTAGTGGTTGCTCCTGCTACTCCTGTAGCTGGTATAGTAGTAGCGGCTCCTGTAGCTGGTGTAGTAGTAGCGGCTCTTGTAGCTGGTGTAGTAGTAGCGGTTCCTGTTGCTCCCGCTGCTGGGGTATTAGTAGCTGCTCCTGCTGCTGGTGTAGTAGTAGCTGCTCCTGCTGCTGGTGTAGTAGTAGCTGCTCCTGCTGCTGGTGTGTTGGCTGCTGCTCCTGCTGCTGGTGTGTTGGCTGCTGCTCCTGCTGCTGGTGTGTTGGCTGCTGCTCCTGCTGCTGGTGTGTTGGCTGCTGCTCCTGCTGCTGGTGTGTCTGCTGCTGCTCCTGCTGCTGGTGTGTCTGCTGCTGCTCCTGCTGCTGGTGTATTGGCTGCTGCTACTGCTGCTGGTGTGTCAGCTGCTGCTACTGCTGCTGGTGTATTGGCTGGTGCTGCCCCTGCTGCTGGTGCTGCTACTGCTGGTGTTGCGTTTGGTGCGACTGGATCAGCAGCTGAGCATGATAACAAAATTGTGCACAAAATCAATATATTTTGGTACAACATTACTCTTGCAAAAAGCTTAACTTTGTAAATAATTCTCAAGAAAATATTTTATGCAAAAAATTAACCAAATGGTTCCAAATGAAAAGGTAATAGCACAGTTATTTCAATAGCAATTCGTCTTTATCTCAAAACTTGAGCTCCGAATTTGTTCAAAAGCTCTCGATGTTCAGATGTTGTGCACTTTTGAATGTGTTTTCAAATGAAACAAGTTTTATACAAATTTGTTGTACGTTCCAAAACAGTAAACATTTTCAAAGATGGAAAAAAAAGTAATCAAAAAAGCCTTTGAAATTTTTGTGCGCGCGCATCTATTTTACACTAAAACATTTCTATCTAATAAGAAAACGAAAACCTTATATAAGGGAACAATCGTGTTCACCAAACCGACGGGTGGCTATTGTTCTTAATAAATGATAGTAAACTGAAAATGCCATACGCGTATTTGGTTGCACAATTGCATATGAGATGAGCGGCCACAATTTGCAGCTCAAATCCCCCAATCCACCTCCCAAGAAGGCCCCTTTTCAAGGAGAAGAGCTCCCCCAGAAAAGTAGAGGAGAGTTTTCCACTTGTTTTCTCAGTCAGTGTGCTCCACTGACTCAGTAGCTTGTTGCAACACTATCACAGTAGCTTATTACAACACTATCACAGTAGCTTATTACAACACTATCTCGCTTTGCTCGATAGTGTCTTGTCTTTTTCTTTTTTGTTCTACTTCCTTGTCTTTTTCTTTTTTGTTCTACAATCGGGACAAAACCAAACTTCGGTATCCTTTGGTGGGGAGGTGATCCCCACACAACTCCAATGAAACCATTCATACTTGCAATCGCCATTATCACAAGCAATCATTTCGCCAAAGGACACTCGCTGACAGAAGCAGTACAAATTATTATCTGCATCCTCGCCTAATGGACCTTCCAGAGTTGGCATTTCAGCCGAACCATTAATTGCCAACGAGCCAGTTGTTAGTGGCATCGAATCTTCAACTTCCTCTGATTTATGTTTATTCACCTTTACAGGTGCCGAGGGTGTAACTGAAGCCCCCTTGACTGGAGCCTTCCTCTTCTGGCCCCTCTTCACTGGTTCGGCTACAGGAGTCATTGAAGAAGGCGTCGGAGTCGCCGATAGACTATCGGAAAATCCATTTAATCCTGAAAACTCCTCTTTTGTTTCTAACTCCACTGGGCTTTCCAAGGGAGGTAACAACTCGTCCCGCTCCAACTTGGTTATATCCGTTTCAAAATTGAACAAATGTTTCGATATAAGGAACAAAGCAGTGTTTGATAGTAAAATTTTCTCCTTTTGTAACTTGATCGCCGCATTCATTTCCTCCTCTATCTTGAGGTAGAGCTGTTGCTCTTTGGGGTGTTTGGTTAAAGTACCATTGGCACGGATAAATTTATGTAGCTGATTGTCTTTGAACTGATACTGCCTCCTTATATCTGATAGCTGAAGATCCTTATTCTTAATCTCTTCTAGTAGATGTCGCACCTCTAGTGGCAAATTTGAAAGGTCTTGTGTATATTTCTCAAGTACTGTAGTGGTATCCATGATGACGGCGATGTCGTTAAAAAACAAGATTTACTTTTTTTTAGGTTTTTTTTTTTTTTTTTTTTTTTTTTTTAATTTTCAACTCTATAGATACAGACGATATGAATGAAGATGGTGAGAGTGTAGATTTGAATTGCTTGTATGATGGTGTTCTCAAGGACCCGCTGCTGTCGGAGAACAAGGAGAAACTATTCCAGCCAGCGCATTTCAGGTTTCTTCATGACAAATTGTTAGAAAACCCCCGACAATTTTTACAAATGTTGGAAAATACTGGTGATAATTCAAGAAAGTTGGTATCTCTAATTGACCAGAACAGAACAGCAGAGCTGTCAATATTGGACATTTTAGCGGCAATACGGACAAACTTAAAAGAAGGTGGTAACCTTGAATTCTATTTGGGCATTTATAGTTCATTGGTAACGGAATTTAAGGTTGTAAACACGCAGCATTTGAGTCTTTTCCTTACCTATATAGGTAAGAACTCAAAGGTTGATCACCATATTTTACTCATATTGGTACAAAATTTACAGACTGATAAGGTTAAAACTACGCAAGTGATTACAGATTATTTGGAGTTGTTAGTGGATGAAGAAGACACACTAGATTACGCATCATTTTGCAACTTTCTTGCAGTGATGGAAATGTGCTTCCCCTTGATACCTAATGAGTGTGCAGAGATCTATACCAAAGACAAGACAAGAGATCTTTTTTTATCAAAGAGCGAGGAACCTCATAACTTTTTACCTATATTGAAGTGCATTTCCAGCTCGTGTATTGTTGAAAACTGCAGAAAGCTTAATGGCGAGATGTATAGTGCACTCTTGTTACGTACATTCGAATGCAAAGATGTTCATGTAAGGCTACTTGCCAGCCTTGATTTGGCCAAGGAATGGACATATATGAAATCCACCACATCCAACTCCAAGTTGAAGCTAACAGATATTGCAGATGTCCTTATGCTGTACCTAAACCAAGAGCACGAAATGGAGTATGTTGGCTACTCAATCGAAGCGCTAACATACTTGACTTTATTTTGGGAGACTCGTGAATTGATAAGAAGAGATGTCTTGTTTGTTGAGAAGCTTGTTAAAGCATTACAAAAGTTTTCTTCTGCTGATGTTGCTGTTAATACTTCTATCCAGTATGGGATACTTTCCATCTTGGCCAATTTGTCAAGAATAAAGGAGAAAGATCCCCGTGAACAATTGAAACATTTCTCAGTACCAAAGGAAGGCTCCGAGAGCACTGAAGAAAAATCAGAAAATATAATGTTGTTTAACAAAGAGCTTCTCGAAAGTGACCATCTTGTATCTAACTTGTACCAAATTAAAACCTTTGAAGCATCTAGCTCAAACCTCATGAATGTGGTAATTGATATCATCTATAACATCTCAGTTGACCAAAAGAAGATGGTGAGAATAGAATTAGTGAAACAGGGCGCCTTGACTATTGTGATCAATTACCTTATCAAACACAGTAAGATAAACAAGGAAGAAAACCGGGTTGTATCTGCATCTTTGGAAAAAGAAGAAAACTCTTTTTCTTCTGCTTCTGCTTCTGCTGCTGTTTTCCGCTTGAAAGCATTGAGAAGTTTAGCCCGGATGTTAATTTGTGTTAATCCAAAATTGGCATTTGAGAAGTTTGACGTTCGAACTTCGATCCCATTCCTTATTGAAATGCTCGATGATGTTGATGATAACTCTCAACTTATGAGTGCTTTGGATAAATATGAAGCACTTTTGTCACTAACAAATATTGCGTCTATTGATGATTCGCAGTTAAAAGATTTTATTGTAAACGAAATCATGCCATATATTGACAATTTGATACTCTTGGACGTACAATTCCAGATTTCCACATATGAACTACTAAATAATCTCATTACGCAGCCAATACTATTGGCCAAATTCTTCAATATCAAACAAGATCTGAATAAAAGGAGACTAACTATTAGTTTGAAGTTATTGAATTCAAATGATGTGGATTTGCAAATAATAGTGGCTAAATTTTTTGTAAACGCTACAAACTTTGATATGATTGCAGATGTAATTGTTGATGATCAAACCGTTTTTGAAGAGATTTTAAATGTGGTTATAGATTCTCTATCTTGTAAAGATGAGAGATTGATTACAGTTGTAGTTTATCTCTTGGTGAATCTAGTATATGCTGCGGCTAATCATGGAGATCTCGATTTTCACTTGAAGAAATTTCCAAATTTGAAAAATGGATGCATGAATATTATGCAAAATGGTAATGATGAGAGCAAGGAGGCTATTCAAAACGTTATTGATATATGCAAATTCTAAAAATTGATAAACCTTTGTGCCAAGGTTTCAGTATCATGCTCAACATTGGATATGGATTGCTTGATAGTTTGGGCTGCTTTGTCTGAGTCCAATTGCACTCTAATTGCTTTGTGTAAGTTTGTGAGATATTCTCCATAACTTGGACCATTGGCAGCTTTTATAGCTCCACCTATATTATCGTCTCTCAAAAACTCTTTAAAGTGCTGTTCGGCCCCATCGATACCTTTACGAACTATATGCACACTTGATGAGTCTACACCAACAATCTCTTTATTGAAAAAACGTACAAGATTGCGTGCTTGTTGCGATATCTCTGATGGAAGTTCTGGTAGTTCATCCATTAAAGCATCGAGCTCCTCCACTGTCTCATACAGTTTGCCAAACAAATCCCTGATCAACATTATATTTGCTTGTGGGTCTATCCAGATCCAAGTTCTCTGCCCATCACATAAAATGTAAACACCACGATCGAGACTGTTTATGGATAGTTCTTTATACTGCGGGACAATTGTAAAGCCCGTATTTTCATCAATCGTACCTTCTTCGGGTTCAAGTGAATGCAACTCTACTAATGCCGGGTATAACAGATACATAAGTCTTTCCAAGGGCATGTTCAACATATTGAATACCTCGCACAAACGTGTATCCGCAGATAAACCAGTTGATGCTCTAATCGAGTTTGTTTTTAAAAAGCTTAAAATATGCAAAGGCAAGTTCTTTAATGCGTCAGGGAAAAGTAACTTGCTGGTTAATGTACGAGCCCGATTATGTCCGTACTCATTCATCGCCCGGTATTGCGTAAACACATCAACTAGTTTGATGTTCAATGACTCACGAAGCTCGCTTAAAGTTTGATTACCAATAAAGGAAATCGTGTCCCTTGCCAATGTGGTTATTATGGCGTTTTCATCAGCAAAGTAAAAAACGTCTTCTAGTTTTGGGGTTACTGCTAAAACCAAATTTATGACTCTTACTTTTCTTGTACCTTCTGGGTCTGTGTAGAGTACCGCGGCTTGAAAATGACAATCTAACTTTTTGCTAAGCTGTCCGTCATAAGAAAGAAGAATTGTAAATGCCTGGTTCTTGGAAAGGATAGGAATAACTGGGTCTCGCACTGAACTGGAATCGTATATGGATGAAGATGTGCCGTAATATTGGGCCACCTGTAGGCCATTTGAACAACGTAACTTGAGTTGACCTTGATACCCTGTTGTGTCTAAAATCATACTTCTGAACTTGGCGGTAAATAATCTTCCATCTCTTTCATAGTTTAAATTTGTCCATCTCGAGATTTCTCCACCTGTTGCTGATACTAAATATCCCACATTTGAAAGGTCGACCGAGGTGTGAGAAACAATAAAGAGATCCATTCCTATGCTTTTTTCAACAAACTCCTTGGTCATTGACTTCCAATACTCATTGTCTGAAAGGAATATTCTCTTTTCAACTTCGGGTGAAGGTGTTCTTCCCACTGCCTTGTTGTCCTTATATTTCAAGCCACCTGGACCCCATGAGGGTAAATTCGACAAAGCAGAGACGATTTTTCCTCCTCCATGCATTTCCAAACACATTCCAGCAGTTTTGCAAGCCGTTGCAAAGCATGGTTCCAAGTCGGCTACATGAGTAGACGAGTTTCCCAATTGCTCAATGTGGTTAAGAGCATCCTCGATGACATACTGGCTCTCCTGTGGATCTGCAAATAATCCTTCATCAAACGGGACAAAAAGATCATCCAAATCTGAGGAAATTATTATTTGAGTCTTTTCAAGTTTGGGAGATATGTTGAAGAAATGTATTCTTTTGTCAAACGCAATTATGGCTATCTTGTAAGGGAAGGTGGTGCTGCCGCTGCTGCTGCTGCTGCTGCTGCTGCTATAATTGAACAAAGTTGTTCTTATAGACTCTGCCACCAACATGGGAAGATTTTGCTTTATGCTGTTTTCAGATATGTCAATAAGGAATACAATATGCAAAGTCTCTGGAGATTTTTTCAGAAAGTTATACTCTACTGGCACTATAATATCGTAGACACCTTTGTGCAATTCAGGGCGAACAAACTTGTCCACCCTGTACCCTCGAGCATCCAATGGAGCGTAATATTCCTGAGGTACAGAATTATTTGCAAATTGGCAAATATTACAAATACATTTTTGATTGTGGGTGAATTGCATCGAGGGATTGATGTATGTTCGACACCTGTAGCATCTCAAAGGACCAACACTAAGCGGATCGCTATCATCATCATCATTATTGTTGTTGTTGTTGTTATTATTATCAGTGGTATTGCCCTGTATGGCGGAGGTTTGAATCTCAACAGTCGGAACAGGTTCTTCGCTGGATAATTGAGGTGCAAAAGGTCGCACGGTGATAGCCATGGGGAGCTTTGTTACCAGGCGCAACTTTTCTGATTCCGGCACGTAATACATTGTTGATCTCATGAATTTGGGAGAAGCGGTTCCCTGATCAGTAACATGAAACTGTGTACCAGCTTCAGGTGGAACAGTGTCTGAGAAGGTACAAAATGACTTGTAGTTTCCCTCGTTGTCTGGTATACCATATTCCTGTTGTGCGGAGTATCTTGCGCTTTGTATTGATGGAACTATTTCCTCGGTGACAGGTATTTGTGAAGGAATGTTTTGAGGTGGCACAAACGGTGGCACAAGCGATGGCACAGACGAGTTGAGCCCCGCGTGAAAAGCCCTTCTTGACCTCCTGGTTGTAGAAGCCAATTGGTTGCTTGCGTCCATGGGAAAATGTTTAAAACAAAGCTTAATTTGCAATGTTAATTTATCAATTAAATGAGTTAATTTATTGATTAAATGAGAGTACCATTTGTTTGTATTTTTTCTGTTTTTTTTCACCCTGACAGACAAGACAAAGCTAAGAATGATTTAATGGGACAACTTTGAGTCTCTAACAAAAGGAAGGTGATACATGTGACAGGTCAATATACATCCGAATCTATCGACACTACCGACACTATCGACACTATCGACACTATCGAGCAGAGCGAGATAGTGGAGCAACACTAGCTACCACCGACTCGAATCGGTTGAAAGATGACATATTTTTGTCACGTGATATGGATATACATCGCCTCATTCATTCTCTTTGTTCCTCTTCTTTTGTCACGTGGTGTGGATATACATCTCCTCATTCATTCTCTTTGTTCTTTTTCTTTTGTCACGTGGTGTGGATATACATCTCCTCATTCATTCTCTTTGTTCTTTTTCTTTTGTCACGTGGTGTGGATATACATCTCCTCATTCATTCTCTTTGTTCTTTTTCTTTTGTTTTCTTTGGTAAAGAAATTATTATCAATACCAAGAAAAATGTTTTACCAAGCACACTTCCAAGAATAAAAGATATTATTTTTAATCGACGTACATATGAATACATGGACAAGAAAGTGAGGAGGCCGAGTTCAAACAAGGAATAAAGAGATATATAGTGAGAAAAAAAAAAAAGAAGAGAGAAGTGAAATGGTTTATGGGATATCCCATACTCCTTTGCTAGATCCTAGTATGGGAAACTATACGTTAGCATATCTACAGAATAGCAATATACCGATAAACTGTTCGGTGTACTCATTGACCAATGGTACCATCAAACTACTAGAACATTATAGTCAGACATGGAACAATGATTCAAGCTTGCACGAGATTCTACCTGCCTATTACATTACAAACTGCTCGATACTGAAGTTGATTGAACTAGTGACGCAGGAAAAGTCTAATCTGCTGTTTGAAGATCTACTGGATTTGAACCAGAGCCCGTATAATCAAAAGGATAACGGAGATACGTTTGTTGCTTTGCTTTTCGCCTTGTGTGGCTCATGTGTTCTGTGCTGGATGTTGAGTTTGCTTTTGTACTTGAATCCCAAGCATAAGCGTAAGCCCTGGTTGACCCAGATTACAACAATTTTCTACGCAATAGTCACAAGTGTTTTACTAAATACCCTAACAAAAGAGTCTGAAATCCAGTATCACGATGGTAGCTTGGACATTATAAAGCTACATTATAAGTTGTACAACACCAACGTTTATCGTGTGTTGATAATCCTTACACAGTGTCTAACGATGGGTTCTTGGTTTGAGATTATCCAAAAACTAGTGCGACCGAGGTATAAGTTTATTTCGGGGTTTATTAGTTTTATATTCATGGGATTCTATTTTTCCGTTTTTACATATTACCAAGTCATCTACAACACTAGCAAATACATTCATACTCAATTTGAAAGTGTATCAGCACATTATACGTGGAGTATACTTCGAGCTGTGGGGAGACTTATAGTAGTAACGTGGCTTGGCGGTATATTGATGTACTATACAACCATGATCAAAAATCCGAGAAAGATATGTTATAGCAAAAAGTTATTTCCTTTAGCTCTTTTTGTGTGGTTTTTGTTTGCATTAGATATAGTGATTACCATTCTACGTATAACCTTGTTCAGATATAGCTGGCTAGTCAAAACATGGTTAGTGTTGGTGCCATATTTGCTTGAAGTTATTTTGCTTACTGTTATTTGGGAATGGGTTTTTAATATTTGGATATTGGAGAAAAGATTTGAGTTAATGAATGTATTGGGTAGAAGGATTAGTTGTGAGGATGTAATTGATTTTAGGGACGAGGAGTCAGGCAAGCGCCAGACTAACAACAGATTCACTGGTTGGATCATGAATAGGGCCGCCCAGAAGAAATGTGAGATTGAGGAGAGGTCGGAAGAGAGTTTGAAAGATTTCACGCTGGATGAGCAAACAGACGACTGGGAGTCGCTTTCACGTGTGATGGAAGAGAGAGAAGGGCAAGGGTTTGAAAGTGAAAATGACACGGCGGATGATTACGAGTCGTGGATACAGGAAGAGGATGACGAAGAGGACTGGCGAGAAAGAGGAACTCGTTGTAGCACAGAGTCCAATTGATATATATATATATATGTGTGTGTAAATATTATGGTGGATGGTTCGGGAAGACTCTTTGCATTTCTAGGAGGTTCCATAATTTTTTTTTTTTCCCTTTTTTGCTACCCCTTAATATAAAACCCCCATCAATTGCTAAAAAAGAACAGAATTGTAACATTTCATTGAACAAGCAAAAGTAAGTAGTATGCTAATGTTGAAAAATAGGAATTTGAAAGTGCCCAGGAGGTTCTGGACCACAACAACACTCCCAGTTATTCGATATATTCCGTCATATGCAGCACCAGTTCAGGCTTCGCACTACAACACACCAGTCTATCGACATCCGATTCGACAGTTGCATTCCTCCATTCCTAGGAGGTTGCAAATGCAACAGAATAAGGAAGAGGAAGACAACAGACCAGCTTTGGAGAAGTTTGGAACTGATTTAACGAGCTTGGCGAGGGAAGGCAAATTAGATCCGGTGATTGGTAGAGATGAAGAAATACGTCGTACTATCCAGATTTTATCAAGGAGGACCAAGAATAATCCGGTACTTATTGGATCTGCTGGAACTGGTAAAACCGCGGTGATGGAAGGTCTTGCTCAGCGTATCATTAAAGGAGAAGTGCCAGAATCAATTAATAACAAGCAAATCATAACTTTGGACTTGGCTGGTATAATTAGTGGATCCAAATATAGAGGTGATTTTGAAAGCAAATTGAAAGCTATATTGAAGGAAGTGGAAGAGAAGGCCGGTAGCGTTATTTTGTTCATTGATGAGTTTCATTTATTGATGGGTTTAGGAAAAGCCGAGGGATCTATAGATGCTAGTAATTTGTTGAAACCAGCATTGGCAAGAGGTAAATTGTCCATGTGTGGTGCTACGACTATTGAGGAGTACAGAAAATATGTTGAAAAGGATGCCGCTTTAGCAAGACGGTTTTCGCCAGTGTTGGTGAATGAACCATCGGTTGAGGATACGATTTCCATATTGAGAGGATTGAAAGAAAAGTATGAGGTTCATCATGGAGTGCGGATAACTGATTCTGCATTGGTTACCGCAGCGTTATATTCAAACAGATACATTACAGATCGTTTTTTGCCCGACAAAGCTATTGATTTAGTTGACGAAGCTAGTTCCACGTTACGGTTGCAGCATGAGTCCAGGCCAGATGCTATTGCCACGTTGGATCGGTCCATCATGACCATTGAGATCGAGCTAGAGTCATTGAAGAAAGAGGAAGATCCATTATCCGTTGATAGAAAAAACAAGTTGGAAGGAGAGTTGGAAGCGAAGAAGAAAGAATTGCAACAATTAACCGAGCAATGGGAATCTGAAAGAAAAGTGATTGACAATATCAAGGAAGCTAAGGCCAAGATTGAGCAGGCCAAATATGACTTGGAGCAAAGTCAAAGAAACAATGATTATGCTACTGCGTCAAGGATCCAATATGCAGAAATTCCCGAATTGCAATCAAAGTTATTGCAATTAACGAAATCTGAACTGGCTACCAAACCAACCAACTTGTTACACGACTCAGTGACGCCCGATGACATTGCGTTAGTTATTTCGAAAATGACAGGTATTCCAGTGACCAGTTTAGTTAAAGGGGAAAAGGATAAATTACTAGATATGGAAATTATTTTGAAACAGGAAGTCGTTGGACAAGACGAAGCTGTTCATGCGGTAGCAGATGCCGTTCGTTTGCAAAGAGCCGGCTTGACAAATGAAAAGAGACCTATTGCATCGTTTATGTTTTTGGGTCCGCTGGGAACAGGAAAAACTGCACTTTCCAAAGCACTTGCACATTTCTTGTTCAACGATCCAAATTCAGTAATTAGATTTGATATGTCTGAGTTTCAAGAAAAACATGCCATTACTAGATTATTGGGAGCACCTCCATCATATGTCGGATATGAAGAAGGTGGGGAGCTTACGGAGGCTGTGAGGAGAAAGCCATATGCCGTTTTACTTTTTGACGAGTTTGAAAAAGCACATCCTGACTTTAGTAAGTTATTGCTCCAAGTTTTGGACGAAGGAGCGCTCACAGATTCACACGGTAAAAAAGTTGATTTCAAGAATACGATTATTATATTGACATCAAATCTCGGCCAGCACATTCTTCTTGAGGATAAAAACCTGAGAGAGGATGGTAAGGTTAGTAAAGAGGTAAAGGAAGCTGTTTTGGAGAATTTGAAGAGACACTACCCCCCAGAGTTTCTCAATAGACTAGACGATTGTTTGGTGTTTAACAGGCTTTCCAAAAAATCATTAAGAGAGATTTTGGCAATTAGGTTAAGGGAAATTGATGATAGATTATTATCCAAGCGGATCCACCTCGAGGTATCGGAAAAAGCCAAGGACATTTTAATAACCAAGGGGTACGATCCAGCATATGGTGCTAGACCTCTTGCGCGAGTTCTTGCAAAAGAGATATTGAACCCATTAGCAAAGATGCTTATCAGTGGAGAAATCCAAGAAGGCGAAGCTGTGAGAGTTGTTGATGAGAAAGGTAAAGTGATTGTTGAGAAAAACCACACCGAAAAGTCGGTTATTGAGAAAGAAGAGGGAAAAGAGGGGGAGGAGTAGGTAAATAGGTCAATAAATAGATAAAGTATATTTAAAAAAAAATTTAAAAAAAAAAAATTTAAAAAAAAGAAGAAAAAAAAAAAAGATTTAATTACATTTTGATTAGTTATTAATTCCGGCTAGTTACTCTTCTTGCTCGGGGGAGGCGTATCTTGGAATCAATCTGATATCGTAGTCAGTCTCTAGTTTTAGCTCATCCCAAGGTTCGAAATTAAGCCAAACCATTTCAAAGTCCTCATCCGAGTCCATGTTGTGTGTACCTAATTGAATACCAGGTTTGTTAAATTCCAGGTTAATATAATTGCTTTTCCCCTCTAGGATCAAATCCAACCTTTCCGCTTTGTTGAGTTCATCTACTCCTTGCAATTCAGATAGGAGCTCTTTGAATCTTGTATTGTTATTTTCTCTTAATTTGGCATATACTTCACTAAATTTTTTTTTATCTAGCCTGTGCAATATTCCTGAAGGTTTTTCAATTTGAGACTCGCCACTATTCATTTCTTTCTCTACATTTTCAAACCAGGTGCCTAGTTTATCGCTCCAACTTTTCACGTTCATCGGTCGATAATAATTGTATGCTCCAAACCACAAGCTTGGGGTTTCTCCATTTTTTATAGCTAATTCGCGGTAGCGTTTGGCCTCTTCATACCACGGATCGTAAGGTAAAATCAAACGAGATATTTCGAGACCGCAGCCAAATATTAAGGAGCCTCCACTGGCTACTGCAAGTATCAGTTTAAGTACGGTTCCTCTACCTCTTTGTGGTAAGCTTAATTGTCTTCTTGCATACCTAAATAGACCCACTCCTAGAAAAAACTGTAAGCCAATCATTGTGCATAGGGCAGGTCTGTTGTCAGACGCAGGCATTAGTGGACCCCATATTAAACCAACACTTGGATTGCGAGGAAATATAGGACTCTGTATTGTAATGGTTGTGGAATCTGATGATGATGAAGACGTCTTTATGGGATTCACTGGATGTGACTTGTTTTTTGACGCCTTTGTGTCCTTGTCACCGTCAGGAGGTGGTATGTAACCCATTGATAGTAAAAAAGTGTGTAGTTGGAGGAGAATGTAAAAAAAGAGTGTATCACATTTGACCAGAAAAAATAGAACACCTATAGAGCAAAATAAATTGAGGGGAGGAGGTAGCGTTAAGGATGCAATCATATCGTCTGGATTAGATATAAGATAGGGGCTGACAAAAAGAGTGAGATGATAAATAGAGTGGGATATAGAGTGGGATTATATATATAATGGGATATAGAATGGGATGATATATAGAGTGGGATATATAGTGGGATATAGAGTGGGATGATATATAGAGTAGGATAATGATTACATTAATGGGATCACTAGGTGCACATTATATAGATGGTTGATTTTTTCGCAACAAAATGGACAAAAAAGTGATAGAACTGGGGAGAAGCACTGCGGTTAGCACTGTGATTAGCAATATCTGTAGTA